AAACGGATTTATTTTAGATAAATATATTCAAAGACAACAACAATACAAATCTTGTTCTTAATTATGTTTGAAGACATTCATGTCATCAGAGAGAAAGAGAAAGAAAGAGAGAAAGAGTTGTATTCATAATATCTATATATTTTAGTATTTTTTATATTATAATTTATAGGTAATATTTACATAATGATCATTGATATATAGTATATTTTAATTTTCATCGTTGAATTACTATTATTATTATTTACAGCAAACTAGTATTACTATATTTATATGATTTGTGATTTTGTCAATAAAGTCAAAGTCATCTAAATATGGGCTCAATTTTTATTTTTTAAGTTAATGATCTCAAGAATTGTTTATTTTTGTGGATAAAAATGTTTTTTCACGAAAAATGTATCCATATTTTTAATACACTTTATGTGCACAAAAATTTTTACTATTTATTTATTTATATAAACATATATTTTTATGTAGTTAGTCGAAGTCGATATAAAGAAAAAGTTTTTCAGATATTTTAATGGTTTTAAAAATAAATATAAAAATTTAAGAGTATGTTAAATAAAATGTTTATATATATTATATGCAAATTTTAGATAAAATATTATTTGTATATATTTTTGGTCAAATTATTACGAGTTTTTATGAGATTAATAATTTATTTAAATTTTTAATGAAATTAAATTTTATATTATATAAAAATGATATAACAATAAAAGCTAATAACCATATTAAAAATGCCTTAACTTTCTTATATTAATAATTAATATTAATTTTTTTAAATATTAAGATTTAAAACTTGCAAATCAATTAATAGTAATTTTATTAATTTATTTTATTTTTAAATGTGAACGAAATTCAAAATAATAAACTATATATACGAAAATGTGTTTTTAATTTTTAAATATCAATTTTTTAAATGTATATTTTGTTCACGACTTTTGTGTTTTAAAAATAATTTGAATTAAAACACCAAAACACGATATACTATTCATACAAATATTTGACATTTAAATAAAATCGTGATATTTACTAATATAGTTTATTTTATAAATAAATTAGTTTATATACTCTATTTAAACACTTTTAATATATTTTATAACACTTTTTGCATATATTGATAATTAAATGATTAAAATAAGTTAATATTATATTGTTTAATAGATTATCATCATAAAATTATAAATTGTTTGAAAACAACATTACAATATTAACATTATATACATAAAACGATTAGTTTTAAAATGTTATTAAACTACTTTATTATTATTACTGTGAGTTTATTTTATTTTAATATATTTAATATAATTTTTTATTATTCAATACATTTGAAATGTTTAATTCATGCTAATGACTACTACTGTTTATTTAAGGAGTGTTTTGTAACTATAAGTGAGGGCTGCTGTATAGATGCCAAAAATGAGAACATCAAACACATACCGGTGCTCATGTACTATATGTGACTGACAAGATGAGAGAGAGAGAGAGAGAGAGAGAGAGAGAGAGAGAGAGAGAGAGAGAGACTATGTGTATAGTAGTGTTTAAAGTGATAAATTTTTTGATGTAAACAAAATAAATAGTGAATGAGTGGCTGAGCATACAGTTCACTAAACTATACACTAGTTTTACACAAATTTGTTAAAGTTTTTTATTTGATTTATTTTAAACATTATTTAGGATATTTCTTATCCCTAATTAATGTGTTTGACTTTTTTTTAAATTTAAAAGGAAATGCTTATTGTATAACACATTACATACACAAACTGATGACTATATTAGTCGGTGACATAAATTATAATTAAACAAAACATTTTTATTATATTGTGATAATTTGTAAATTACAATAAACTTTTATGTTTTTAATTTTTCTCTCATAAGGTATTAGAAAATAATGATAAAGTATGACCACTAAGGGTACAGCCCTTTCCGGATAGCCTTCAAATTTTAATGTCTATCAATGCTTTCTTATGTTCAAACTCTATATACAAAGAAATTGAAGAAAAATATTATTATTATTATAGTACAGTATTATTGTTATTACAAATAAAAGACAACTTCATGTTATAATAGAAAATAATACACTTTTTATACTTTTGTATTTAACATTTTCTTTAGAAAATAGTAATGTATGACACATATCACCGGTATATTGTTTGTCTACATTTTAAGTCTACTATTTATATTAAATATAGTGAAAAGCTTTTATTTAAAAAAGTGTCTCAAAATTGTCTTACATTTATTAGTCTATTATTATATACATATAAAAATTCATATATTATTTATACTGTATATAATGTTATACAGTAATACATAATAAAACAATTGAATCAAACTCTTCTGTCTAACCTTTGGTCTGTATTTTTATAATTGGTTGCACATCACAGCACAACACATCACATAACACCAGTGCATACATACCGTCACCAATAAAGGAAGGAATGGGGGCACTGATGCCAAACATATTTTTTCACTATTATTATGACAAATATTATTAAAAAGACCTCTATATATATATATATATATTTCTTATAACTAAAATCTATACAATAGCTAAATCTTTTTTAATCTAATGCGATAATATTTTATGGCTAATATTTGTAGTTTTGTAGTATTTTTTATATATTTGTATAAATTGGTTGTAGTACAGAGTGTAGTGTATTATTATTATTTTGTTTTAAATAATATTTTAATTAATCGCTTGATTTGTTTGACTCAACGCTTTCACACAATATACAGTATAATCTCAAAATAATTCATTGAAAATATTTTGCATAATAACTAAAAGCAATTCAATAGTGAAAATGTGAAATACTTTAAAAAAAGCTTATCAAACGACAGCTCGTCTGTAAAAAAATTATTTTATTTGTATGATATCTTTCAAATATTTAAAAGAAATCCCGACCCGACCTCCACTCCCAACTTATTATGTAATTTTTAACAGCATTTTTCATTGTTATATATACTATAATATTAAATAAATTACAATTTTCACTTCTAATAACAATTGTGAATATAAAAGTTTTAAAGATAATGTTTGATTTACAAAACTCCTTTACAATTACTTAATTTTTTACGCCAAAAAACATATTAAAACAAAATTTAATTTATAAATAAGAGACAAATTATTTCAGGTAGAGATGGTGTCGACACATATTATTTATACGTTTACCATAGGATTCATTTGAAACAACCAAACAATTCTGCTTTCATTTAAATATAAGAAAAAATATTTTAGTATTGAAATCATTTTTTTTAATTTGCTTAAAGTATATATAACTAAAAGAAATGCATTATACTATATATACTGTATATTTAGATATATTGATTCAATGATGTTATATAATTTTTTGGTGATCTGTTCCATAAAAACCATTGTTTTCAACGGAAACACAACTAAACAACAAATAAAATGAAGGGAAATAAGAGAAAGTTTTTTCTCATCTAAAAAAAATTTAAACGAAAAAATATTTATTTTTTTCATTTGTGACATCCATATCAACAATAAGTCAATGAAAAAAAACTAAAATAAAATGATAGCTTTTAGACAGAGACGGGATGTTTAGGTTAAACAGTTGTATTGAAATTGATAGCACTGTATGTTTTGTCGATTTCTATGTTATTATTATTTTTTTGTGTCTAACGTTTTTGCATATCCTGTCGTGTGTCTCGTCATAGAAATACATTGAAATATATACATTAAATGATAGATTTAAATTTAACTTTTCATTAATTTTTTGAGTGTTATATATATATATCAAATGTTATTAAAAATTAAGGAAATATATTTTGATAGATCCATCAAATGATAACTTTATTTATGTTACAAAATAAATTGGTTGTTATTTAGTTCAATGAAACAATTAATTTTTTATTGTTTATGAAAGAGAATAATTTAAATTTTAATTAATTTTACTTTCAAACATTTTTTTCTGAAATGATATTCTATTTAACATCTAAAATATTTACGTTAAAAAATAATTAATTTAAAAGATAATTATTTTATAAATTAAAAAATATACAAAAAATAAATTAATGCTTATTATATTTACCGGTATTGTTATGCATTATCGACCACTTGTTAATTGTTTTAAAAGATTGTTTTTATTAATTATCTATAATTAATTTTTATAAACTATTTAACAAAATAAAACAATTAACAATTTTGTTTAGCTCTTACAATAATTGATTATTGTTCTGATAATTTTGTATTTTGTTTGTTATTATATGATTATAAATATCATTACTTGAAGTAATTCAACAACAAAATTCCGATCAAAATTAATGATTTATAAAACAAAATTTATTTGTCGATGTTTTTATATTTATTTATTTCATTTCATTTCGTGTTTTCCCCCGTTGTGTCCCATATTTTATTTGGGATCAAATTCCTAATGGAATTACAGTTATCCGGAACAGTAATTTGTGGACCAATAATGATAGTATACATTGATATTATAAGATATATCAAAAATATAAATATATATATTATTTATATATATATATATATATATATATATATATATATATAGATGTATTGAAATAAATAAAATGAAGTTTTATTAACATTTTTGTTGCTTTTGTATATCTATGTTATTAATGTAAGCGTAGATTAAAAATAAGAAAAATTAATTACAACTTTATTATCACTTAAAATGTTAGCTTTATATGTAAGATACAATTATTGTAAATATTTTTTTATATATTATGTTTCATTTCATTAATCAAATATTTTTGTGGTAAACCAATTGCATGTTTTCTAAATAATAATTATTAAAGTTTTATATTGACACTAAATTTAATTAAATATATTGTACAGGTATATTATATAACATATAATAAGTATATATTTTAATATATAATACGCATATTTTATTTGTCTTTATGTTTAAATTTGAAATATACAATATTTGTATGATATTTTTCAATGCATTGAATTTACTAATTAAATAAAAAATAAATTTTTAAAATTATTTTATTAATTAATATATTATTTAATTTAACAGTCAATTGTCAGCTGCAGTCACAGCAATATTTCCGGACTCGACCGCAACCGACAGCCGAGGTTATAGAGGGCGGGACCCTTACATTACAGTGCGGTATTGGAAACCAAAGAGGATCAGTCCAGTGGGCCAAAGATGGCTTTGTATTAGGTTTGATCCCATTTATAAATATTGTCATTTAATGTATTACATTATCATATCTAATTAATTAATCGCTTAATTGAATGTATAATTGAATTAATTATACATTCAAGTATTTTTCTAGTTTTAAATGATGAGTATTTTATTTCAATGTATAAAATAATTTTTATTTATTATTTTCATCTTGAGATTAGACCATTTATTATATATATATGCAAATATCAGTATCTCATCACTGGTTTTCTCAAGTGAATTGTTTTTTTTTTGTAAACAAAGTTTATGTTTATATTTTTAATATAAAGCATATTTTTGCATACAGTTTATCATAAATTAATTATTACTTTTAAATGCTAATCAATGCAGAGATTCATATGTTTTGTGAATTTAATTTAGTGCTTAGTTTTTAATTAATAATAATAATAGTGTTGTGTTTATAATAATCATTTATAGATATAATTATGTTTGTTAATAATTTGTAATGAGGTTTTATATTAATTAATTTATATAAATTAGTTTTTAGATATGTTTTCTCAGAGATGACTTATAATGGCATCTATTTATCAAAAATAGTTTTCTCATCAGAGACTTAGAAAAATTACTATTCATTTATTTCACTAATAATGAATGGATTCAAATATTTTATAGACTACTACAGTATGCTAACCCTATTTGCATCCCTTTCCTTCTAAACATTTACAAATAAATACTATTAGTTTGTCTTATGTGTGGCACTAAAACAAATAAATTAATGATTATTTTTGTGCCAAAATGCTTAAAATAATTAGTTTTTTTCCTTTTAAAAAATTTTTTGTCTATTAATTTATTAGTTACGAAAGAAACGCTGTTATAGTTGTACTGAAGTATACAAAAAAATTGTAAATTATTTCACTTTTATATTTCATTGCCGTATGTTATATATATATGGCACTGATTTTGTTAGTATGTGTTGTTTTCAAAAAACGAAATATATTTGCATAAAATTGTAATTTTGGCTAAAAAACAGCTAAATTGTACTGAAAAATGTGTGTTAAAATAAAAAAAGGGATTAAACAGTGAGTTGTTATTATATGTTTGCAATTTATTTGTTTTGGTGAACTAATAGACAACAAGAAAAACTCATTTAAATTATTCGATAATTATTCCTATTTTTATATACATTATCTTAAATTATGTTAATTTCTTTAGTGTCTTACATCAAACATCTATTCATTTTTCTTATGTTATATATTGCATGTATTTTAATGACATACCCGACAAAACATTCAGTTTATACATTTTTTCCATGAATTTATATAATTAATATTTTTTCTCCCGAAAAGTTTAAAAATAATTTTTTTGGTGAAATACATAAAGATGTATTCATTGACTGCAATTGGAGTGCAAAACATATTTATGAGAGAAAATAAATGATTTTTATCTTATGTTTATATAGAGAATAAAAATGAAAAAAAAGTATTAGTAAATTAAATTTATTTTTCGCTGATTTTCACTTCATTTTTCATATAAAATTTGATTATTTATTTCTATAAAAAATAAATTCTTGAACTATATTTTTAATACACAGCCAACAAACATACTATACTTTAAAACTAGAATCACTCTTGTATTATACAGTACTTGTATATAATATTTTTTATACGTAATGTATATTTATTTGTCTCCTACCGGTGCTATCCTAAAACTCTCTCTCTCTCTCTCTCTCTCTCTCTCTCTCTCTCTCTCTCTCTAAATATTTAAAACAAAAAAAATAATTTTATTTTTATCGATTGCAAAGTGCAGTTAATTTTGAATTTCTATTTACTTATATGTATTTTGAATGCCTTAAGCCATTGAACAATATTTTAGTAAATGCATCGATATATTTGGTTTTAGCTTATATTTAGCTTATATTAATTAAAAAAGTGTGATTTTTGTTTATATTATAAAAGTATATGTATATATATTTTTTAATTTATAAAAATTTGTTTATCAATTAGTTATTTAATTGCTATGCATTTAAATTTGTAAATTAATGCATTTGTATCAAATAATATGGAAATAAATGTAATTTAAATTATTTTGAATGTTAATTGACTTTAGTATTGATATGAATAATTTAAAAATTGATTAATTTATTAATCATTGATTAATTGATATTTAAAAATGACTTAGACTTTAATTTAAGAAACATATTGTATTGTTATAGTTTATATTTATATATATAGTTTATATATACAGTATATATATATGATTATACTGTACCGTAGAGTAGCAATAGTATTAAGTCTGCATCAAAGTATTGGTTTGATTATCATAATAGCGTTGAGATAATTGTTGTCGCAATCAAAGTAAATGTTGTGTAAAGAGAGCGCCGGAAATGGCAACTGATATACAAAAATGACAACACATTTGTTGTTTATATAAATTTAGTGCAGACTATAGTTAGTGAACAATATAATAATAATAACAATAATAACAATAACAACACATAAGAATGTGTTTGTATATAAAATGATAGATTTGTGACACAAATACATTGAATAAGAATAATGACTTCAATCGGTTGAACAAATATAACGGGATATTCACTGTCCATCTATTTCTTTGGATACCATTTCTACTGATTTCTAGAGTCAATGTCTCATTATTTCCGGCATTCATTTCTTGCCGACCAAACAAATGGCTTTCAGTTATGCAAACACTTTATTTTTATGTCATCTTTATCTCTCTTTCTATATATATATATATATATAATACAATCTATAGTTATATTTATTTCAATCTTTAAAGAATATTCTGTTGTATACTAATGTTTTTAAGTAAATGTTAGATCTATGATGTTTTTAAAAAATTTTAACTTAATTTTGGCGTCTTTTAGATGAGCATTAAAAACCATATAATTACTTTGAATGCATGGATGCATTTGATATAATTTTTGATAAATGAATTAAAAATAGTTTAAACACTGAAAACAACTAATAAAACATTACTATTCTTTCATGTAATTACAGTATAACACTATTAATGAAATATAATGTATACAACTATATGTGTTATATAACTGTAAGTGAATGTGAGCCGAGAATTGTTGCAAAATAGCTTTGATAACATTTTTGCCGACATATTATGTCTTATAAAAGACATTATTTTTTCAATAATTAATCATTTTTACAACTTTTATGTACACATATCATATGAATCTATAGTAATATTAAATTGTTTTTTAATGAAAAATATTTATTTTGTTATTTGGAGAATTTCCATCTCTGAAAAAACATTTCTATATATAATAAAAATTTAAATCATTAAATTAATATCATAATCATTATTAATATTAATTATATTTTACTATTATTTTATTAATAGGTTTCGATAGAAGTATTCCGGGATATGAAAGGTATGCTACTATTTGTTGGTTTTTATTATTATTATTAAAAAACATGCAAAACATATTTACAAAAAAAACAACAAATTAATTAATGTAATTAATTATTTGGCTAAAAAGCTATTTTTATTGTCTAATATGAGCTGAAAACACGAGTAATAAACAGTTTGTTGTTTGTGATAGAAATTTCACTTTATTTTTTGTTTAAAAGATTTTAATAATTAATGAGATATTGTATTTCAGTGAAGACTCAGAGGATAATAATAATAATAATGAAAAATAGATGATTGAAGATGTATTAGACAATGAAGTTTTACTAAACGAAATAAATAAAAAGTTAATCTCTATATCACAGCAAATAATATTTAATTCATAATATATATCAATCATTTTTATATCATATGTTTATAATATTTTATAGCTCTTATATTTATAACATTTTTTATAGAATGAATACAAAATTACATATTTTATTATATTTTTGATGTTTTCAAGTTTTTTTACAAACAAATATAAAAATGCATTTTTTTCACTACACAGGTATTCGATGACAGGCGACGCTAATATAGGAGTACATAATTTACGTATTGTTAGAGCAAAAAATGAGGATCAGGGAGAGTACCAGTGCCAGGTATGTCATATTTTATATTATTTAATCAACTTTTTTTGTGTTTACTTAATTAACTTTTTAACAAAAAATTTTTTCATATCTGATTAACAATACATTTATTATAATTGTCTTGTTTTAAAATATTTTATAAAATTTTTAAAAATAAAATGTTAAATGTTTATTTTTTTATTATCTTACGATTACTAATTATTTAAGTGAAATTTATAATTTTTATTAAAAATGTCTAACCGTTAATGGACTCATTAAAAGTAATATAATTGATTAGTTTGCACCACAAAACTTCACTTATAACTAATATATAGATAAAGTGCTTTAATAAGCAAATTATCTCAGTTTTAGTCATTGAATGGCTCTTTTGTATTGAACCTTCAGAAGAATGTCAACTATTTGTTTGTGTATTAATGATGTTATGAAGAGAGCCATCATTGCTAACAATGATTAATGAACTGTTATTATAGTAGTGTCGCACTCATACCTCATTCAATAGTGTCGGTGCTCTTCTTCACACTTTTTTTTGCAGACAACACAACACAACATACAAGACATAAGAAAAACTCAATTTCCGACTCAATTCCCGAAACTCTAATATTATATAATAAGAGTACAATTGATAAGAATATTTCCCGACAATAACAACAACTCTTTTTTCTTTTTATATACAAACAGATAATTCATTTTTTATATTTATTTATTTATAATTTTATTTTTTTTAATTCATTAACATAGACATCGTTTTAATTTATATTTTCTAAAAATATAGTAATCAATAAATTTATATGAAATTAAAATTTAAAATATTAATTGAAGCACTTGGTTATACACCCTATAACACATATACGTTAATTATATAATAAATATTAATTATTTGCTCCGATGATCACAGACTTAATTATAAGTATATTTAATATTATTTGATATGAGATTTGTTTTACTTGAACTTCACTTACATTAGATAACTAATCTGATAAAATAATTACAAAGATATTTATAGGGGACACACAAAAAGTTTTAATCTCTTTTGTTTGACTTTTCTATATATATATATAATTATCTCATATAATAATTATTTATTTTTACATTTTGTTGTTTGAATGACAACACAGGTCGGGCCCGGACCGGGTGGTAATCAACCGATAAGAGCCACAACTAAACTGACAGTTTTGAGTAAGTCTTTAAATTTTATTTAAATCTATTTTGTTTTTTATCACATATTTATAGTTTATTTTTATAATTGTATAAAAAACTATATTTTTACTAAAAAAAATGTTTAATATAAATTTGAATGTTTTTATATAAAAACAATTTATTATATTTTTAAATACAATCAAATATAATCTTATTATATATTATTATTTTACATAATATATTTGACTTTTGATCTCATTTTTTAAAATATAAAATATTACGATATAAAACTTTTAAAAGGATTAAAATAGTTCAACTTTTTTCTGTCTCACCATGAGTTAAATGATTATTTCATTTTTTTATATTTATATTATCTATATATATATATAAGTAAACAAAAACACACATATCATTAGTTTCACTGTTAAATGTAGTGAAATAATTAAGTAAAATATTTTCCTTTTATTCACTGATAAAATTGAATGTTTTTCATGTTTTTCATGTTAATAAACATTAAGAGTATTGAAAGAGGTTTTCATATCTAAATACTCTGTTAACATAAAAGTTGCAGAGAGTATACAAATGAAATGTTTTTGTTTGTCATTTTAAAAAACTTTAAAGACAAATATTTATTATCATCTGATCTAATGGTCAGAAATAATAATAATATATCAGCACAAAAAAAACACACATATATATATATATATATATACTTAATAGATAGTCACATACACTTGATATACAATATATTCTATAAAGACTGTATAATACAGTATATAATTCGTACATAACTTGAATATATATTTATACACTATACTAACATAAGTATATACACTGTATATATACATAGTATATATACTGTATATCTCGTCTATGTTTTATTGTTATGAATTGAGCTGAAAGAGTGTTTTTTGTGTTTCATATAAAATAAAAAGAATATATATTTTTTGTCTATATTTTTATTAAATTTTTTTTATATCTTTTTACATTATTATTATCCATTAAAGTGAACTCACTATATATATATACTGAAAAGTGGCTCAAAGAAATAGTTTTTAGTAAATTTTACACAATTGTATAAATACAGTATTAGATAATATCGCAGTGCAAACAACTATGATATAATTTCATAATGCATTCAATGATTGTTATTTTATGAATAGATTTTTTGAGATCATATAAACTTATTTTTGATGAATAAGTTATTTAAATAAATTAATGTAAAATATCTCTTTCGAATTGGCTTTAAATGAATGACCAGTTATTCAATTTACTCATTAATAATATACAAACAAGTCTTTAAGTATTGTAATTTTAAATTATCAAATTTAGTGTATTTAAGATTAAATTTATTTTATAAGAGACCATAATCTATGTTATTGATTATCAAAGTCGTTAATTTCCTATACATTTTATACAGCATTTTTTTTAATTTAATTCAATTTAAAAAATAAATGGCACTTTAAAATAATGATTTATAATGATTAGAAATTTAGAAACCAAGTCATTTAGATAATAGATAAATTGTGGTACTTTTTTATACATACTTAGATTACTGTAATTTGAATTAAATGCTAACATTTATTTAACCACCCGTCCAGTCCCGCCCAGTTCTATTGAGATAACTGGCCACACAAACCAAACACAAGTGGAGGTCAAAGAGGGTCAGTCCATGGATTTAGAGTGTGTTGTTACTGGAGGCAAACCGTCCGCACAAATCAAATGGTTTCGTAAGAATATTGAATTGAGAACAGACAACGTGACTGTCCGGACAGCGTCGGTTGATAATGAATTGATGGTCTCTGGCCATCAACCAACCGAAGTGTCTGTTTCTGTATCGACAATAACAGTGAGACCACACGCTGAAGATAATGGTGTGATGTATACGTGCGAAGCTATTCACACGGCCTTATTAGCGCCTATGAGACATTCGCTCACATTATCTGTATTATATCCGCCCGGTATGTATTGCATTAATACATTTTAAGTTTTCATATTTATTTAATCCAATTGTCACAAATCAGGTTCACCAGAGATAACTGGTTACATAGAGGGTGAGACCGTTAGAATGGGTGATACATTGACTTTGGTGTGCAAATCAATTGGAGGCAATCCATTGGCACAATTGGTTTGGTATAAGAATGATGAAGAAGTAGACTTCTCGTTCACGACGACAGCTAATAGACAATCAGCTAATTCTCATACATTTGTTGTCGACGCGTCTGACAATAATGCTGTCTACCGGTGTGTCGCCTCATCGTCCATCACACAGACACCAATGGTGGCAGAAGTCAAACTTCAGGTCCACTTTGCACCAGCAAAGGTATACATCAATGGCACCAAAGAGGCTAAATCTGGCGATACTGTAACGATGACCTGTCATACGGAGCGAAGTAACCCTCCATCAGAACTTAGTTGGGTTGTCGATGGAAGACCTGTGACGGCCACTAACAGTATTGTTGCCGATCCGTTAGGAGGTTGGGTTAGTTCAGCCAATGTTACGGTAGTGGTCACTCCACAGGACAGAAATATGAAAATGTTGTCCTGTTATGCTATAAATCAAGCACTGGGAGAAACAATTGTTGAAACAGCGGTACTAAGTATTTTATATCCTCCCGATCCGCCCAACATATTTGGTTACACTGAAGGGACATCAATACGTGCCGGTTCTCTGCAACGGTTGACTTGTGTGTGCAATGGAGGCAATCCTTTGTGTAATCTCAAGTGGTTTAAGGGAGAGACAGAAATAATATCGGGAACTACCGTTAGTACTAATGGTAATGTTGTCTCCAATGAAATTGCTATAATTACAAAAGATAGCGATAATGGAGCTCAATATCGGTGTGAAGCCAGCAATTCAGCTACAATTGAACCGTTGATAGCAATAATACAGCTAACTGTTCACTGTATGTCATTTCCAATAAAATTTATTTGTAAAAGATATTAATTTTTTGTTTATTAATACTTATGTTTAGTCCCACCTTCCGGTGTGTTCATTAAAATGAGTCCAAAACAACCCAAAGCTGGAACTCATGTAGAGTTGGTTTGCGAAACGGGTAGTTCTAATCCAGAATCAGTGGTCACGTGGTGGAGGGATGGCTTCCTTTTGAATGGACATCAGGACGGTATCATAGATGGACTGTATGGAGGAAAGACCACCAGAAATATATTACGACTCAATGTCAGCAGTGATGACGACGGAACTGTACTCACATGTCAGGCAACAAACCGTGTGCTCCAGCAGTCAGTCCACGACGCGACCACTCTTAGCATTCAATGTAAGGATTAGTCGGTTCAGAAATAATTGTTAACAAATAAGTAATAAATTTATTTTGTGTTTTTAAGATTCACCTGAATTTCTCAACTCTCCTTTAACTCAATTTGATATAATTGAAGGCCAGCCGTCTGTTATTAATTTGACGGCAAAAGGCAATCCCTCACAAATTGAGTACAAATGGTCGCGTCAGACGGAGACCATTACTGCGGCCACTGAAACAACTACCGGTTCGCCTATCGATTCTCCGCGTATACAGAGTAGTGGACCCATACTTAACATCAGTGAAGCCAAAAGAGGCGATTCAGGTGTTTATAAACTGTACGCTCAAAATGAGTTGGGATTGAGTGAGACGGCCATCAAAATCAATGTTCAATGTATGTTCAATATGTCCGATGTATATATGATATATAGTTTAATAATTTAATATCTTTTTATAGACTCAGCACAGATACTTAAAGTAAGCGAAATGGTTATGATTGACGAGTGGGCCAATGCATACTTGGAGTGCAACGTTGACGCCAATCCCAGCACCGATACAACTATCACTTGGCGCCGACGGTTCCGCAATGAATCTGATGCTATCGTCACTCAAGAAATTGATTCCTCCAGAATGAGAGAAACAATCGAAACCATTGACACCGTTGGCATCAGTGGTTCGGGCTATACTTTAAAGGGATCACTAGCCATATATAATACAAGTTTAGAGGATTCGGGGCAACAATTTGAATGTGTGGCCAACAATGGTATCGGAGATAGCGATACAGCCATCGCTACATTACTTGTTTTACGTAAGTCTCAGTGCTTTAATTGGAATATAAATATATTTTTAGTTTTATTTGATTATAATATATACTTTTGTTTACAATTTAATGTGCAGTTTATTGTTTTTGCATTACATTAGTACTGAAACTATTATTGGAAACATATAGTAGTTTTGTATTGTTTTCACACAAGTTTCGTGAGAACTATTCATAAAAACAAATTATACTTATTTTATGGAAACATTTTAATGTCCAGAATATTCTGTTTTTTATTATTTTTCCAACAGTGATAAAATAAGTGATAAAATGTTTATGTTTTATGTGTATGTGTGTGTATGTGTGTGTATGTGTGTGTATGTGTGTGTATGTGTGTGTATGTGTGTGTATGTGTGTGTATGTGTGTGTATGTGTGTGTATGTGTGTGTATGTGTGTGTATGTGTGTGTATGTGTGTGTATGTGTGTATGTGTGTGTATGTGTGTATGTGTGTGTATGTGTGTATGTATGTATGTATGTGTGTGTGTGTGTGTGTGTGTGTGTGTGTAAAAATTTACGAATATTTTCACTCGAAATGTATATAAATGTCTTATAAATGTCCTTTAAGATTAGAAGAGGGAAAGATTTTTTATATTATTTATACAACAATAGTAATAATAATAATTATTTATTACAATTGCTATTTATATATATATATATATATATATTGATATATATATATTGATATATATATTATTTTTAGTCATAACACATTTAGGCGATATAATACTTGATATTTGCTAAGTCTCGCAATTGATTAAAACAATGGGTATTCATATTAATATTGAACGGCAATTGGAAATAATTTTTATTTTTATGTCTTTATTTGTATTATTTGGAAAAAATTTAATAATTAAAATAAATTTCTTTTTACAGATAAGCCAATTATAGACAGATCACCCATTATATCCAAGTCGGCCACTGATGACGGATCAAGCGGTAGATTATACTGTAGAGCACAGGCAGCGCCTAATGTGACTTTTACATGGACTCGGGAGGGACAGATACTGAGCACTGATAGCAAAGCTATAGGTGTTATTAAAAGTGAATCCACAAGTGATAAACAAAGGAAAGGCTCGGAACTGAAAGAAAAAGAAGTTAAATATATTATAGAACCGACACAACAGTTAGATTTAGTGAACTACCAGAGCGTACTAATTATTTTGGACGTACAGAGTCAGGATTACGGGGCCTATCAGTGCATAGCACGCAATGATCTGGGCTTTGATGCCATAACCATTCAATTGAACCGAACTTCAAAACCCGATCCACCACTTGCTCTTCGAATTCTTAACATAACCGAGTCATCCGTACAGCTCCGGTGGATACCTGGTTTTGACGGCGGTATTGGCCAAGATTTTAGGCTCAGATACCGACCGACTTCGAGTTCCGATCCGTCCTTTACATACAAAGATGTCTATCCGGCCAACTCTACACAAATAATATTGACTGGTCTTAATGAGGACACGGAATACATGTTCGGTGTTCAGGCCATCAACACTATGGGTCACTCAGACTTTACCATAGATATTGTCAAAGCCAAGACTCTTAAAGGTTAATACAATTATTTTGAAAAATTATTAATATAATAATATTACTAAATTTTTCATCTAAAGAAACTCCAGTCACTGAAACTGAGAAAATCATATCAAAAATTATGAACGAAAGGGCGGGTGATTTGCCTAAACTTATACTAATTGTATCAGTTGTGGGCAGTTCTCTACTATTATTTAATATCGTAAGTTTTCAAAAATATTTTTCATTATAAAATTTGAATAATTATTACTTTGACATTAAATTTGTCTAAACATACATTTTTAGCATATTTTTCACTTAAAATTAATTATCAAAATACTTATTTACAGGTTTTAGTTGTTTGCTTTGTACGTAAACGCAGGAGAAAGCGTTACGAAGAGGGTATGTATTGACTATTAATTTATATATTTTTTTGTTATTAATACTTAAGAATATTTCTATATATTAATGACTTAAACGATGTAAAGTTATAAATAATAATAGACATAAATTTTAACACTTTTGCAAATAAAGTTCAAACAATTTTTCAAAATTGAAAAGATTACAAATGAATATTCAGTTCAAAGTTTAGTTAAATAAGTTTTCTTAAAATAATTAATTTTATATAAACTTTTTAACAAAATTTTATATAATCTAAGATTTATTATTAATGATTGGACCCTAACTTTAATAAACAAAATAATTTTATTATATAATCACTTTCACAAGTTATACCCTCTCATCGGTTAATAGAAAAATTTGTAGAAAATTTTTAACAAAACTACAATTACTTATCATATTATTAATGCTAAGACTCACACCCTTTGAATTATACAATCATTTCAATCCACCGCTCACTTAGTCATTCATTCAGACTTTTTTTTCTCTCATAAACACATTATTTATAATACAATTTAAATAAATCTTAGGTTTAGATAGTTATTAAGCATTTTTACAGTTGACGAGTAAATAATATTTTTGGAAAACGATCACAATTTTGAAAATATTTTCTAATAAAGGTTTCTCTCTTTTTTTCAATTTTGAATTATGTATTATTCACATCCCTTGTTATTGTAATTTTTTTTTGAATATATCACATAATATCCAATACCCCTAACTTTTTAGTATAATCTCTAACTTTTTTTGTGTTATAATTTTTTGTATGTCTTATGCATTTCCAAAACCAATACATAGTTTTGGAGCGTTTATGCAAATTATGCCGAAGTAAGTAATAGTTACTGTTTATTCAAAATAATGATTTTGTAGTATTTGTTAAATGCATTGTTATTTTTTATACCATAAATAACATTTATATTAATGTTATATATATATTAATTATTTGTGTGCAAATAAATTGAGAATTTATTTTAAGACTTTAAAACATAAGTTTTCTGAATAAATAGTCTATTTATTGATGTATAAAAAATATGTTTAAAGAAATTAATGTTCTTTTAGTTTTGCAAATGATTTTTATTTGAAAATCGGAGTAATTTTCAACAAACTATTGTTGAAACATAAATAATTTCGTTTAATTTGCTGTAAAAGAATTTCAATGAGTTTTACACTTGTAATACATTTTATTTTTATATTTTGTTTTTATTGTTTTATTTTTTTTGGCTTTTGTTTGTGTATATTAGTGGCAAATGCAGTCAATTTGGTTTTCGATACATTAATTATTTATATATTTTTTGTGTTTACAATTTTATTATACTTTTATAAATATTTATTCTATTTTCACATAAAATTTATTTTTTAATATATAATCTTTTTTTATAATTTTAAATGAGTATCTTTTATTGAATAATTAAATTTGTTTTTGTTTTTATCTAAATTAACCTTTTATTTTATATTAAAAATCAATAATACAGAGAGCGATGGCACCGAAAGTAAGACAACAGGCAGTTCCAAGACAACTATGGAGATGTATCAGAGCTCTAACAGCACTGCCTATCATAAAGAAAACAATGAGACCTCACTTAGTGAAGAGGATGACGAAAATAAAAGCCAAAATCACGACAATTATTCCGGACATACGGACTATGAAATGGTTAGTCATAACTGACTTTTATTAATACAATATAATTTAATATTTATGCAAAAATCATAATAAATAGTTTAGTTATTTTATATAAAGTAATAATATTCAGAAAAAATTATTATTATACAAATATCGATAGTAATTTGTAATACTAAAGGAATTTTTAATTTTTAATATTTCTTTTAATTATTCTATAATTTAATCTATAACTTATATTTTTACCATTTAAATGATATATTTTTGGTTTAATTACATTTAAAATAATTGCATAACAAAATAATTTGTATTTATATATTATATACTGAATTTATCAAACATTTAATGTATAGATAGAATAATAACATTATATTTATAATATAAATACATTGCTATTACTCATGTGTTGATATTATATAACATTATATAAAAGTTTTATTATATATAAAAGAGAAAATAACAAATAAATTGAATCGAGACTATCGTTAGCTAACTTCTCTTTTTGCTAACTATGTCCACATACTGTATAAACTATATACAATATAAGTATATATATATATATATATATATATATATATAGCAATAGCAATAGCAATACATTAGATATATTCTTGAATAGAAATACAGAGAATCAGAGAAAACATCAAATAGTAATGCAATCAATCAGAGGAACAATAACTAGAAGTTTATATTATACTAACATAACTTATATAACTGTTTTGTTGCCAATGCTTATCATATAATATTGTGAAATACACTTCTTATAGGAGATCAGTCCGTCAGGAGTGGTGACGACTCACTCGCACGGAATCAGCACTTATTTGATTGACGACGCGATAGCCCCCTCTCAACACTACCCGAACACTCGGTTCACAAGTCTCGGTGAGTATCGACACTCTATCCCTATTGTAACGACATATCAAATAGTAATATATTTTTAATGTTTAATACAATTAAGGCTTAAGAACTGCTATTTTGATGCTTTTATTTCTTACTTTTCTTACATTTGATTTTTATATACATTTTTAGTCTCTATTTGAGTTTGTTTTTGTTTTGACAGTTTGATTACCATTATATTTATTAGCTGACATAACTGTCCACATGTGTTGGCGTTAAAGTTATAATATTTAAAGATATAATAAATAATTTGATTTACTTTCTTGCCTTACAGTGAGTCCTGTAGGTCCAGACCTAACTACGAGCACATATTTTATAGACCATCCAAACGATGAGTACGCTTCTGCCTTAAGGAAGAATGCATACAATCAACAGCTGGCGGTCAATAGCACCGGCAGTCTATCGCCGTCACCTCTGCCACCACTACAGCCGTTGTCTATTAGTCTGTCCAACAGTCAGTCACCAATCAATTCTGTCAATTATATGGGCACTCGTATTGGCGACCATTTATCACAATCTCATTCAGTATGTATTACATAACACATTGCACTTCACTCTTGAATCTAATTTTTAATTCAACTAATAGTTACACTAATGATATAAAACACTAATTAATTATTTATAAGTTATTATTTGTCATAACTTTCGAGAATACATTAACTCTAAAAATAAATTAAATACATTTCTAATTAATGATTCATTTGTAAGTTGTTTTTACTAAAAAATTGTAATATTTAAACATAATTTTAACTAATTATCACTAAAACATTATCTAATTACAATAATTAGTTTTTTCTATTGAGACAACTATTTGATGAAATTTAAGATCATTTATTATTAATGATATTTCATTTAAAATATTTAAATCACTTCATTTTATATTCATATATACATACAAATATTAAATGCGGTCATAATATTAATTTTTATACTCAAACTTATTTGATTATCTAAACAGATAACATAAATCACAATATCTAATGAAATATTTATTGTTTATTATATGAAATATGCAAACAAATGGATCATTAATTAAATATTTTTTTTGTTTCTTTACTTTTTACTATTTATATATTTTTATATTGAATATATAATAAAATCGCATGAAAACCAAAACTTCAACTGAATATTTCATATCGACTTTACAACCCATTCCTCTTTCAAATGCATCGTTATTTCAGTTTTCATTTCATATATAGATTATATATAAATATATAATAATATTCATCAATTTATAGCCAAATTCACATTATCAGCCATCACTATCATTATCGCCACATCATCAACAATCACAACAACTAATGCATCAAACGGTGCCACCACTGCCACCGCTCAGGAGTATCGGTGCCGTTGCGCCTAATATGACATCATTTATGCCGACTATCAATGAAGAGCCGCGCCTTTCATACGCACCGATGGGTCACTTAGTATAGCATTGAAAATATATTTGTTTTTGAAAGAAAATAATTTTTAAAGTTTTGTGTAAAATATGACTAAAAAAAGTAAATGCGAGAAAATGCTCTAATATTTTAGATAATAAATAAATTATTGAATATTTAATTTATAAACCAAATATTAAACTGATTTTTAACACAAAAATCTCTTTTTGTTATTCTTTATAGAGATTTATGTGTTGATTACAATCAGTAAAACAAATAAATTAAAGATTTATAGCTCTAATCTATTGATGTGTTCTCTATGTCTAATGTAATATAAATTTTTTTGCTCTCAATTTTTTTGATCATCTTTTTTAAAATAAGATGTTTTTGAATTATTAATTTTTAATCCTTATTATTATTGTTATTGATTTTTAAATAAATGAAACAATTGTGAAATATTATTATTTGTTTATTTATTATAATTAATATTTAATCTAAAAGCACATAAAAGTATACAAAAGCAAAACTAATTATTATATAGATTTATAAAAAGAATAATTAAATAATACAAATAAAACATAACATAATTTATATATACTTCTGTATAATATATATATACAATATATATACAAAAATATTTAAATAAATTTTTGTAATAAGTAAATAAAATTTTCCAAACAAATAATTTATAATAATTATTATAATGTATAAACTTTTATATTAATAACATTTTTATAATAATTAAATAATTAAAAAAGGCATTTCATTATAGATGAGTATTATTATTAAACACGAATATTGTGACAATTGTGTAAATTTATTTTAAAGTGCCTTATAATTAAAAAAATTAAAGATTATTTGTAATATTTGATAGATTTTTATATAAATAATTACAAAAATGTCATCAAATATATTGTTTAAATTTTGCTTTTGTTTCTTTGTATTATACTTTGCATAAAGATTAACATTTTTACATAAAATGTAATATTAATAGTCTTTTTATTATCAATAATATATTTAATATTATAGTACCTTTGAAATTGTGATTAAATTAATATTAAACAAAATGAATTGTATATAATAATAAATTCAAATAAACTTTATTTATCAACCAAATTATTAAAAAATATATTATTATTTATTTTATTGAATTGCTTTATATGTATCTTTGAAAAAGCATTTTAAATGATTTCTATTAAATAATAAAAAACTTTAGTTAAATAATTAGATATTAATTTTGTTAGTATTGTCTGGAAAGGAGATTCAATAATGTTTATTTGCTTTTTAAAAATATTTATAAAGGGATTAATTTATTTAGTTAATTAATATATATTTGTAATTTAGTTTTAATTAACATATTAATAATTGATAGCATTTATCATTTAAATAGACTATCAAATCGTTTGTTATACAAGTCATACTACAGTATTAATATAATATTTAGCTTAATATTACTAATTTATGACTTTTCAAACCAACATATAATGACTTTCCCGACCTATGAATACTATAAAGTCGACCAAAAGGTGTCTCTCTGTATGTGTTGTGAAGACAGTCAGTGATAGTTGAATGAGTTGTCAAGTATTTGGTCTTAAAATAATCATAATTTCTGGTCCAGAAGTGATGACTAACCAGAGTGTCGGTCATTCAGATGACGTGATATAAACAATACGAATCGATGGACAACATCACTAACACTTGGATCAGATAGTAGTTGAATAATCATTGAAACATCTAATCCATACTCTATATATACTGTATATATAAAAACTATTGAATAAAATTTATATAAAATTTTACAAGTTTTGTTGTTTAAAATTTACACAAAAAAAATGTTTTTCATAAATTTATATAAAACTTTAAGTGTTGAAAGTTTATAAATTTCAGAAAATATTTTACAAATGTATTATTTATATAAAATTTTTATTTCAATAAAACTTTGTCTTAATTATTCACTTCTTGACCGATGATAACCAATACATTGTGAACCAGTTGTCTCAACAGTGGATCCATTTGTGTGTCATAATTGCTATTAATTTATATTCAGTCATCACTCGACCACTCTTTACAATTAACACAACTTTTATTAATTCAAATGTATTACATAAGCGATGAACACTTCATTTGATTTTTAATCAATAGATGGCTAACAATGTCTTACAGTTTATACAATGAATCGCAAGAATATTCTTTTAGTTTTGTAATCATTTTTTATAATATAATATTTGTTTTGTTAATATTTTGATAATAAATTTTATATTTCTAGTTATATATTATATAATTTAGTATTTTATTAGTATTTTATTCACACAACTATTTGCTAATGATTAATAATTAAATAAACAATTCATTAAAAAAGTTTAACTAAAACATGATATTTATTTACATTTTTGTTTTAAACTAATGAATATGATTTGAGTGAATAATCAGTTTTTGTTATGTATTTAAATTTTATTTTATGTTTACATTTTACAAAGTTTTTGCTTAAAAAATTAAATTATTCAAAAATAATAAATTTTATTTATAAATTAGTATTTCAACTATCTTTAAATAATATGTGGAGTAAAACATTTGTATTAATGTAAAAGTTTTGATTTTATAATTATATATAATTTTGTTGAAATAAGTTTTTCCAATTAATTTCTCAGTGATTGAGTCATAAATATGTCAATTGTTATACATATCGTTGTTAAGTGTGTTGAATGTGGTGTCAGAGCTTACAAATTGACAGTTGTCTCCAATCTTACACTTATCTGATTCAATGATTGTATGATAAAACTTAGCAACTCTTACAAAACATATAATATATAAATATTAGCACAAAATCATTTACAAACAAACAAAAAATTAATACATTTTATTATACGATTGCTTTTATACTATTTAATATATGATGAAACAATCGTATAATAAAATGTATTAATTTGTTGTTTGTTTGTAAATGATTTTGTGCTTATATTAATAATAATAATGTATATTATATAATGTGTGGCAACAAACAGATAATTTTTATATATAAAGGACTTGTCTCAAAAAGAAATTATTAGGAAACGGATTATAAAATCAAATAACAAATTTTGAACAAAAATATTACATATATAATAGTAAAATATCTAAAAATTTTACAATATAAAATTATATAAGAATCAAAATATGATTAAAATTAAATTTTTAAAAGTAATTTTATTTTTATGTAATTGCAAATTTAAAGCAACAATACTTAATAATGTACTTTAAATAGTACAATCAACTATATTGATAAAAGTTTTAAAAATAATTATTAAATTAAGCTTGTTCAATTTCACAATCGATTTTTAAAAATTGTAACTGTATTGTAATCTTAATTCATTGTGAATATTAATGTCTTTTATAAGATAATTAAATAAAAATAACATTTTATCTTATTTTAATTATAAATAACAATTTATACTATTTTACTCTCGGGTATCCACAAATTATTTTACATAAATAAATTTAATGTATTATTAAGTAATATTATCATAAATATTATTCTAGATAATTTGGGGTAATACTATTAAAAATGCAATTTAATTACATTTTAATTATAAAATGCTTTCTGAATCAAGTATATTAAATTTTACATATCATGTTTATAAAATATTTTATAATAATGTGATAATTTAACTTTATAAAACTTTCTGTACTAATTAAAAATTAAAAATATTTTTTTTGAAAATTACTAAATTTCTATTTTTCATATAAACCGAAAAAAATATATTTATTTATCAATTATTTTTTACTTGTCTTTGTATCCATTATTATCTATATATAATTATTAAATTAATACTTTCTTTTTTTACATTTTTAAAAAAATAATCTACTTTTATAAGTTATTTTGACCTTATGTTATAAGCTGTAACTGTTTTATAACTTTGGTTTTCGTAATCCAAATAAAATTATTTTTTTATCATTAAATTGTTTTTATACTTTTTTTATGTTATCTGAAAGTTTCAATAATATCTATAAAGATTTGATCCGTTTTTGGGACAAAACCTTTTGCTAATATGATGTCAATATTATAAACAAATAAACAAATATTATATAACAAACATTACTTTAATTAATGATATATTTGTCATTAAATGATTATTTGAAAATTTAACATTTCCGACAATTATTCATATATGATATTAATCACAATATTATGTATTGTATAATATGCTAAATGTTTTGAATTTAATATGTATCTGTAATATCACTTATTAATTTATATTTTTTTAGTTTACATAACTTAATAATTATTTAATAGTTTTATATAATATTATGTAATATATAATTAAATTAGTCAATTAATGTTTACAAATTTACTTTTCATAAAATAATATTTACTTAATTTACAAACATTTAATAATCTGTTTTTATGATAATAAAAATTTATTTGAAACACACACACACATCACAAACTTGTTTTTACTAAGTTAACTATATTATCAATTTTTAACATTTATACAAAATATTTTATCACATTTTTTGTTAAGAAAAGTTAACCAAAACTTATTTATTTTTTATATAAATAATACGATATATATGTTTTTATATAAACACATTTTCTATGTTAAACAATTTAAACAAAGTTATATAAAAACATGTTATAACTTAGTTTGTTTGATTTTAAACAATTAGTAAAATCTACAGTATGTGCAAAATTTTGTTTTTTAAATGAGATTAAAATTAATATAAATGTATATATGAAACAAATGAATGATAAATCAATCAATTAATAGTTTTAAATAATAATGATTATAATATTAATATTTAAATTTGATAAAAGTTATAATAAATTTTATGATGAAAATAATTATTTTTTTAATTAAAATTTTTATGTGTAAACTATACATTATATCAAATTAACTTTTGTTTAATTGATTGATGTTTAATATAAATTATTAATAATAGTAATGTATGACTAAAATAATACTGTATATACAATATGTTAGACTAATTTTATCAAACACATAATTTGTATGTATTATACTGTATATTATAATGAATACTACTGTACTATAATATTATTATTATTATTAATATTTGTCATATCGTCCTAATCCATGTCTACCTGTTTAAGGCCAGAGTTGGTTATAATAATATTATCTTCACGTCTGGGCTGAACACTCTTGAGTTGTTCAGTTGCCGGTATCTTATCTTTGTTTTCGTCGACAATTTCATCACCAAATTCATCGATGTCTGCAATCCGTAGTTTAAATGGTGTTGAGTCGTCGTCATCGGAGTCGTCGAGACAGGAAAGGCCTACTAGTCCTGGCAGTAATAGCGATGAGGATAAGAGGACACCGCCGACGCAAAACACAGATAAGCCAATGATCTTACATAAGTCGAGGTTCTGGTTGAACATATAGGCCGCCCGATCGATAATTCGCATCTCCTCCTGATAGCGGATGTCTATATTCATACGAGGCATCAAATAGCCGGCCATTAGGACTAATGCACCAAAAACTAAAAGTATAAATCCTAAATACAAACAAACAATTTAACAATTAGTCTATTAATAGCTTCTTTTGTTGACAATATAATAGGTATAGAATTTTGGTTAAATTTTTATTGAATTCTAGCTTTTCATTCAATTTTCTTTCAAAGGCTATTATATTATACTGTATTGTATATCATAGAAAAATAATTTTAGTAAAATTAAATTTTATATATTGTTTGCTATTAAATATTTTAAGTCAATTTGATTTTAATTAATTATAAATTTTGTTTTGCATCTTTTTTGTAGAAAGTTATAAAATAAACAATAACTAGTTGTATAATTTATTTTAAAATATATTTAACTTAGTTTTTTATTTGATTGTATTTAATTTTATAATTTAAGTAATACTAATATTAATTATAAAGAATTTTACATTTACATTGTAAAATTTTTTTATACAATTTATGATAATATTTTAATTATATACAATACAATTGTTAAATTATTACAAGTTTAATATAATAAATATTATGTTAAAATATCATAATATGTATTGCAGTACTAATTAGTTAAAATTATTAATAGAACTATTTTCATATTAATATTCAGAGAAATATTAAGCAAAAAAATTATGTATTCATAACAATAACTGTTAAAATTTAGTTGAATAATAAATTATTGTTAATATTATTAACTAATTGTAATTCTGTATATCAAATATTTAGGTTATTATATTATTAAAATATTGTATAAATTATATTTTTTAGTATATCTTTTTCATTATTATAAAACACATACAATATTTAGATTTATATATTTACTGAAAATTGACGTATTTTTCTAAAAATAATGTTATCTATAATAACATATAAATTAGTTATTATTAAATAAAATAAAAATTGTTTTGCAATACCTATCCAAAAGATGGATCGCCATAAGCACAGAGCCCGACGTTTTTCTTTAGGTTCAATCAAATACCTATATATATATATATATATTAGATTTAAAAAAAATTAGTTTTATGTGAAATAAATTATTATAAATTAATTTTAATAACTTAATTTATATTTTACAGTATATTGTGTTTTTTTAAAATTAATTTAATTCAATTTTGACTTTTAAATTATGCGATAAATTACAACTAGATATTCATATCAATTTTAAATAATATTAAGTGCTTATAAATATAAGTGATTTTAAATATTAATTTATAAATCTTACATCAAAAATTTTAAAAACACTTTATATAAAATCTAGATTAATTTTACTTTGTATTAATTTAATTTGTATATATATATATATAGGTAACTTTATACTGTATTATACAGTACTAAAATGCTATAAAATAACATTTTGCATCACATAAAAAATATTGTAATAATATGTAAATTTAGTAACAGTTCTTAATTATTAAATTTCTAAAATTAAATAATATTGTTTAAAAGTTGTACACAATATACTAAAATATATTAATTTCTTAATTTACAATTTGCAAATTACAAATCAGTTTTTAAAATTATTATTGAATAAAATTTAATAATTAAATTAATTGAAATAAAACAATTTAAATTAAAAACTTTAAAAAAAATCTAATAATAATTTAATAATTTCAATAAAAATAATATATTTACTTATATTCTTCATATTCCTCATAGAGTTGTGGGTTTTTGACGGCCATCTGTTCGTAGAAGTGATGCAAATACGACTTCACACCAAAAAATGCCGGACAAGACTCGGGTCTAATCGGAGACTCAGAGTTTGACAGTTCATCGCATTCGTGAACACTGTCCAAGTGTTTGGCTTTTTTGTCATCACTTGTATTTAAACAGGTTTTCTGTGTTTAATCAAAGCAGACAAACAAAATAAATTTATTTTTAATAAAATAATTTAACATTCAATACCTCATCGATTTCAACCATTTTCCAACTTTTTATTATTATATAAATTGTAATTATCTTCAATTTGTATTAATTATAATGAATTAAGTTATTCTATAAAATTAAAATGCAATAATTTAATTAAATAATTAATTTTAATTTAAATAAAATTATTGAATAATTTAATTAGCTTATTGATTATTCAAAATTTAAATATAAATGCAATATATTATTGATATATACTTATATAAATTAATAAAAATAATATTTTTTAGCTATTGTAAATATTTTATAATGATCATATATAATAATTATCCGATAATCGGAATTTTATTATTTGTAAAATAAATATTTATTATTGTTTTTTAATATAACAAAATTAGTTACGTCTGATATGTTTAACATGTTATTTGATAAATTAAAGCAAAATAAAACTGACATAATGTTTGTCAACTAACATATTATTTTTGTTATTAATAGATAAATTGATTTTTTCAAACTCATCTTAGATTAATATTACTCTCTATTCATTCAATACTATAAAACAATATTCATGTTTTTATATTAAGAGTAAAAATAGTTAAAACTATCAATTTAATATTACATAATTAAATTTTATTGATCCATATTTAATTATTTTTATATATAATAACTATTTAAAAATAATTCAAGAAAAATAAACATATTTAAATATTACAGTTTTATTAAATTTATTTTTATATAAATAAAAAGCAATTTATATCATATTCTGCATTGATTTATACTTCAAAACTTTTATAATTTAACTAATAATATATTGTATTTATATATCATATAAAAATACTTATTTTGACATTAGTAATTTAGATACAATACTAATATTTATGAAAAAATATTGCATAAAATGTTTTTATTATTTTAATAAAAACATATTTAATCACAAGTTCTGTATATGATATAACTTATGATAACTATATATTATTATAAACACTATTAAAAAATTCAATATATTTTGAAAAATGATTCGTAAAATAAATGCTTAAAAAATAACATTTTATTTATTTCAATGATTTATTTAGGCGTAAATAATATAAATTTTTATAAAAAAATATATTTTCCATTTTCAAAATCATTTTTTTGTTATTAATAAACTAACATTACTATTATTATTATAAATAAATATTGAAAATAATCTCTAAAAAACACTTACAAAATATTATTCTTATAAACGGATAAAACTTACATTTAGACATTTGATTCAATTCATACTATAATAATATTTATAAAATTAATATATATTTATTTTTGAAATACAATAAAACATTGAATAAATGAATAAATTATTTTTTATAAATAATATTTTATTTATTGTAAAGATTTATACATATAAATTATTTTAGATATCTATAATATTAATATAACACATAAATAATTTTAATAATAAATACTGTGTATCACATATTGATATATACTATACTCATGTCTATCACATATTTATTATTGTAAAGTTTAAAAGTCAGATACGATTTAAACAAAATACATTCTGAATATAGTGTAAACTGTTATTATGAATATATATTTATAGTATATTTAATTTTATTAGTTTCTAACTCTATTTACACATCTCTTAAATGACTCTTTTATAAGTGATTTATTAAAATATCAGTTTTGGACCTCAAGTTTCTTATTAAATATCAAATTTAGGGCAAATTCTTTGCTAAAACTCTTTAATATAATGGACAGCAAACAAAAGCAAATAACAAAAATCATTATATAATACAGTATTACTTCATATACTTATATAATTGAATTTATAGTATTTGCAGTGATATCTTCTATAGATTTATATATGTTACCAGAATATACACTCAGTAAATATAAAGTTTATATAAAGTACAGTATATACTGTATATAGTATTCAAGTATAGTTGTGTGAGAAGTATTAAATAATAAATGATTGTTAAAATATTTTACAATAAACTATTCTTAGTTTTTATTTAAATAATTATTGTATAATAATAATTTGAAAACATTACAAAATTTATTTAATTAAATAAGAAATAAAAATTCACTCTATATTTTATTTTTTAATTCAAATGACATCTCTTTCAACTAATCAATAAAAATACTAATATTATTTTATATGAATTATACTGTAGTTTAATGTCAAAAATAGCTGCTTTTGTTTATTTCATTACTGATGAGCTATAAGACAATTATTAGTATCATTACTTTGTTAACAGTCTGAGTATTTGTGTATATTTGCCTTAATTGACAAAATAATATGATATATGGTATATGAATGTATTGATGCACTCATATTCAATACTTTATTACAATTATATTACTTATACTGTACTATACTTTTGTTTATGTTTATAATAAATATTTCTTAATATAGATTTAGTTACACTTATTGATATTAATATAATCAATGCATTAAATTGTTTAATCTATATGATAAATTGTCATTATTAATAATGATATGTTGACGTTTTTGTATATATATATAGTATTAAATTAAATTAGTTTAATTTTCTAATTATAATTTCTTGTATGCACTTTTATAATTAATGCCAATTTTGGCAAAATAAATATTTTTATAACAGTTTTTTTGTATATACTTATTTTTCTTTGCTTATATGTATAATTTGATTATCGTTTAAATCAATATACGGTATTCATATTTTATGAAATTGCAATCTATTATATAATATTAAAATTATTATTTAGATTTTATTCTAATTATTAAAGAGTTTCAGTTTATTTTTAAAGCATATAAATTGGATATATTTGCTAACATTATACTGTATTTATATATACCTTTTATATTAATGTAATAAAAATAAATACTTTATTTTTGTTATTTATATTATATTAAAATTATATATATATATAGTAGTGATGCAAAATTCAGCTTAATTTTTTTAAGTTGAATATTCAATTGAAAATTCAGATAATTCATTGAATTTATAAAACAGTAATAATACTAAATAATTTAATTTAATTTTAATTAATTTAATAAAATACTTTTAAACAATTTTTAATTATAAATAAAAACTAAACATTATTATAAACATTATAACAAGTATGTGAAATAAAGATTATTATTATTATTATTATTATTATTATTATAATTTAACATACTAAATAAAAATAAAGTTATATTTTTATAACTTATTGAACATTTTCTACTATTGATATTAATGAATTTGATATTTAAATCAGTTAATTAAACAGTATTTAAAATATTGTTTCGATTAAAAAAATTAGTTACATTCATATACTGTATTACATTCTGCATAAAATATTTTTTTTTTATTAAACTAAACATTAAAATGATTAAAATAATAATTATATGTATTATTTAAATTAAACTTTGAGTTTATATTTATTTTAACAATTTTATCAAATAATCTCAGTTTTTATTTTTTTCAGTTTTTTGAAAATGTTTTTATTGATAATCGAAGTTTATTTGAAGATATTTTATTTTATTTAAAAAACATTTTCAAAAAAACTGGTAATTAATACGTTTTTATCTAATTTCTAAGTTTGATACCAGAGTGCGACACAAAAGACTCAATTAATTTATTATAAACTCTTTAATATTGATTTGAATTTTCAAAATTTTAAATCACTTACATCTCTAATGTATAGAATAATTCTTTAATCTAATAAAATAAATAAAATAAATAAAACACACTATAATTGGATAGGATTTTGTATACATTAGTAGAAGTTATGTAAGAAAATTCATAATAATTATTAACGTTAAAGTATTTATAATTTACATACCATACCGTAAACTCTGATTTTATTAAATAACTAATTATATTATCTATAAGAAAATTGTTTAGAAAGTTCTTAGTTTGTAAAGTTTAGTAAAATTATTTTATAGGAAATTTATAATCAATACACAAATAAATTAAATATAAAACTATTAAATATTTAGTAATATTTACCTATTAATAAATTGTATGTAATCATACAAAGAATTGTTTTAAAATAAAAATATAATTTCATAATTATATGTTTTATCATTATTTGAATCTCTCTCTCTCTCTCTCTCTCTCTCTCTCTCTCTATTGAAATAAACATTTTCTTTTAATAAAAACAATATGTAATATACAGTACAGTAGTGACCAAAATGGATGCAATGGTAGTTGATTTAGACCTATTTAATTGTGTCAGACCTACCGCTGCTATAAACATCACTTGTTTTTAATTCAAAACTACAGTATTATTAACACTTATAACTGTATATTGAATTGAAAGTAACTTTCATTATCATAACCTCCACAACCCGTATAATTTATTTTTATTTATTTTCAATATTTAAGTTCAAGGTATCATATGTTTGGATAACTGAATGCGAATCAAATAATATTTACAAAGAAATTTGTTTTAAAATTTTGATTATTAATAAATTACTGATTAGTTTCATATTCAAACACTATTTACTATAAATTACTTTATTTTTTATTTTATGTCTATGTATTACTTGAGACTATGATTATATGTTTTTTCGCGAAAACATATTAAGATCTATTAAGACATCCAAAATGATTACAACCTACACATTGTTAGACATACAGTTGGATAATCAAACAGAAATATGTTTTTCCAATGTATTTGTTTCAAAAACATAATGCCATTTCATTTTAAGCCTTAAAAGCAAAGCAAACACGAATATAATATAATATATATATATATCACATGATATAACGTTATATAATAAATTTAGTAAATATTTAAGTCTAGATATTTAAGATTTAAAGTTTTGAGTAGACATATATCTTTATTATTAATATATGAATACAATATTTTATATTTGTAAATATTAAATTATCTAACAAACAATTGTCTAACAATGTTAAGCATACAAAGCAAATGTCTACAATTGAATCAATAAAAATTCGGTTAAAAAATATAGAGTATCAAAATGTTGAGCAATAATATCACATAAAATACATACAAATAAAATGTTTTTGAAGTGTCTCATAAAATAACCATTTTGTGTGTTATGACTAATTTATTGGGTAATCAATTGAAATTAAATGAATTTATAGGCCCATCAATCGCTTGTTTTGCCAATGACTTCGTTAAAGTATTTTATTCATTAAATTTAACATTTAATACATTCAACACACGTTTTTCTACTTTTATTATTAAATTTTTAAACATTTTTAGTTTAGCAATAATATTATAGAATTATTTAGTAAATGATTATACTTATTTTGAATTTTAAATGTCAAACAGCTTTGTAAGTATTAAATTTTTAGAAATAAATATTTTTGGATTATAATTTCTAATTAAAATTCTGTTAAAGAATTAATTAAAAGTCAAAATAAATATTTATGTTAATTTATATATGTATATTAATATATGTATTTTTCAATATATACAGTAAATATTACATATATTACAGTATTCTATATTATATAATATATTTAAATATTATTAATATTAAAATGTTATTAAAATTGATTATACTTATATTTTTGCTATATTTCAAAACTTATATTACTATTTAATAGCATACAATTATTATAAGTTAAAATACTATAGTTAATATAAACTTCATAATTAACTTTATAGTAATTCAATAATGTATGCTTGATAATTTAATAAAATTTAAATAATAGTGACGGATTTTTATAAATATACATAAATTATATATTATATTTCTTATACATTTAATTATGAAGAGTTGAATTCATTATTTTGTTAATAAAAATTAGTTTAAGTATTTAAATAAAAATTTAAAAAATAATCATATTATCACAATTTTAATTATATAATTAATTTTAAATTAAAATATTACATATTTCTTTATATTTTACTGTAATAAATATCAACAAATAAAATATTTAACATAATATTGGATATATTAAACCTGTATTAAAATTATTTATTTAGCAATGTTTATAAAATTTTCTATCAATGCAAAAATATTTTTATAAATTTTATTGTATTTCATTAACATAATTTATATATTCAAAATTTAGATTTTTATAAACCAAATAATTCTTTTAAAAATCTAAAAATGTATAAATATTTTTAAAAATTTTATAATAATTTAAACTAAAAACATTTAAAATATTATGAGGTATAATGATTTTAATAAATATTAACATAGAAAATTTTTAAAATAATTTAATAACACGTTATAATCCATAGACATATTAAAATTTCACTAACAATTAAATTTTGTATATTAAACTCATAATCATTTGTACACATAATAAGTAAAATTTTTATCTATTATTTTTGTTAATTATCTTTATATTATTACTTAAATATTAATATATACATTATTTATTAATATTTTTTTTTAATTTTGTTAAATATTGAAAATTTTTGTCTTGATGTATATTATATTTGTTGCAATTTGAATTTAATCAAATCATGTTATTCAGGTTTTAAATTTTATACTACATATCAATGTATATATCAATGATTATATAAATTATATGCACTGTATATCATAAATAAAGGTTAGCAAAGCTGTGGCCAATAATCTCTATATTATAATATTTTTTATTGAGAATAATTCTAACAATTGACAGTTTATGTATTTTTAATTTATTTAATATTTACAGTTATTATTTTAGTTTCAATAAAATTTTACATAAAAACTAATCTTTTCTAATGTTTATGAAAATCAAATTTATTTGAATTCAACATTAAAAATACATTATCGACTTACAGTTAATCTATAACAATCAAAATAAGCTTACTTTATATACTTTTTACTATATAATGCATTTATTCTATATATATATATATATATTTATTTATTTATTTGTCACATTAACGTTCACTTTGTTAAAAATTTATTTGAAATATAATCTCAATTTTTAAATGTCACATATTTTTTGCTAAAATAAATTTCAATACAAAGTATTGCTTTAACACAGACGATGATTCTTAGCCACAAATTTTTAGATAATTTTAAATCTTATTTCTAGAAAAATTATTTTATAAAAAACGATAATCATTTAGAAATTTTATTTTATAGTACAATAAAAAATCATTTAAATGCCCAAAATAATGTTGTATTTTACAATATATCTATTTTTAATTATTAGAATCTTTAAAATCTAATTATATATCAATTGTTTTACTGTTTGACTAAAACAATAAATAATTATTAATATAAATACTTATACAATACATTATAATATTTATTACTATAAAAGATAAATTTATTCAGTTTTACAAAAATATTTTAAAATTATAATAATTTAGTATATATTTTCTCAAATTACTTATATAGTATATTCTATAACTTATAAAACTTAACATTATTACTTATACCGTTTTTATCAAATGCTTTAGGTATTGGCAAAAGTATTAAGTATTTTATTAAATTTTCTGTCATATTATTCATCAACTATTCATTCTCTTATGTAATGAATTTCATAAAATTAACAATAAGTGTTTTAAAGTTATTAAAATTTAAAGAGATCTTGACGTTGAATTTTTTGTATACAAAATATGCAAAATTTTTTGATATTATTTATTTTCTTAAAATTACAAATAAAAAACAAAGATTTGTTTTTTAAGCTTATCAATAATAACAGAATATAATAAAGTTTTTTATATACAACTATCAGTTTAAATTTAAATTAATTAAGTAAAGCTTTATAGTTAACCAAATGTCAATTTATAACCATTTTGTAAAAATGTTTCATTCAGACAACTATTGGGAATAGATTTAATTATGTCAAAAGTATAACAAAGAGTAAGAGTAAGCAATTTAGCGCACATAACAGTTATAAAACTATTTTGAATAATTAGTAGTATAAAAACATTTTTTAAATTTCTATCTAATATTCTTTGGTTTTTCAATTGATGTAATTTTTAAAAACCGACTAAATTTTAATGTCAGAAAATTGTACCAAAATAGAGTAATTGTTGAAAGAAACATATATTCATTGTATGACATATGTTCAGTCTTTAAAAATAAAATATCACACATTTGGAGGAAAGTTGGGTAAGTGTCTGATAACTTTGAAATACTTTATAACAATTTGATGAAATTCATAATATAAGCGAATGAATAGTTGATGAACAATATGACAGAAAATTTAGTTACAATACATCATACTTTTGCCAATACCTAAACATTTGATAAAACCTCTATATATATATATATATATATATATATAGTTATTTGAATATTTTTGATTGTTTTTTGTAATTTTAATTATAATTTTAGAAAGTTTTTAAATAATAAATTCTATGACTATTTTAGTTAATTATTATCATTTTGAATCGATTCCATAATAGTAGTTATAATAATATATTATAACTATTAATATTAGATTTATATGTTTATATATATATATATACGTTAAGGTACAATGAAAAAGTGATTTTAATAGATAGCATAAAAATAATTTTATTATAAATGTTAATTTTAGTAAAATATTTACTTTATAGATAATAACTTACTGAATATATATACTAATTATCATTATTTATAAATACAATCTTTTAAAAAACAAATATAGAGAAAACAAATAAATATAGGATTTTATAGATACATTTTTTTAGATACATTATATAAATTTTATAATTTATTAAAATTGTCTTTTTTGTCATTTATAATTATTAATTATATAATTTATTGAATATATTGAGTAAAATAATAAAATATAATATTACTATTTTAAAAATTGTAAAATACCATACCTTATGGTTAATGTTGTTTATATTTACAAGATATTCATATAAATTATATGATAATTATAAATATAATATTATTAATTAACAATCTATTTATGTAACACTAATAGTTATAATCGTTAGAATGTCTTCAACGATAAATATGTGACATAAAAATCATTACATTATAACCTTTAAAAATAAAACAACGATTTCGTTGTGAATTTGAGTACGGAATCAATCATAAGGGTTAGGGTTTTACAACACAAACACATATACAATACACACAAACACATTCATACAACAGTTGAGTCCATACTATGCGTAGACGTATAGAATCGCACAGAATATTCTGTTTGTTATTCACTGCACATTATTATCGATCCGTTTATCACAACTATTATCACAATTATTTTGGTGCCAATACAACAACAATATAGATAAGTAAGATATTGAATATAATATTTTATATCTAAAAAATATTTTTAAAAACAATGATTACTAAATTAATAAGTATTTATTTATTCTGCTAAACACCTATTAAAATCTAAAAATAAGCATTTTTTAGTTTAAACATAAATTTAGAAATATAATAAATAAAACAAATACAGCATTTACAATTATTAATGTGATGTTGTGTTTATTTAGGATAAAGTTGAATAAAAATTTAATTATTGTTATTTAACGTAATAACTATTATTTTTATTAAAATCTTGAGCTTAGCTAACCAAACATTTAGCTAAAAATAGACCTTTAATTTAATTAATATTATTTCTAAATTCCTATTTTAGAACTTAATTTATTAATGATTTTAGTTACTATTATTAATTTAGTAATTAAGTTGTCTATTAAAATAACAAGTCTTACAAATATGAAATATATTATAGTATATCGGGAAGAGATTGTTACCACAGATCATACACACTATAACTATATCTAACTGTTTTCTTATCCATTAGTACTCAGACACACACACAGTCTTATAATAATTTTAATGTAATATTTGATAATAATTATAATATATTTTTAATTGATTTGATTGTGTTATTATTGTTGTCACACATACTGATCTAACACTGATCACGAATTTTACATTTTTCTTAACATATGTCTTATAATTAAATAAAAGTCTGATTTTTTTTATGTTTTGATAATTTTTAAGAATATCTATACTTAAAAAAAACTTATTATAATTAGTTTATATAACTATCATTTATTATTATAGTATTAAAAAAGTATATTTAAAAAATACATTTTATGTATTCAAAAAATATTTGATATTTTATTTGATATTTTATTTTATAAACATATGATTAGATTAAATGGAAATAATACTTTATGTATTAATATTTGCTATAAGTTAAGCAAAATAAAATTATTTAAATACAAAAGTTATTAAATTTAGTTTTTGATTAATACATAATATTGTATTTAAAACGAAAATTTGTGATATAAAATTTTGTTAAAATGTCTAATCATCAAAATTGTATATTTAAAATAATAAATTATTAGCAACTTATAAACTATGTTAAGCATTAAATTGTCATTCATGTCACTAACTTTTAAAATTATTTTATATTAAATTTAATGCTCTTATTATATATACTATAATTTTTCATAAGTTCTCATTAATAATATTATATAAATTTGAATAACATTTTATACAAATTTATGTTTATATAATAGAATTCTTTATGTAGATTAACACCTTTAACACAAATAGAAAATTTAAGTTATATTATATATATATATATATATATATATATATATATATAGTAAAGAAATTACTTTTTTATATAATAATATTTACGGTTTTTTAATAACAAAATGATGGCAGTGTTTGATACTCCAAAAATGGCAATTCATATGACGCCCACACGTCTAGTATTTGAGCTCTTGGATGGCAACGGCCCACACATTTGAACACATAGTTTAATACTGATATAGTATTTATATTATACCGTATATACAGTATTAATAGTTTATTGATAGACAATATTGTGTGAACTTTAAAGTATGATATAATAATCTACTGAAAAGCAATACATAAAGTATAGTATATTTCTAATGTTTTCTTCAAAATTATTGATTTATACTTATTTTAAAGAATATTGTTTTTTGATAAATAAAAATTTAACCCATTTATATATATACCTTAATATCATAATATTCTACATGATTACTAAAATAAATAATACAATTATATTTACATTTAAAGTTTAATCAAATAAAGAAAATATTTACTGTAGATTTCATTTTATAAATTATAATTTATAAATTTAGGAAATTATATAATTACATTATATAAAATTATTTAATTAATTTTTGATTTTTAATAAAAGAATATTTAATCTTAAAATTCAGTTTATTTGTTAAATAGAAATAATTATCATTAATTAAAATAAATTGATTCAAGAATATTCTTATCAATTAAAGATTAATAACTTGTTTTTGTTAATTGATTATATGTTTCAATACAAATGTAATTTTAATTTTAAAACATATTTTTAAAATAAAATAATTAATTACAATTATAATACAATTTAGACTTAATATAAATAATTAATTATAAATTCAATGATTGAATGATTGAAATGTCAGATAAATGACAGACTTTGACGTAATTGATGTCTAATAATAATAACTAAAGTATTGGGAAAACACACGAAAGCACTGAACGTAAACACAAAACACGAAAGCATTTAATTAATGAATGAATGACTGATTTCTAACACATTTTCATCAAATTGTGACACATTTGTGGTCATCGATGTCTGATATAGTCATCTACTTGTCTTTGGCTGTGTCTCTACTCGTAGTCGTGCTGTTAGTGTTAACTCTTTTAAGGGCCAGACGAGGAACCGATGCAAACGAGGCCAACGATGACGAGGCTATTGCTGAACGACGTCGAAGACTATTAAGACCAACAAATGATGGACAAAATGACGGACCAGTCAGGAGAAGACAACGACAGAATAGAGTTCCACTCAGAACAGACACTAATGATGAAGAACTTGAAGACGAAGACTTCGACAGTGAACTTCCTGTCGATAAAAAGATAGGAAAGAAAAAGAGGTTGAAAATGGAAGCAAAGGAAGAAAAGAGACATCAAAGAGAAAGAGATTTACAGGAAAGAGAAGAGAGAAAAGAAAGACAGAAACAGATGGACGAAATGAGACTTAAAGAAGAACAAAAAGTTAAAGAAGAAGAAGCAAAACTGGTAACTATTGATTGATAATAATTGTTGATATTTTAACTTATTTTGTAATTATTTTTAATCCTATTATTTGTTTATTTATTTTGAATAACAGTTAGAAGCGGAGCGTTCGGCTAAAGAAGAAAAAGAAAAACAAGAATTAGAAGAATATCTTAAACTTAAAGAAAGTTTTGCCGTTGAAGAAGAGGGCTTTGATGAGGACGTAGATGAAAGTGAATCGCAAAATAAATTGCAGACATTTATTGAATACATTAAAAATCAGAAAGTGGTTCTCATGGAAGAACTGGCCGGACATTTCCATATGAAGATACAAGACGTCATACAGAGAGTACAGGATCTGTTGGCACAGGAGCTTATAGTTGGTGTCATTGACGACAGGGGAAAGTTTATATACATAACCAAAGAGGAGTTGCAATCAGTGGCTAAGTTTGTGCGACAAAGAGGTCGCGTATCGATTGCAGAACTCGTCGAAAGCAGCAATTCTTTGATTAATTTACAGCCAAATCAAGAGACAAGTGTTGCCTTTTCTTGACTGTCATTACTGCCCTTAAACTCCATATCTAACCAATTGTTTGTATTTATGACTTGGATTTTGTGTTTTTGTACATATATTTAATATGTGTATATTTAATAACATATATATATTTTTATATATAATATTTGAAAGTTTTTTAAAAAGCATTTTATAATATATAATAATTGTTTATATATATGATTATATAAATTTAACTCATTATTACGGTTGTAGCAAAGCATTGATTTTATTGCTAACCACACAAAGAGTTAAAGTTATTAAACATTTTAATTGATGATTAAAAAAAATAAATTGCAATAAATAAGTGAATATAATATTATATTCTCATGTTTAAAGTTTTATTATTTTCCAGATTTATCTAAATTTCCAAGAAATTAATGAAAATTAATTTTTCTTAATTCCTAACACTTAGTGTTGCAATGATTGATATATACTTTTAAAAACTTTTGTTTGATGTTATAGTCAATAGATTGAGATATTAGCAGTTTGTTAATGAAATTGATTAATCTATGGATAATAGTTGAAAAGATTTTGATCAAATAATAGGCTTATAAACTCCTTAATTATAATTAAGATTTAAACATATAAGTGAATATATGAGAATTATTAGTGAATAAATTACAACTTTATGTTAAAATATTAGATTGTAATCAATGACTTAGTTTCTTCAATTTTGCTTAATATAAGCAATTAATATATTAGTTTTTTGTTCATATTTGATTCTAATAATTGATTTATTAGTCAATTAGATTTCTATAAAATAGCTAATTTTGTATAAATTTATTTCATTTTGTTTATAACACTCGAAACGATCACATCGTTGTAAATTAAATATTAATATATCTAAAAGTTTTATATTATAATTATTAATATAATTAACTTAAAAATGGAAGAAATGTGTCCAATGGATGAAGAGAAGAATGAATCAATTGCTAAGATGTTGTCTTTAAGACCAGATTATAAATTAGAGCAAATTGAAGGCCAAAGACTATACCGACTAAAGGACTTGACGTCATTACCGGAACCAGAAAGAGGTTCGGAATTATTTATCGGAAATCTTCCGCGAAATGCTTATGAAGATGAATTGGTTCCAACATTCGACAAATTTGGGACAATTTACTGTATGAGACTAATGATGGACTACAGCGGAACCACTCGTGGATTTGCTTTTGTTAAATACACGAACTCTAAAATAGCGAAATCAGTGGCCAAACAATTGGACAACGGATATCTGTTAAGACCAAATCATTTGATTGCTGTTACGCTGTCGTGGGATAAAACACGACTTTTTATCGGCGGTATCCCGAAAAATAAGAAGCAAAAGGATGTTCTTAAAGAAATGAGACGAATCACCGATAATGTCAAAGATGTGATCCTATATATGTCCAGTTATAGTGATCGAAATCGTGGCTTTTGTTTTGTTGAATACGAGACCCATTACGACGCGGCAATGGCTAGACGTCGTTTGGGTTCAGGCTTTCGACTATGGAATCGATGGGATGTTCGCGTCGATTGGGCTGATCCTGAACCACAAGTCGACGAGGAAATTATGAATGAAGTATTTGTAACAAATGATATTTTAAAATATATTTAGACTAACTTAACAATATTTAGGTGAAAATACTTCACGTGAGAAATGTTAATCAAAACATTTCAGAAAACGATTTGAAAAACATCTTCACTTTCGATGGTCTTCATGTGGAAAGAGTTAAGAAAATAAGGGACTTTGCGTTCATTCACTACGAAACCAGAGCTGAGACCGAGGCTGCGCTTAAGATTTTAAATGGTTTGAATGTTAACAAATAATATATATATATATAATAAATATAAATATTATATAATTATCTATTTAATTGATAGAAACAACTTTCTTGGAAGAGACCAATTCAAATCTGAAAACAATTCAAGTGAATTTGGCCCGACCTATACATACAAGAGGTTCATCCAGAAGAAGAACCACTTCGAGTATTTCCGACCACTCCAGTGAAGACTATATGAAAATGCCTGTTATATCGGGACAAAGTCGTCTGGAAGAGCAGTTAAAGTATTACCAACAATATTGTACTCAATACGGTTCAGCTCCGATGCAAACGATTAGCCCTTATAAGTATGACAACGATAATATCAAATATAAAAATGATTTAAATAATAATTTATGTCTCTTTTGGATGCCTTTTGTCTGGTTTAACAATAATCCAAACAAATCTATCGCTAATAATGCATATAATAATTGCATGTAATTTATTATTATTGACTACATATCCTATGATATGTTAAATGAGTTTTGATTAAAAATAAAATATTTTTCTTATTTGTTTAGTTTGTCATTTAACTACAGTCAATATCAACATAATCTTCACAATTAAAAAAATTATCGATTTATATAATTGTTGTAATGAATATATCGTTATAATTTTGTGACATTAGTTATTTAACAATAGTGTGAATAATTCGTATATAAAGATATTTTATATTTAAAGATTATTAAACTTAACAATCTATGGATATATTTAATTAACATATTTGGTAAACAATGAAATCACTATTCATCAGTCTTTTGTCACTCAAAGAGTTTTGAACAAAAGACATCATAGTTAGTGATAATAAAACATTTTTTTTGCAACGCTATTGAAGATCACATGTTTTATCCTTATTATTGCTATTTACCGATTGATTTGAGTTATCGGTATTATTATTAGTGTCCAAGTCTTTGAGTCTCTGCAACATTTCGACAGATAATTCTTGAATTAAACAATTAATAAAATTAATGTCAGATTCATATTAATATTGCAATTGGTTTCATATGACATACTCTCTCTGGGAATGAAAGTCAGAGACTCCGAGAATATTCAGAACCGCGACTTTTCATTTGGTCCATCTTTGAGAAACTCGTGTCCCAAACCGTTACCACATTTACCGCAAACAACCTGAAGATATGCGGGTATTATATGTATAATAAGTAAATATCATATCTTTATATCGATGGATACCTTCAAAGCATTTCGTCCAACATATCCGTCACCTAATTCTGGTTTGGATTTAACACTGTCTGGTCTAATGGTCTCCGAGAATGCCGGCCACGGACTGTGGTGTTCAAACTTAGTGACTGACGAGAACAGCTCGTGTGAACACTGGGAACACACATACATGCCTTAAGATAAATGATACCTTCATTACCATCAAATGCACACCACATCCATATCATTGCAACCAATCAACCCATCACTTACCCGATCGCCATAAGTCACGATATATTTCAGTACTTTTCCAACTGCAGAATGACATCAATGACAGCTCTTATGACTGATCACTAAATTGGTCCACAAAACAGACTTTCAATTTGTCGATTAAAATGCGTTGTTTTGGCGACAAAAATGTCGATTCATTGCATTCATTGATCACTTCCTTCACAAAAGTCCTTCAAATAAATAATTCAAATAAAAACACGATTTGAATGTCATTTAAATCACATTATTATAAACAAAAAGTGTTACACTTTTTATACTACTATTAGTCCCCTTTAGTAATCAAATCCAATACATCTATATTTAATAACAATGTATGGGTTTATCACAAACAACGTATCAATTAGTTGTCATAACGTAAACAAACAGTTAAATCAAAACAATTAATATTTTATTTATATTTATTGACAGACAAGTGATCTTTGATTTGTTTGTCACTGATATCAAAGTATTGGACGATATGAACGAAAGCAAACCGATTGTGGCCAACATGTCGTCCATTGTCGACCTGAAGGCAGAGCTGTACCGAAAGCATGAATCACTTCAGATGAAGAAGTTGGCGGAAAATCAAAGACAAATTATTGAAGAAAATGATAACAACTTATATTCAATCAATCATTTGAATCATAAGAAGTATAAATTAGGCAAAAGAGTGCGCGAAAAGACTGAACAAGAGTTGCGACAAAAAGCTAACAAATTGATTACCATTGATATTAAACGAAGACAATTGAATGAAGAATATAATAAAGAAGAAGAAGAAGAATTGGCACTCAAAAAGTCAAAACAAATGCTTGAAATGAAGAGTCAATTATACGAAAAATTATCAAAGAATCCAAATCTTATAAATAAAGACAACAATGACTTTGAAGATGAAACAGACGATAGAATTCTCGTTGATTTTTATCGAAAGGCTTCAGATTGTAATCAAATGACACGAAATGAAACATTAAATAAAAGAGAAACAAAAGAAGAAGAAGAATGGACTGAATTTACGGATTCTTTAGGTCGAACTCGAAGGTGTCTTAAGAAAGATTTACCACATTTTCTAGATATCGATAAAAAATCATTTCAAAAAAGTGAGTCAAACTCGTCGATCAAGTCTGACATCTCATCAATAGTTAATTTATCGGCAAATAATGAATTACTGAGTAGTGATTTGCGGCGAGAATTAGAGCGCCGACAGTGGGAAACAAATGCCAAGAATGAACTTAATAGTCAAGAATCGAACGATGAAGAAGAAGATGATCAACAAAGAAGTAGTTTACATACACATTACCAGAACGTTAAGTTCAATGAAATCAGAGACCATGGAGTGGCTTATTATGCATTTTCTGAAGACCAACAGACACGACAACAACAAATGGATCTTTTGAACCAAATGAGAGAACAAACAGTGAATCAGAAGTTAGCGAAACAAAACTTAAAACACAAACGCAAACAATTAATGAGAGACAGACTCGCAAAAGTTGCTCAAAGAAAAGGTATTTCTGTCGATTTGAAAGAAAGTTCCAGTGATTCTGATGAAGATATCAGTAATGATGTTATGTCTGTTATTCCTGAGCCGAGACCTGTACCGACAGCTGTCCGGGAATGGGATGTCGGCAAAAGAGACTTACATCAAGTATTAACTGAATTGACAGCTAAACCCAAACAAAACTCATATAATAATTATATTGAAGATAAAAGACAAGAGCGAAACCAAGAGTTTGCTCCACCGATTAACTATGACTCGAGAAAACAATTTAGTAATAATAATACAAAAAATCATTTTAACAAACAAATGCCAAAATATAATGATTTCAATTCACAAAATGTCAAAAATTTGAATATTAGTCATAATAATAATATTAATAATAAAAATAAAGATTTTGAATCAAATAGTGATTCAAATTTATCGACAAATTCAGTGGATGTTAATCAAGTAATAAGCAATGCCCTCTCATTTTTTAGAAATAATGCTAAATAATATGGTATTTATTATTATAATTTTGTAAAATTATTTAAACTTGATTTTTTATTGATTAATGATTTATAACTTGTAAAATAAATATTTAATATTAAATAAAAACTATAAATAACATGAAATTAACCTAACACATAATTATCAATATTTGATATAAATTTTATTATTTTTTAGAAGATTTCATTTGCCGGTACTCTTTAAAAAAAACTTATCGGTATATTATATTTTTTAATTTTTTCGTTAATTAAAAGGTTCTTAAACTTTAAGCCTTTAAGTTTAATAATGTTTATGTTTGGATAATCTTTATTTTATGCAATAATTTTTGTTGCTTGAAGTCTATCTAACACTGAGTGGGAATAAACTACTATTTAGTGAAAAAGTAATTGTTTTGAAAAAACAGATTAACAAAACCAAAGATAATATTAGATATGATTACTATTATCCCACGGGTTTTGATAATACTCTTGACATGAGTTTTATGTTGAATCAGTAATTATATGATTGAAAACAAAATACAGAAGCTTTTATATAAACTATATATTAAATATTGTATTGTTTTTAGAAGTTTTTAGTAAAGATTTTTCAGTAATATATAACTTTGTCTACAGTTTTATAATTACAATATAATCTTTGATTAAATTCTCATTTCAATCGCATTATTACAGGTTTTTGTCAAAGATTTTTTGTTTAATATTTTAACAAAACTTTTGATATTATAGCGATTGAGTCTCAGACCCAACACGAAGATGAAGACAAACGCAAAATTGACTACAGATTGAGTGGTTATGACTGAAAAACTAAAAGTGCTGCCAAATACATGAGCGCTCATCAAAAGATAGTTAGAAAAAGATAGAAAAAGAGTCTAATAATGAAAATCTTTTAAGAAATTCTAGTTATGAAGTCTTATATAAAATGTTGAACAACACTAACACCACTAACAACAGTAATAAAAGAAAATCCTTGAAAAAAGTTGTTCTCGACTCACATCCAACCTATCGGTGCTCTCATGATTTGGGCAATAGTGCTAAGCTTAAGACATAAGAGTAAGTAATATGTCTTATACTTTATACAGTATTGTTAGTCTAATACATTTCCTCATTGCCTTAAGCATTAAAGGGCAATACATAAGGAGGGGAACACATGCAACAGTTCTCTGACAACCAGTGCCACTACCAGTGCCACAGAGAATCTGGTGCTCACTAACCACTAGTATATACTATATATTGAAAGACTGCTTTAATGATAAGGCCTTCGTTTAGTGCACTGACCCAACCATACAGACTCTATTCGTCGGTATTTTATGCCCACTACAAGACTACAAGTGCCACAACAGAGAACATAGGGAGAGAAACTCTCTGTACATACATATAGAGGCTATGAGTGCCACGGATCGTCCCTTACGGGACATTCAGTTCTGGAGTGACTGAGAGATAGAGTGAGCCATAAACTGAAATACTATGAGTGAGAAACTGATTTGAGAGCCCATTCCTATGGTTGCTATGAGTACTACCAGTGCTCTGTGAGAACTATGAGGGTCTTAAAAATTATAAGACTTCAATGAGGGCTATGAAACCTTCAGACATAAGCATTAGTTTTTGTGTTATTGTGGTGTTTGTTGTGTCAGCTCTGATAAAAAAGACAACCTCTCAACACAACTGTTTCATTGATTTAGAAAAACACCAATTTTTGTGTCCACTATTGTTTCGACTTTACACTTGTTTAGCACTTTATTTAACGAATATATTTCATCCCATTTATAGTGCAATTAACTCATTACATAAAAATCACATCAAATAGTATTATTACATTAGACGTGTGTATGAATTGAATAATTGTCTAATATTTTGGTTCTCATTATGGAAAGGCCTACAAAAATATTTGACTGAATGAAGTTTGACGCTTAGGGAGAGTGAAATAGTTTTGCAGCAAATATTTTTGTTATTTTTTTTTGTTTTAATAAGTTTTATGAATGCATAGACAATACCTATAAAATATACATAATAAGTTATATACTGTTTTTGAGGAACACCTACGAGACAAATCCGGTATTATTGGCAAACATTACTCTTTGTTTGCCATCAAAACTATTCATCTGAAACTTGATAATAATAAAACTATTATTAATAACTTAATATTTTGTGATAATTATAGCAATCAATAAAACATTTGAATAACTTTCCTGATAAAAAATACATTGAAATATTGTATATAAAAACAGTTGTCAATTGTAAGTATGATATAATATTATTTTTTTTAAATATTTTTTATTCAATATATAATTATTTAATATTTTATAAATATGTGTTCAATAAAAGTATTAAATGACAATATTGTCTGTGTTTTGCAATACAGTTAAACCAAATGTCAAAACCTTATGTTTTTACGGCTGTTATGTATTATTCAAAGGCTTTTACAAACAGTTAAATCTTTTTGTCATTTAATACACTTAATACTAGATTTTCAATATTTCATTTGAAACTCTCATCATTTATAATCTTGTATTGCATTTCGTTAGTATTTCTTACATTTTATTTCACTTCATTTCATCTCTAATAACTCAACGCTAGTTATATAACTTATATTACATAATAATCGATAAAACAAATAACACACACATATTGACATATTATACACAGTATTTATATTAAAATCATAAATGATCTCAACTTAATTATATTACACTAAATATTAATTAATATATATATTTGTCTGTAAAACATGTAAGAATTATCATATTTTTACAAATGACAGTAAATGTGTTTTATTTTTGATAAAATTGTTGTCACAATACTATCATATATATGATGACAATTGAGAGGCTGTGTTGGCTACAGATGTTGAACTGGAAAATGAGTTTAAAAATAGATGAGATCTCAAACCGACTTTATTTACGATGTGATTGTGTTGACTGAGTGTCACATTAGGTTCACATGTCATTCATTGACTTTTTCTATTCATATGTATAAACAGTATCTTATATTCAATATTTCTAATGTATATTCACATCACTATTTGTTAGCTCATAACTCGTGAAAATCTATTCAATTCTATTATTTTCAATGAATGCCTATAATATATGTATAAATTTATATATACTGTATATACAGTATATATCATAAAATATATTCTATTAGTTGTACACTAAAACACTTTTTTCACTCTTTATTATACTGTATATGTGTCTCTTTATTGAATCAAAATACTGGAAAAAAGATACGTTTGTCAGTCTCTTAGTTCATCTCTCTCTCTCTCTCTCTCTCTCTCTCTCTCTCTCTCTCTCTCTCTCTCTCTCTCTCTCTCTCTCTCTCTCTCTCTGTTTTCGGATGAGAAGCGTATAAATTCTTTGCCAAAGAGATGCTGTAAGAGATGTGTATTGAGTGAGAAGCAAATGAAAAGACAGGAAGAGAGCGGAGAAATCGATAATAAGGGTGCAAACAGTGCAGAGCATGCGGACAGCACAGGGAGATCATTGAATTTTTGGTCGTTAGCCACCACTATATTATATTATTTAGGAATTAGTTGACATTTAGGGCTCAATCACTGTGTCTAACAGTATATACTGTATATATATATATATATATATCAGTATTTTTTGGCCTCTTTTTAATGTAATGTAGAGGAATGCAATTAAATGCTTTTTTCAACAAATACTTTACTCAATAATATTAGTGATCGATAATTGTGATTAAAACAGCTAATGTAGCATATATTGGATAATAATCCAAATATGGAGCACTGGGGTATATGGGATTGGACTAAATTTATTTGTTGCAATCATAGGTATATTATTTGACATTTGATTTACTCAAATATATGACTTTGCAATCCTAATGATATTGTCGTTGATATTGTTTGCCATATTGTGATCAATAAATGACTTCCTTATTAACTTTAATATCAAATTATAGGCCAATAGAAGTTGGCGATCATTTGCTCAGTTATCCTCAGCCCAAGAATGGCATAACCGACTTACAAGAATTGGTTGTTAATAACAGATCTGCACCGGCAGTGTATCGGTCGGAGTACGACAACCAATACTATTATGCAGACAATCCCGTCGGTTATTTTCCCGTCAATTTAGACAACGAAAGTCACCGAATTATGGACGGGATTAGACTTCAATTGCATAAACGTAAAGGCAATTCGTGGCGCTCTCCTCCTGTCCGCAGATCAACCGAATCTCAGGTCACACTTCGCGGTTGGCTCTATCGGCTCGAAGGGGCGGCACTTAAACAATGGAAGAGGAGATGGTGTGTCCTCGCAGACTATTGTCTATTTTATTATAAAGGTATGTATCCTTTATTTCATATAATACTCTATATATAGTGTTTGATTTTTTCATCCGGTTTTAAATTTCATTAAATCAGACGTACTCTCAATTTACAGATATTTAATGCTTTTGTTTGAATAATATTTTTAAAATTGCATTAAAAGAGATTATATTTACTATATATATATATATATATATGCAGAATGTTATATAAGGAGTGAATAATACAAGATTTTTATTAAAATTTTAGTCACTAACTATAAAACTATGAATTAGTTAATAATTCATATTTTATTGTTTTTAATAATAAAATATTTATCTGTTTTTTACATCTTTTAATATTCAATCCTTGATGTATGAAATGTTAATAAACAGAATATTTATTTATTTTTATACATTATTTATAATTTTGTGACATTTACTACATTTTATGCGAACATTTGTTAATACAATTAATTTAATATTAAATAATAAATCAAACAATCTTTACATTGTTTTTCATTTTATTATTTGTATTCCCATTCACTGCTCTTTTTAGAGTTTTATTATAATTAACATTTTGTTTCATTTATTTCTCTTGAGATTATCTCTCTCTCTCTCTCTCTCTCTCTCTCTCTCTCTCTCTCTCTCTCTCTCTCTCTCTCTCTCTCTTTATCTCTCTTTCTCTCTTAGCTATTATTTGTTTCCATTTATTACTTTGAATTGTGTTATCACGAAATTGTTTGACAATATATTATTATAAGTTAATGACAAATGACAGCATATGTTTATAGATCAGTATTTATTAAAAAACATTTTAAAAATTATTTATACTTAAATAATAGATATGGAAGAGGAAAGACTATTGGGATCACTATTACTTCCGAGTTATAAGATAACTCCGTGTCTTAATGAGGATGGAATCGCTCGCAAGTATGCGTTCAAAGCAGAGCACAATAATATGAAGACATACTATTTTGCCGCCGACTCTAAGGAAAGTCAGAGCCAATGGATGAACTCATTGTCTTTGGCATCTATTATGCAGTTGTCTACCGCTTTCTCTACCGTTCGCAATGATGGAGACGGACAGGAAGTTGTGGATGAAAATAATGAAGACGAAGAGGAGTCTGGCTTTGTTTCATATCAGTCGCGACGATCAAACTCCGGTGCAGTCAATAATAATCAATCGTATGAAGAAAATATAGCTTCAGATGACAAATATCCCGGTTCTTACAATTCGGTAGGTCTTCCAGTAGTTTATCAACAACATAGACAACCAATTCAACGATCACATTACGTGAACGCACCTCCAAAGCCAAAGCGCCAGTATTATGACAACTCAGACCTGTATGTCATTCCTCCGACAGCACAATATAATAGTCACAGTCATCAGACACCAGATCTGATAGCACATGACTCCTATAACAGCAATTATTTGCCAAATAATTATTTCACACAATCCTATCCACCATATGATGAACAAACGTCACCTCCATATCATTTGCCGCCTCCCAGTCAAACCCCCCGGTTTTCTCATCTCCCTCCGAGACCTCATTCGGCAGACTTTCTGGAGCGCGATCAGGAAGATGAAGAAGAAGATGATGAGTGCCAAAAGATTATGCCAAACGATGGTTTTACTACTGGTTCTCAACCATCTGATAACTATTACAATGCATCGCAAACACAGGAACCGCCAAATATTATGCCCGTCCGACCAAAATCCAGTCTCGATCGGTACGATCCTTATTCCCGATTCTATTTAGAACAACAAACAAATTATGTAACGCCACCTAATTATCCATCGGTACCGAACACTACAAATCACGGTCACAAAGAGCCCCGTCCCTGGTCTGACTACTTGGTTAACGCCAATATTGTCACATCTCCTCAAAGCGATAATCACATCGCAAACCAAACCTTCTCACATCACTTATCGTCTTCACATTTACCTCATTATCATTCATCAAATGCCAATTCCTATGGTTTAGATCCGGAAACCCCTCGAAACTATCAACGAGAAGAAAGTCTTCAGCGTTTACTTGAATGGAAGCAACGAATGCTTCAATCACCGCTAACCAAAAGAAATTGGTCTCAACCTCAACAACAACAACAGCAACAGCAACAGCAACAACAACAGCAGTCACAACAACAACAGTCTCAACAACCACCGGTACCACCGATTCCACAATCAATGCAACAACAAAGTACAAAACCAGTGGAACTGCCCTCCAGACCTCCTCTACCTGAAGAATATCGCTCAAAGTTCACAATGAAGGATGTATTCAAAGTTTCGCAGCAAAAAGACAGAGATTACATACCATCACAACAGTACCAACAAAGAGAAAGATCAAAGAGTATTGGAGATGGAAGTGAATTCGTGACACAAACTGATGATAACATACAATCACCACAAAAGAACACATCAGTCAACTATTCCTCAGATGACGAGGGTATGTAACCATCGATTATTTATTTTACTATTTCTTTATTATTCATTCATAACAAATAATTGCATCTATTCTTGCAAATCGACTACAAATACTAATAAAAAATTAATTTCTTTATTATTATTACTTGAATTACTAACAAAAGATTTTATTTTTAGTCTTATTTTGTGATAAAAACTAATATATTATACTATAATAAAGGCATTATTGCCGTATTGTACGCTATAAACATATGATAGACATTATAGTTAATTGTTTGAAAATTATATTATTATTTTCAATACTTATTATAACCAATTGTTTGCTTATATGTCAAAGTACTCTATCAACTAATGTTTGATGAAAAAAAGTTTTCCATAATTTACTAGAAATAATGGAAAACTTATTTTTTTTATAAAAAAAATATAATTTTTTACTATATTGTGTTACTAACGGTTGACTTAACTTAAACTCAATCTTTGAGCTCAAATATCAGACAAACAGACTAACACTCAATACATATGATATAAATATATTTAAAAAACATTTTTAATTCAAAAAATACTACTTATTTTTCTTATGCCTGTTCACTGAATTTGTTTAAAACCGGTTTTATATGTTTTGTTGTTATAACCAAATGAAACAATTATTAGATGTCTTTAAAAATCAATTTCTTGAAGAACAGACTGACTGACTCTCTTGTGACTAACAAAACACAACTAATAATAATGTATTGAATGTTTGAATGTTTTTTGAAAAAACTTGAAAACTTTTTTTTGCTGTTTCTTTCTTAATAATGATTCAATAAAAACTAAAAACTTAAATCATAAGCAATAATAATAATATAAAAAAGATTTGTTATATAACAAAAATAATGGCATTAAAAAACCTTTTAAATATTAAAACATTTGTTTCTGAACTTTAAGCTGAACTAAGCCTTCAAATGCTAAATAATAAACGATTGAATGACAATAAAATGATTTCTCGGACGACACCTGATTATATAAATATCAATACGTTTGGCAAAGATAGTGATAAAGAGTCTGATCTGGATATAAGTAAAGAGGATTATTATAGGGCTTCCACTATATTTTATCAGAGATCACTTGAGTCGGGGCGACAAAGTATACTCATGAGTCCCATTAGTTTTAATGAGTCGGTCAGCAGCAAGAATGACAGTATTTCACATTTATTTAATAAACACGATTGGGATGAAGTGGGTCTACCCGTTCCCGATGAGGCATCACTGGCCAGAACTGCATCCAGAAGGAGCTTAAAAAGAGTTAACAATACAATCGATTTAATGGACAAAAATGAATTCCATAGTAAAGAATCAGAACATGAATTTAATTATGAAAAACGTGAAGATGGAGATGGAGTCGAGGAATACTCTGTGAAAGGATTGCTTAAGAAGTTTAACGAAATAGAAACCAAAAACTTGAAGCCAATTGATAATCAAAATGATAACAAACTATTTAATGAAGACCTCACCATTAAATCTAATAATGTATTCAATTGTGATACAAACGGCAAAACACCAGTGAATTGCAATAATATTTACAATAATAATCATAATTTGTTTGCAAAAAGTTATGTCAGCGACAGTGAAATGTTGGACAATAACTCGTCGATCGATGAAGAAGAGAATAATACGTCAAAGTCTGCACCACTGATGCTCTCTCCGCTGACCAAAGTGTTGGCTGATCTCAGAAAGACTGCTGACGTTCGTAAAGAAAAGTTATATTCGTTATCACGAAATCTCTCGACTGTTACTAAACAGACAAAAGTGGATCAAGTGATCGAAACGAAAGATGCGCTTCACTTACTCGACAAACATATTGATAACGCGAGTTCTCACGAAGTAAAGCATCACAACTGTGACCAACTGTCACAACAGCAATCAGATTATCTTAATATGAATACAATTGCCAAAAAAGATGAAGATGTTTACATTCAAATGAACGGTAATGAAGAGGTCGACAAAGAAAGTGACGCCGCAGATGATGCCGACGATGAGGCCAGTCGTGACTTTGATACTGTTGGCCATCAGCCAGAAGTTATCGCAGAAAATGGTATTAAACTGAAGGCCGGTTGCAAAGTAAGAACATATAAGAAACCTCGACCGGAACCGGTGCCTAATCTGGCTGAACATCTGAGTTCACGAATGCCATTAAACCCGAACCCGGCTTATGAAGCACTCGGAGATATTTGCGTTACAAATACTAGCAATAAAGAGAAGAAGAGTTCTTCGCCTAAAGAAATAAATAACAATAATTGTACGGAAAAGCAAAGGTCTGCAAACGCACCCTATTATATGTCTGATCTGTTATCAGAGGAACAACAGATCGCATTGCAAGAGAAGTTGGCCGCCCGTCAAACGGGTTCTCCGCCACCACTTCTTTCGCGATGTAATGCTCTAAATAATACCCGATATTTGGGGACCACATCTCTTCAAAAAGGTGATGTCGGCAAACGGGTTAATAATATTAACACTAATAATAATCATAATAAAAATGAACCGACGGTTGTGTTAAATAATAGCATTACAAACAACACACTAAACAATGCCATTCAAAGTACTGTAATTCAAGCGACAGATAGTATAGAGAATTCATTGAAATCACTATTACTGCCAAATGTGTCCAAATTTATTGACGCCGAGCGTAACAAATATGAAGCGGGAAATACACTTCAAAAAGTGCCACAAAATGATAAATCGTTTATTGCCAACACTGGCAGCAAACGGTGCTTCACTCCTGACTTAAGCCATTCCTCTCAAGTAAAGACTGATCTCTCATATGATGAACAAATGAATGGTTTTGTAGATAATTCATATTTTTTGAAACGTCGCTCAAAATCATTGGACGGTCTTATAGACACTGCCGACAATAACAGACATATCTATGAAAATCTAGAACAACAACAACAACAAACATCACCAGAAATTGTGCTCAAAGAAAACGATTCTGTGTTCATCAATAGTGATAATAACTTATCTGATGACTCTATGACTATTGAAGTTATGAGACGAGTCAGTCAAAGACATTTTTCTGACAATTATAGTTTAAGGTCTTCATCACTGAGTCAACAATCCGTGCCATTAGAGTTTGACGGTTTAAATAAAGGTTTTGATGTCTTCAGTGACAGTGAATCTGATTTGAGTTCATTGATTGAGTTGTCCACAGGTGAGAGTCAACCTGTTTGACACAAAACTTATTTGTCATTAAAAACAAAAAATATATATAATATTTAAAATATAAATGTATTTAATAGAAATTAAAGAGAATTTATGTATTTCTAGACTCCATTTCGGGTCCAATAATGGCTGAAAAAGTCCGAAAGCGTCGGTCGTCTCACAAAAGGCGCTCAAAAGACGACTTAAACGCATCCGACTCAGAGATCCAGAAACCAAATACAAGTAAACCTATGCACGTAAAGCCTAAGTCATTGCGAGATCACAAGTCCTCGCGATTGTGTGTCTCAACGGGTGATCTATTGGGCAAATCTCATGAAGAATTGGTTTTATTGCTAATACAATTGAGAAGAACTCAATCACAGTTTGCCAAAAATTGTGATCAATTGAGACTTCAGATGGAAAGCGAAGAGAAGATGATTGAGATTGAACCGCACAGAAGGGATGAACATAAACTCAAATTTAGAGAAATAAGGGAACAACTGGTCGAGTATGAGAAGCAGTATGACATGCAATCTCAACTCATCCAAACTGTCGATAATATGATTAAAATGCATAATCCTATAAATGGTGACGATTTTAGTGATAAAAGAGCAAAAGCCGTCTCAACATCTGTCTTGGATCAGGTGTCACTCGAAGAAGAAACAACACATTTATCTGTTCTTCAACAGGACAAAGAAATTCTTGAACGCACTCTTGAAGGCGTCAAAAATAAAGTCGCAAAAATAGGTACCGAATCATCTGTTCCAGTCATCAATCTTGAAAAGCTTAAGAAACAGCAGCGTATGATTGAAGGAGAGTTAAGTCGAGTGAGAGGTCTTTTAACTCATTCAGCCAAACGTCTTGAGGAGAAAGCGGCCGAAAACGCACAGATAGAGCACGACGTGTTGATCGCCAAAAATAAACTCAAACAAGTCTTGGCCAATGAAGAGGCCATTGAATCAAACAGAGCTCAAAATCTTGAGGCAGAGTTAGCTCAGATTAACCAAGTGATCGATGATCTGCATAACAGACGCGTTGAACTGAATGCTGCAATTGAGTCAATCAAAGTGACCGAAAAGAAAAGAGAGATCGTTCGGGCCAGTCCTACCGGGTTGGCCGGTGCCGTACCACTGCCCGGAAAAAAGAAAATCACCACTACTTATATGGAAACAGATCTCGATTCAGGTACTACTCGAGATTTGGCTCATACACAAAGAAATGGTGGTCTCGATGGTGAAGACATTCCTCTTTATGAAAATCTTGAAAATAACAATAATCTGATTGCAAACAACAATAATGTCATCGACAACATGACTGCTGAACAACTTCTTAGTAAACTACAAGCAAATGAAGACTTATTGTCTGGAAATGTTGAGGATATCGTTGACGAACAGATGCGACAATTTTATGGTATTTTACCACAAAAACCAAATGAAATCAAAACAGTTAGGATTGTTAAGAGAGAAGCAGAAAGAAGAAGAATTAATTTCGCTAATTCTTCGTCAAAAAGTTCTGACGCTTTCTGGAGTAGTAGTCAATTGAGTGACAGTGAGTTTATGGCCTCCGGATCTATTGGTGGTATTGGATCCATTCCACCGCCATATTATTATGAAGATCATGATTTTGGCGACGGCGACGATATTTTCAATAATTTTGGCCAAAAGGATGAGTGCAATGATGACAATAATTGTTTGATTGATAGTCTTAATTCAGAATTTCAAAGAACTCATTTGTATAATAATTCAAATAATATTATTAATAATAACAATAATAATAATATTAGTAATAATAATAATAATAATAATAATAATAGCAAATCTGTATCAAATGATAACCAATTATTACATCAACAACAAGAGGTGAACATATTTTTTTATTTTGATTGAATAGTTAGAATCAATTGTTTTATAAGTTTTAATGTTTAGATAATGTAAAGAATAATAGCATTTATAGTAATACCTATAGGTATAGAATCTTTTGATAGATTTTAGAATTATTTAGAATCTATAGTTAGATATTTAGTGTAATTTAATTCTGTGACAAATAATTAATATCAGAAAATATTATTTATTAATTTTTTTATATAAATTATGATTTTCAATAATTTTTATTATATTTTTTATATAATTTAATGAATTGCTTATAATGAATGCCATGAAATGCATGAAATCTATCGTTTATCAAACATTTTATTTGACAGCTCTTCTGTAGGCCTGAGCGCACCCGAAGTGCCTCTCTATCACTTCCATCTACTTCTTGCAACTCTACATCTGCTCTCAATTCTGCTTCCTTTCCATTCCGTTTGACACACATTCGGCGACTTGAGTCCAAATATGGCCGACTCGGGCCCACCCGCAGACATCATACCATATCTAGCAGTCAGCCTCACTTAAATCATAGCAGTTATCATTCGGTACATAAATATTTCAATTATTTTTTTGATAACAATCCAAACCTATTTTAACCTATTAGTCCCCTTAACTCAACCATAAATTTCAATTTTAACCAACTATTTCATCAATTGAAATGTTGTAATAATCTTATTTATGACTTCAGATTTCAAAGACATGGCGTTCAAGAGATGATACAGACATTGATCTGCAGAGTCGTAATGTTAACACACCCGACATCGTCAAGAGTACCATCAAAAAGAATGATGACTTCGACGACAAGTTCATTGAACGTGAAGTGAGTTTTGGATCATATCTTAATCTTTAGGATTTTATTTATTAAAATGTTTGTCAATCAGATAATGCTTCCAAAGAAGATCGATATCCCTGAGCGCTACGTACGCGATGACGAGCCCGAAGAGATATCGGCCTCAGAAAAACTGAAAAGAAGTCTTAAAGCAGAGATGATTCGCAAAATGCTAAGCGAAAGCACCACTTATGAAGATGTCAGACGAGATACCAATCAACACATGATATCATCTTCCTCTTCATCATCAGCTTTAGGCTCTGAAGAAAATATTTTAAATGATGAATCAAAAGTCAAGTTAAATGAAGAGAAGAAACGTAGGGCTCAATTGTTAGCGTTGAACCACGAATTGGCCAAAGAAGTGATGGAAAGGAGTAGAATAGTTGCAGGTATTCAATACAAACACATCTATATATACAATATAACAACACATATCATATCATCCATTGATTTATTAGTTTTTATTTTGTCATTTCAATGTTTATTTTATTTTTTCAATATTTTATTTTTAATATTATAGCTAATAGTGATGGCATCAGCTCTTAACCGAGTGTTGGCATAATTTTTATTTGATTTGCAATTTATGTTATTTTTATTTATTTATTTATTTAGGTTTGTATTTATTTTGATATTAACTTCTAATTATTTGATGCAAACTCTGTTATACTTCTTATATATTTTTAATACCAATTTTATTTTTCTGTTACTTTAATAAATTTTTAATGATAAAACTTTATATTACTTATAAGTTAGTTACATATAATTACTATTCATATTAAAGTTATATTTTACTTAATATTTTAACAGTTATATAAGTTGCTTATATTCTACAAAATTAATCAAAAGATTTAAACATTAAAAAAATTATTTGCTAAACTTGAATACATTATAAATCTAAACTTAATATATTTATTTTTTGTTGACAGCTTTGGCCACATTGACCACAGTTGATGATAATAACACCTTTAGATCATTTGAAGAAATGAAAAATTTAAGTGAAAAAGATTTAATTGAAATGATTGAACGCGAATGGCCTCAAACTAATAAAACAAATTAATTGGTGTCAAACTTGTTGTCTCATAATCACAATTATTAAAAATTTTTGATTAAAAATCTTTAATATTGTTCTGATAATTGATTTTAACAAATAGTATTTTTCAAAAATCAAAAATGTTTGAAATGATTGATATATTATAAAATGATTTAAATTAATTGTTCACAATTATTACAAATATTCAGCAAAACGTATTACTAGATAATGACAAAAATTATGCTCAAATAATTATTATTGATAATTTACATATATATATATATATATATATTTAAATAATGTTAATATAAAAATTGAAACTATATTTCATTTCAATATTATATTTGAAACTAATATAATGCAAAAATCTGGTTGCGGTTATTGGATGGTCCAAATCAATAATAAAATTATTATATTACAAATATTATATATATATATATAATTATATTAAAATGTTTTACATTTCCATATTATTGAGAAATTTTGTATCAATTTATATAAAATATTTATTATATTTATTTAATTTTATTATGGTTTATCATTATTTAATTATATCATTAATATAAAATTTTATATATTATTTATTATGTTTTCGATGAACTTTATTTTATTCATTAATGATTTTAATGATAAATAAATTATTTTTACGAAATCTGTTTTTAGTGCTTAGAGGTCATACACTATTAAAATGTTTTTTGTTATTTATTATATATTAAGCTATAAATTATACAACTTTTTTAATTAATAACTTGTTTTTAATCACTTATGAATATTAAGCACTTGTATTATATTGTATGTAAAAATTTTTAAAAAGTTATACAATTACTAATAATTATTAATAAAATACATTAATAAATATGCAATTTTGATGACAAATTATTTTTGAATTTATTTATTTTATTTAGAAAAAATATAATTTATAGCTTTATTGATTGAATAAACATTTTTGTGGATATTTACAATCAATTATCATTTCAAATCATCTATCTATCAATTATAAATATTTAAGTAAAGCTATAAAATTACAAAATGTTTAAAAAAAACCAGTTTTAAAGGAAGCGCTCAGTGAGACAGCTATGCGCACCTGTAGTCATGTTTGTCTATCATTAGGATGTGCTGTAAATGCATTGCTGGCATTACTTATACATTTTGCTGAACTTGTAATAAAAGTATAAAACCATTAAATTACAAATTATTAACTTTTAAAACTAATTTACTAAATAATTGACAAAATTTTAATAGAATAATCATAAAAATTATTATATATTAAAATATATATAAATGATTTAAATTTAGAAAAATATAAGTTATTGTGTTTGTAGTTATAATATAATAAAAATCAATAACTTATAGACTGTAATAGTATTTAGATTGTAATGAATGGGTAGAGTGTATGTGAGCACTGGTAGCTTTAAGATCATACTTCAAAGAATCATTTCTATAGTATGTATCCCTAGCTTCACATCCAATATGTGAAGTCAGCCTTAGCCACGATGACGAGTGATTGGAGCCCTTCCTGAGCGCGATGCCGGTGCTCGAGACCTATACACCCTTATCGGTGAGGACTCGACACCATTGATGAACGTTTCCGTAACACCATTAGTGTGTTTCGGGAGGGAAGGGATCCGTTCCGAGTGGTCACACATTTTTTAATACAATCAAAAAATAGAAATCATTATTAAAACAAAATTCAAAACTTCTGTTACATTTAAAAAACTTTTTGTCTCACTATTAATAAATGCATACAATTAGTAATGCTATGAATTATATACTGTTTAATACTAGTAATGTTGCAGTTATTATGTAATAGTAGTCAACATAGAGTCTACACAATAGTCAATGTATTGTTTATATGTTATGTTTGTATTATGACTGCACTCATGGGTTGATGTGTTTTATACGACAAATGTCTATACATCGGGTGTTGTTTACAAGACATTTGAGGATCAATTAAGTGATGAACAACGACCTCATTGTTGTGGCCGTAAATCACAACATCCAAAGAGGACTTCATTATGAAGTAGTATTCAAAGGAAATAACATAAACAGCAATTTTGACGATACATCTGTGTATGAAATATTTGATTTATAATTTTTATGACAATTTCAATGATGACTGATATCACCCAATTAGGTCACATCTTAGTGAATGGATTGATACGTTGGGCGAAGAATCAGCTAAAGTATGTGACACAAGAATTTGTCGATAGCTTTGAAAACAGCTGTTATTATAACATTTGTTACTATTTTTAGGCACAAAATCTTAAACAATCGATTACTTCATATAAGAAACTGATTGACGAACGAAATGACGATAAAATATATATAATTGTTAAGACAGACGACTATAATGACCACAATTGGATTGCAGTCGGGTTTGTCCGGTTGGGAACAAAAGATCTTTGGTTTGCCGACAGAGATAACACTAATTTAAGACAGTTTTGCAATTGTTTTTGTATTTTAGGTATTTATTGATTAAATCATTTATTTTATCTATTAATGTCTTACATATGTTTTGACATTGATTTAGATTTTTATGTTCGTAATCAACGACAAGGTTTGGGATATTTTTTGATCTCATTAGTCATGAAGTCGGTGTCGACACCGGCGGCACAGTTCGCATACGACAGACCAACCAAAGCAATGCTAACATTTCTTGACAAACATTTTGGTCTGAGTCGACCACTTCCACAACACAATCACTTTATTATATTTGAAAACTTCTTTTAATTATTAATCATTATTTTGTTTAATTGCTATAAAATTTATTTCACATTTACCGGTACCTCGAATTCAAATTTTTATAAGTCATTAATTTGATTAGCAATACAATACTTATTTTTATATAATCATAACAATAATTTGTGATATTATTTATTTTAATTAATTTATTATAGTAATATATATTTATATATAATTATGTTTATTAATTTGGTTTAAATTATGAAATTTATTGTACATTTTATTTTTTAACATTAAAATAAAGAATTCAAAAACACAAAAAAGTGAATGTCTTAAACATTTACAATAAACTATATTATAAAACAACTTAACTATTATTATATTTGTTTAAAAGCAAACCAAATGCTAATTTACGAAAAATAAGATTACTGTAAAATGAATCAATGAATTTTTAAACTTAAATTATATGTTAATATAAAAAGTTATTCCTCTTTATTAAGCGACTCTCGAATGCCATTATTGATGGATAGGATGGATGTGCTTATTGGTGATGTTTGACTCTCATTTGAGTCAAGACCTAATGAGACCTGCAATGAATTCTTTAAGAGATCTGATTGAGCGGCAATTATCTCATGTAATTCAGTGACATCTCTTTCGTCCTCCAACTCGATGGCTCCATCAATATCAGCGACCGCTTCATTGAAAGCAATTGGCAGTTCATTAATTAGATTAAACTTGTGTTGGCCTATAGCTAGTCTTTCAATCAATTTGAAGACCAAATTCGTAGTATTGGTAATCTTGTAATGAATGTGTGTTAAATAAACCAAATTTTCTGCCACTTCTGTATAGCTATCAGCTATCATTCACAGTAAACAAAGTTAAAATAACATGAATATCAAAACTCAAGACAATTACCGGACATCTTTGACATTAAGTAGTAATATATGAGATCATCGCCAGCAAAGAACAGCAGTGTCGCTATATTCTCGTGTAACCAGTTTTGAGGTTTTTTCACAATTATATCAATCAGTTTTATCATATCTCAAATGAAACATAAAATTAATTATAAATTTAAAAAATAATTATTAATAACTAAATGATATGACACTCACTGTTCTTGTGTTCGTCTGTTTGTGATTGTCTGAAGAGTACAAACAGAATATTACCTAAATTTCTGATACCTTTTTTCATGATAAAGAAAGTGTCGGTCAGATCCCACCAACCAATATATGGGATAGTATTTTGTTGCGGACCGACATCAATGATTGGACCGTATATTATAAGCAATAATCGGGCCCTCATTTCCAGTGAATATGGTTTCAAAATAAGGTTCAACCAAAACAATGTCTCAGAAATATTGTTACTGTTGTTTGCTATCCAATAACTCAACTTTTTGTTACGTAGTATTGGTATGAGACAGACGTGTCTGTAATAACAGCGAACGTAATACTCTACGGGCTGTCGGGCGCCGATCGGACTCTTTGCCAAACTTTCAATACGTTGATCCATATGAGTGACCGCTATATATATATGTAAACAATAATTATTGTTTATTTTAATAATTGTATTGAAAGTACCCAAACCTTGAAGTATTTTATAGACAAACTTGACTTCCGAGTCGTCCCAACCGGCAATCATTTTGTGTAATGTTTGTCCCAAACATTTAAATACATATTTCATTTTATAATTGTCGGCCGCATTGATACTTAAATTAGGAATACCATTGAGTTTGTCCATCACTTTGATTAACAGTTCCATTCGATCTGTTGTCGGTAACAAACAGGTCACTCGTTTTAATAATAAACCTAAAAAACAATTAACACATTAATGACAATCACATGAATCAGTTAAATAAGTCAATAAATGCCTAATTTCTTGAATGACTCCAATGGTTGACAGTTATGTTGCGGATCAGTGTTTAATGATATCACTTCGGTATTCAATGAACCAATCAATGTCTGAAATCCAGAGTTGGATACAATAAAGTGATTGAGAATGAAATCGCGAAACCATTTATTGGTGATCGCCATCAATGACAAGTCATCGAAGTTCAAGTTAGAGAGTATTACAGCTATGGCTTCATTGGGTAAACAGTGAAAGTCACCGGAATATGTCTTGTTGTGAGTAATACACGTATCCTTGCAATCAATGTTAGCACAAATACGACATAAACTGATCACTGGTTGTGAACAACACATCGATGACATCCATGTCTTCAGACACTCAGATGTGTTGGTACTTATTGGACACGAATTGCTTATAAATTTTTTAACGCCATTCACATGACTACTGTTGTGATGTTTGGATAATACTCTCGAGGAATAAATAGTTTCTTTTGGTAAAGAGTTCATAGTTTGAGTGATGTTGGGATCAGTTGACCAAAGATGACAACCAAGTGATCAACAGTTAGACAAACAAACAGACATTCAATCAATGATTATGTGATTCGAAATTCCAATTCAAGTCTGGCGTCACATAAATACTTGCTTTTGATTGGCTATAACTTTGCGTACAGTTGTGTGCAATACATGTGACTATAGTTTAGTAACTATTTGTTAGAAACGCAATACTATTAAACATAACAAACAAACAAACAATTGATTGATTGATTGAATTCAAAAGTTTTTCAATTATTTTAGTGATTATTATTGTCTGTCATTTGAATATCATTGTTGACAACCAAATGGCCGTAAGATTTGACCGCAATATGACTGCAGTCGAGTCCATTGTCGGCACTCATATGTCATCAAAAGGCATGCAATTGATGACATCGACGGGCATACCATCACTGGATCATCTGTTTGGTGGCGGACTTGCCATCAATTCAATCACATTATTAGGTATTAGTTAAGATGGATATCATTTGTCTTTATATCAATTGAACACTTGATATGATCACAGAAGACGACCAAATGAGTCAATTCGGACCACTATTTGCCAAATGCTTTGTCGCGCAATCCGTTGATTGTAATCACAAGACAATCATTTGCTCGCAAACCATAACATCAATTAAATCAAGATTTTTAAGAGTAATTATCATTTGATAAATAATTTATTATTAAATGTTTTCTTAATTTTTATTGAATTTTATAGGAATTACCAATCAATTCATCTGAACCACAAAAGCTGATTACATCGGATAATGACCTTAAGATTGCGTGGAGATATAAATCACAATCACTTGCAACTAATACTTCCATAAGAGATGTACAGAACTTTGATTTCAGTTCACATATTAGTGATGACAGACTTTCTTCAGCTGACATTACATTTTGTTCGCACGACTCACTACTTGATGTGATCCGTGCATTAAATGGTCAAAAAGATAGCAAAACTGTGACCAGAATTTTAATCGATGGTTTAGCCTCACCATTGAGTCCATTAGATGTCGAAAATTTACCAAAATTTATATATCAATTAAAGTGTTTAGTGAGACAATTAGCAAATATTGTTTGTTTGATTACTTTTAATCCACATTTAGTTGTTGTGTCTAATCATTCATACATTAGAAATCGTGTCCATAATTTAACCGATTGTGTCATTCAATTGGTTGCTTTCGATGAGTGGACACAAACACCATATACTGAATTTGATGGACTATTTAATATCATTAAACTTTCAAAACTTAATTCATTTAACTATTATATGACTCCCGAAACACTAGATTTGGGTTTTCAACTCAAGAATCACAAGAGATATCTAGTTGTAGATAAACTATCACTTCCTCCAGACCTGAGTGAAACTGCCAGTCGGACAACTGGTTGTTCTACCGGTGCCACTAGTAATTCAAAACTCGATTTTTAATATATTATTTCATTTATTAATTGAGTTTATTTTTGTTTTTACAATTTATAATCATGTATTTTGTGTAAAAATAAATCTTAAATTTTTATGAATAATAAAGAATAGTTTGATAATTATATTTTATATTAAATTTACAGTAATATCAAGTGTTAATCAATTTTATAAACGGCGCCAACCATTGAACACCCGTTAGATGTCTATAGTGTCATACAATAGCTTTGTATTTTCAATTACAAGTGGCACCAGTTATTAATAATAGCATAATTAATGAAATAATTTTAATTTAAATGAATTAACCATAAATATAGACTATTTTGAGTATTAATATAGTATTTAATTATATTAAGTCATTATTTAATGTAATTATTGGTTACATTTGAGTGTGTAATGCAATGGTTTATCATTTGCTGAGTTGTATTGTATTGAATGTATGAGATGTGTATTGAATGATAGTTTATATACATTTAGTTATAATATTAGAGTAGTGTTAGTGTTTTGAAGCCATTTTAGTGTTGTTTTTGGGACACATTGTTGTTGTGTTTGGTGTCCTAACTGGTCATCTCTGGCCAAATAATTGTCGCATTTCTACTAATTTAGTGTCCAATTGGTGTCATATCATAGACTTGTGTCACATATTTGTATTGATGTGAACATCACTTTGATTTGCTTTTCATTAGACTATTCAGTGCTTAAGTATTGACTGATTGGCGAATAGCAGACAATCACAGGCATTGCCATCCAATCCATACAAAGTGTAAGTCCTAACACATAACACATACACACATATCATACCTACCATAGCATAGCACAGGCATATCACTGCTAACCCATCACCCAATTATAATAGCCTTACTATTATTATTGACTAACTTTTTTGTCTAACTATTGACCGCTAATTATGTAATACTTGTATTAATATTTGGGTCATATTTAATGTCTACATAACATACCTGTCCATTATAATGACATTTACGATACGATACTATAATTAATGTGATAATCAAAAGCATTGGTTTCACTAATTGATGACTTTTTGTAATATTAATTAATTATTATAATATCATTACATAACACATGATTAGGCATTAGATTACGTTATTTTCATATAATATACACATAACCGAAGTGACAAACTTTGACACAAATGATTAAATTGATTTATATTAACCATATGATAGCTTATGGATCAATTTAACACAACGACATCATCAGCTGATGTCAGTGGCCAATCGGGAGCCATTCAAGTGACCTCAGCCGGCCAGACATCTGTAACAGCGGCGCAACAAGTGATTCAGGTATCACCACAACAATTGATGACAATGGCTATACCTCAGGGACAGACCATTCAACTACAGGGACAACAGATCCAGTTTGTTAATGGACAACCATTTCTTATACAACAACCACAAAACGGACAATTGTTGCAAACATCTGACGGACAAACCATTGCTTTGTGTCAATTGCCGACAACTATCGACGGAACCAATTTTGTTCAGACACCTCAAGGAGTCATTCAATTGCCGGCCAATTCAATCATTAACAATGCGACTCAAGCCGTACAACAACCCACTACTGTTACCACACAGCAAAGCCAAGTAACTGCTGGTCAGACTAGTGGTAATACGGCTATTACATTACCAAATGCGGCTGCTTTGGGGGCCGGAAACATAGTTATGGTAGTTCCAGGAGCCGCTGGATTACCACCATCAATGCAAAGAATTCCGATTTCTGGCGCAACCACTGAGTTCCTCGAAGAGGAACCACTCTATGTAAATGCAAAACAATATCACAGAATACTTAAGCGAAGACAGGCCAGGGCTAAGCTTGAAGCTGATGGACGCATACCGAAAGAGAGGAGGAAATATCTGCATGAATCGCGACACAAACACGCCATGAATCGGGTTCGAGGAGAGGGAGGACGCTTCCACTCCGGCTCATCCAGACGTCATAAAGGACATCATCACCTCTTGATGTCAGGCGATGACACTATCAATACCAGTAACAATACATCAATGAATGACTCGCAGACCAGTACGACTGACCACGAAAACAGCCACAACTCGTTGTCATCGCATCACAACTTACTTGAAGTTAGCTATTAGTTACAACTTCTCCTTCAAAGACCCCAAATATATGACACAAACATTCACTTAAACACTCATCACATCCACTCATTAATTGATTGATTCTCTGAACAAAAAAATATAATTAAATATAATATTTTAAAAGAAAATTATATATAAATATACATATATTATAAAAACTTATTTACTTATTCTACAAAAAAATTATATAATTTTAAGTCAATTTTATGAATTTTTTAACCATTTAATTAATTTGAAATTTTTTTTAAATAGTTTACAGAAAAGTCTTCAAAATTATTTATAGTATATTTTTTTGACTGAAAAGTTTGATAATTATGTCTAAAGCAAATGTTTTTTTATCGATTATTTGTAACCAAATTTTTAGTTATTAATATGATTTACAAGTATTTTCAATAAAATTGATTTAATTTTAGTCAATGACTTATTTGATTTAATGCTAACAACAATGTATTTTCTTTAATTTTATTCTAATGTCTCGTGAAATTTAAACAAATTGGCTATTGTTTGATATATTTTTCTCTTTAGTTTTATTAACTAAATTTAGATTTATTATTTGCAAACAATTTAATTACCGGTAATCGTTAATTGGTATGAAATAAGTAAAAGTAAAGTATATTTGTTAGGTTAATAATATACCAATTGCTGTGATATATCAGCAAAGAGATGACTACAATATCTAAGCCGAAAGCTATAGTGATGGACATCGAGGGCACGACAACCGACATTCACTTTGTGTCGCAAAAATTGTTTCCAACTCTTCGCAAAAATATGAAGCAATTTCTGAGCGATACTTTTGACACAAAAGAGACCAAAGAGTTGATTCAAATGCTTCGTGAAGAAAAACGAAAGGCAATACCTGCTGTCGACAACAGTGGCGACAAACAAAAAGTTGTCAATTCCGCCGAATCCAACATCTTATGGCAAATGAATAATAAATTGAAGACAACATCTCTTAAGACGGCAGAGCTTTTATGTTGGGTTTGGGTCTATAAGTCGGCTGTTATTAAAGCTCACGTCTATAAAGATGTTTCCAATGCTTTTTATGAATGGAAATCCAAGAATGGTATCAAACTGTATGTCTATTCTTCTGGAATTATTAGCGCCCAAAAGTTGTTGTTCGCCAACACAGAAATGGGAAATCTTCATCACCTCATCGATGACTACTTCGATAGTACTATTGGTGACAAAAAAGATAGCAAGAGTTATAAAAACATTGCCTCCAAGATTGGTGTCGATGTCGGTAAAATAATTTATATTACCGACAGTTCATCCGAGGCTACCGGTGCCCAAACTGCCGGAATGAAAGTTATGCTCATTAGACGTGGAAAGTCTGTATCAAACAGCACCGGTATTCCCACTATTAAATCATTTGCTGACATTAAGTTTAATTGATTCAATCGTTATTCAATTGTTTCCAAAATTTTACTTCTATTTACAAATTAAACATTTATTACATTAAATAATACTGTATTTATTTATTTTTCTTAATCTACAGTATATTCCCAATGATTTAACCTAAAACCTGTGTTATTTTTTTTAGTTAAAGAGTATATCTGACCTCAATATTTTAAGAAAAAAATAAAATTTTATTAATTATCTATTCATATGCTTAACTTGTAAGTATATATATATATATATATATTTAAATTACAATTTATCATTAAAGATATTAAAACTGTTAACTGATTAAAACTTTATTACGGTACCAGTTTATAACTGTAGAGTGTATTTTAATTTATATTTATTAAAATTTGATTTTTTAGTTATAAATTAATAATAAATAGAGTACAGTATAACTACAAGTAATGAATATTATATTGACTTTAATAATAATAATTTAATCTTTTAATTAATCGGTTTTTGTTGTTCTCATTTTGTTCTCACTATTGAATACATATTATTATATTATACATAATCTTCCAAATGTACTGCTATTAAACCAAAATGTTTTGTTATTAATTATATTATGATTATAATTATAATTAGGTATTATTATACCTGTATATTGGAAAAATTATAGTGAATCTTTTTGATAGATAATTAATATTTTTGAATAAATAACTCATACATTTATATAACTGTAATAAATATACTGTAAATAAAATCTATAAAATTATTAATAGTTTTTAGTTAATAAATATTATATTGTGTTTGGTTTAATCCAAAAACTGAGTTGACAGCCACAGGTATTATCATATTTGCTATAATTTAATGTTTTATTATCATATTTCATAAATTAATAAAGTTTTATATTAAATTCATTATTTTTTTATGTTTTATATAAAATTTCCAGACTTTGATTACAAAAGTGATTGTAATTCTATGTAATTTATAAAAACAGATTTTATAATTTATTTTAAAAAAATTAATACATATGTAAGTAGACTATAGATAAGTAACATATTTTTTCATAACATTACATAAAAGTACTGTAGTATTAATGTATCACTTCAATAATGTTTTTATAAAAATATTAAGTTTTTTTTAATAAATTAATATAAATCATTATCATATGCAATATGGGATGTACATGTATTTTACTTAAAATAATAGTAAAACTAATATAAAAAATAAAATAAACAAATTATAACTAAAATAAATAAAATCTTATAAAAATAACTGAATATGTTATTATTATGGTAATTGTTTTTAAATAAGATAATATAAAAATTAATTTACATACATTATATAATTTAGATGAAATAATTAAAATACAATAAATCGAGTCAAACACAACTTTTTAATTCAATTTTGTAGATAATAATACATTAAATATATTTTACAATTTTTTTGGTACATTATATTATAGATAAAACATTAAAATATAGTGGTAGTTAAAAAAGAAAAAAATATTTCTCACAAATAAATCAAATAATAATTTCAAAAATGACTAGTTTTGTCAATTTATATAATAAAATGGGCAGAAATGTTGATATAAGATTTTTATACAATAATTATTATTGTATTATTTTAAAAATAACTAAAATTAATTTTCATAATAAAACGATTAAAATGGAAGTAAAAAAATCACATCATTTGATTTAATAAAAAATAGGAAAAATTCAAATTAAAGTTTGTTGACATTTATAATTGTTAATCAATAGCTTAGATGAAGATATTAACATTCAAACAAAATGATAGGTGTTTTCAACAGCTCTATTATTGGTGCCAACAGTTGCTAATTGTTGGGATTGTAATTGAAGCAAATTATCCAGTGATGAACTTCTCAATCTTACAGAACCTCCATAAGTGGCTATCTCTTGGAGCTCAGGAATACTGGGAACTCTCTCTCGAATATGTGATAATTGTTGAGATGATTGTTGCTGTCCATTAGTAATTGAATCACTTGTATTATGAGAATTGGTTAGGGCTGGAGAACCACTATTTGTTGGTAAACTATATCATCGAATTAAATCAGAATAATTAATAAAATAATTAATTAATTAATTAATGACATACTGTTCATTGTAGACCACATAATCAGTGAGAGTGACATCAGATGTACCGCCAGATTCTAATGGTATGGGATGTATGCGGAAGTGCTCTAACATATCAAATATAGTTTGAAACCATAAATGTTGGACTCGACACTGGCCTTCATTGATAATAGCCATCCTAAGGTGTTTGGCTCTTCCCTGAAAGTTGAAGGTCAATACGTATTCACCTTTTCGGGTCTCACTTTGGCGAACAAGAAAGACTCCGTGACCTATTTGACCTATAATTAACATTTATATATTACTATTCCCTGTAGTATTAATCTATCAAATAATACACAATATTTTGTATATACAGTATATATATATATATATTGTTTACTACTATATACCTTCTCTAAGAACCAACTGTGCCGCATCAGATCTGCTAAGCATCCCATGAAACCACGGATATTCACGCATTGAACCACAAATATCGGAATTAGTTCCACCTCCCGGTCCATTGGTTGGATCAGCCACTGCACTTAAATGGTTGGATGACCTATTATTTTCCGTTTCTTGTAGTCGAGGAATATTATCATAAGGAAAACCAGTAGTAATCCTTAATAAGAATATAAATATTAAATTTTAGTATACATTATCCAAGAAATAATAATATGTGAAAAAATTATACTCATTATCATCAGTGGTTCCATCGCTGTTGAATCTCATGCAATATTTGATGGATGAAAGCCATTGTCTCATATCTTCAGTGTCTTGCGCTTCAATGATATATTCCATCATATTTTCAGCCTTTTTATAATTAAATACAATTTGATGAATAAAATAATCAAATATAATGTTAGTAGTGATGACTAGTCTTACTTTGAGTACAAACGTGTGTTCCTGGTCTGGCATTTCCAGTGCTGTCGTCTCTCTCGCTTCAGTTATTAGAAAACAAAAGACACCAGATTTGGGTTTTAACGGTTTATTTGGTGCATAAAACTCTAACATATAACCACCGGTTGTCTTAACCAAAACCATGCGATTTTTCTCCCACTTTTGTTTGCCATCAATATTTGAGTTATCAACTGTCATATAGTTAACCACACCTTCTTTAATAATGGATTCATTGGCAGCAGTCTTGGTCTGTGTCTTTGATAAAAGCCATTTGTGATCCATCTTTGAGTCCCGATTTCTATCTCTTTTATTAGTCTCTTGTGGCGAGTTTTGTGAGGTATGGTTGGTATGTGTCTGTGTATTAGACAGTTCCACTTCATCGGAATGTTGCTTATGAAACAATCCTTTGCCTACAAAAAAAGGATGTGTCAGTCATTATACTCTATATTGCCTTTTATATCAATTTATTTCATATATAAATAAGAGATTCATTAAAAAACAAATTTGGTTATATTTGTATTAATAAACACTATTAACAATATTTTATTGTTTAATTTGAAAACAACATTATTTTAGATGATTGTTAGCATCAAATATCTAAAGTTTCCAATGTTTTTATAAAAGTTTTTTCTTAATGCTTGAATTTAATGTCAAAAAAATTATTTTGTTATCTGATTATAATTTTTTAAAAACTTTATCGATTTTGAGTGAATCAACGCCTGAAACTAAATAAACATTTATATATTGATATACTTTAAAATATTAATACTATAATATTCAATAAGTTTGAATATATTTTAATGGGATTAATAATAAACAAATAAATATTATTTGTGCGGTAAATATAGTTTACATATTAAGGTCAAGTTCTCTAAGTGTGACAAAAAAATTTCATAAAAATGTTTCAATGTTTTCAAAAAATAAATAAATAAAAATTCAAACGTTTGCAAATTTAACTAAACATTTGATGACAAAACTATAATTTTAAGAAATCTAATTTTAGTAAAGTAATAAATACAACAAAAAAGATTTATGTCACTAAAAAAATAAATTTTAAATATATGCGTAATATAATAATTTTTTAATAAATTAAAAACTACAGTTTATTAAAACTATATGAATATTAATAAAATATAAATTGTAAACAACTTATTTTTTTTGGTAAAGATTAATGTTAAATAATTACAAAAATAGAAATAATTTACTCGATGTTTATTATTATATCGATTATATTATGGAAAACACATTTAATAGTAAACAAACAAAAAAATCATAAGACTTGAAATTAATTATATAAAGTAATGCTTAACAAACAATCAAATAAGTAAATAAAGTTAATATAACATTACTTAAATAAATAAAAAATAATTAATCGGCATTTTCTGTGTCTTTATTTGTCGGCTTATTTTTGTGAAACATATTTTTTGTAAATAATATTTATGACAATCATTTACAGCAGTTTTAAAATATATTGATTTGACTATTGTATGTTTGAGATCACATTTTGACGCAAATTAATGACAATTAGATTTTAATTGTGATTATCAACAATATTTATTGCATTACAAAAAAAACATTGTATATTATATTTATCATAGTTATACTGTATATTTGAATACTATTATATCGCTATTGTAATAATATAAATTATTGAAATTAACTAAATAATATGTATTTTAAATCCAATATAACTTATACTACAATAAGCATAAAATGTATTTATTATATATTTAAATAAATTCAAAATTCAAGTAAAAATAAATGTTTAAGTGCTTTTAAAAGATAAATATGTTATTAAAAACTTATCTCCAAAATAATGGGAATAAAATTGCAACAAACTATTATTATTATCTATATATTATCACAAAAATAGTTTACGAGAAATACTACAAAATAATTTTATTAAAAATGATATTAAAGTAAAAACAAACATTAAAAGCGACAAAAATTTGTCGATAACTGCATTGAGATTCACGTGAAATATACAGTAATATTAAATATCAAAAGAGAGTTACATATGATATCAAGTAATTAATTAACAAATGATTGAAACCTTTTCGCAATCCTTTGAAACTCAATCGTCTGAAGAATTTTCTGTAATGTGTTTTCGGTGACTCTGTTTCGGTCTCATTGTCAGACAAATCACTGTAATCGTCGGGTGTGGCACTCGATGACTGTCCTACGGGTGATAGTCCTGAGTTAGGAAGTGTCGACTTTGGTCTAACATTAACTGAGCCGTTGGTTGTCGGCGTTGAAGTTGTTGTTGATATTATTGTTGTAATTCTTGTAGCTTTGGATGCGTTGACCAATAATTGTGTGCAATTGTTGTTGTTATGAGTTGTGACAGTATTATCATTAATAGGTATAGAAGTGTTGGAAGTGTTGTGAGCGGAAGGCACTGAATTCCCATCCGTTTGACTCTCATTTGTTGTCAACGCATCCGAAGTGTTGTTGTTATCAACACTATTGTCGTTGCCATCGGTCGGTGCAGTCGTGGCTAAGTTGAGGTCAAACTCTTTTTTCGTTTCATTCAATGAATTAGTTTTGTTTAGACTTGAATCCGAAGACTTATGTTGTTGTGATTGTTGTTGATTACTATCACATAAGTTGTCATTGATATTGAGTTCCTGATGCAGGTATTGAGCAAACTCTTGTGTGAAGACATTGATTATGAACTCAATTGATGGCCCATTAAGACTGAGTCCAGAGTTTTGTTCACACAATTCATGCAATTTATTTGCAAACTCTTTGGCGTAGGATTTGCCGTAAATGAGGCCAAAGTCACGACATATATCCCGATAGTCGTCTACTGATACACAGCTCGATGAAGACATCGATGACATTATCATCAAATCAATTGATATCCTGTTTGTGAAACCAAATCAATTGATAACAATAACTCATTATATGTCACATTCATTGTCACAAAACACTTGAAACTAATAGTCATATCATTAAAATAAATTAAATTATAGACTAATTAATTAAAACTATTAATTAATAATTAAATAAATAAATAATTTGATGCAATGTTTGTATGAATTTATAACAACAAACTATTGATTGAATGTATTATCTCTAATATATTTGTTTGTTTCAAATTATAATAATAGTAATGCATTTCGCAGTCAATTATATACATGTATTCAATAATATGATAATCACTTATAATAATAATAATAATAATAATAATATCTATTAATATTAATACTAATGTATTGTTTACGGCATTTACTGACACACTGTTTGTTATTATAGTCTATGACTTCAATTGAAATTCATTCACTTTTATCGATGCATTCATTCATTTACGCATTGCTTTCGTTAATAACAATGTTATTTACAGTCTATTTATTGGTGACTCAAAAGCACATCAAAAATGTGTACATACTTTCAATGATTAGGGACTGTCTCCTCAATGCACACACACTAACACATTCATTGGTAAATATTCTTTAAAATTGTTTGTTTAGATAAACATTTAATAAGAATATATAAATATATATATATATATATATATATATATATATTATGAGATAATATATATATAACTTTTAGACAATAAAATTTTGGTTTAAAAATACAAAAGTCTTAAAAAACACTTTTCTATATCATATAAGAAGTATTTGATTTCAGATGACTTGTACTGTAATTTCATGGCTTTGCAGACATAGCTTTGAATAAATACCAGACAAGAGTTATCTTAAAAAATAGTTGGCATCAGAAATGGTGTTACAGGAAAATAGTTATTGTTTTTTTGTTTCTAACATAAACAAAATAATTTAATTACTATAATTATTATGATATAACTGATATAAACTTAACATTATATTTCAATACTAAGCACTTAAACAGTACTTAAAATTAATATTATAGAGTTTGCAATGAAATTCATATAACATAGACCTACACTGTATTCACAATAATAATAGGTGTTTACGTCAATTTTAAAAGTTGTAATCAATTTTTTATTATCTTTATAACTATTACCCAAACAATATTTAATACTAATAGAGTAAATGCTTTATTTCACCGGTTTTTTCATTAACTCAAAACAACAAACAAATAAATGTTTTGTTATACAATAATATACGGCATTTAAATACAAGAGTCTCTGGAATTTTGCCGAAAATAAACATTTTTTTGTAAAACGTTTTTAAAATTATAATAATATTAAGTTTTGTTAAATTATAATTATATTGTAACTTAATTAAAATTTTTAATGTAATAAATAATTGAATCGGATTATTGATTTATTAAAAAAATATACACTATTATAATTTAAATATTTAATGATTTTGTGCAAATACTATAGTATTATATCACAAACTAAATTTTGGTTTTATTTACTTAGATTTTCAACTAACAAGTAAAAATAAAAATAGTAAAATATGTTTTTATGTACAGTAAAAATATCACTGTTTTATATTTTAAAACTATTATTAATATATTTTAATTATGCTGCTGATTCACTATTAAATATAATTTAATTATTTACTGATATTTATTAAAAATTTTATTTAATTAATAATATACAGTATTATCTAACTTTCTAAAGACTAAAAATATTTGTGGTAAAAGAATTTATGATTATTTAGAAATTATTATTTTTATGTTTTATTAAAATAATACAAATATGTATAGTCTATAAACAATTTTTATAATTTTTATATATTATATTAATTTTTTAATTTACTTTTAAGAAAAATGTAAAAGTTAAAATGAATTGATAATAGCAACTCTACTAATTTAGAAATTAATGTCAGAATATTTAATTAATAATAATTTTAATGCAAATTATTTATATTATCAAAATATGTTGTTTACTGTACAATATTATATGATATATATAGCGTACTGTTTAATTCTGTAATTTACAATTACTTACAAATAAATTAATATATTCTAAGTATTAATGAATAATTTATTTTTTAATTTAAGCTATTAATATTTCATTAACTTTTCCTCTCATCAAATATACCGGTATTATTTTATTCAATTTTTTTATTTTCAACTTTATTTACTCAAATTAGGGAAATAAACTTATAAGTTTTACTTTAATATTTTATAACTTCTCTAAAGTTACATAACATAAAAGTGTATTAAGTTTATGTAAGATGTTTTAATATGATTTGAGATTTCTATTGAATATACAAGATATCAAAAATAATATACACTTATATTTTGCACTTTAAAAAAAATTACTTTAGTTTTTTATATTTAAATACTGCTATTAAGATTAAATTAAATAACTGAGAATTTTATTACAAATGTTTGATGTGAATGTTTTATAACATTACGACTTATATATAGAGGACAATCAACTCATTATTAGTTCCAGTTTTTCTTGTTTTCATTGATTTTTTTTCATTTTGATTTCAACATTTGCTATACTCTCTTATATTCTCTCTCTCTCTCTCTCTCTCTCTCTCTCTCTCTCTCTCTCTCTCTCTCTCTCTCTCTCTCTCTCTCTCTCTCTCTCTCTCTCTCTTAGAAATTTATCTTAATTTATCTATATTTCTATCTGCCTATCTATCCATCTTTTAATCTATGGTTACATAACGTCAATAATCTTTATCAAAAATTTTGTGTTCACTTCTCATTTCATATTAAAAATTAAAGGAATGTAATACCGATTGAGTAAAAGTGCATTTACTCTAAAAGTTAAACTATTTTATAGAGTCATTGCAATCATTTGAGATAATATAAAGTCCACGACATAATTTTAGAATAATATTAAATTTAATTTAAATCAATCAATAATATAAATAAAATAAAATCAGTTTAATAATATCAATTCAAAAAATAGATGCACAAATAAATATATTTAAAAATCTACATTAAAAAATAAAATTAACTAAATTTTAATCATAATAAATAAATTTAATAAATAATATATGACAAATATTTAGAATAGTTAAATAAATTTAACTAAAATTAATTAATAATTAGTTGCACCACCGTGTTTAAGGATTATTTCCGTCATCCGGTTAGGCATGGAGTCAATTAGATTTTTCAGAAGTTCTCTCTCTCTGGCTCTCTCTTATCTCTTCTCTCAATTTAGGTCTGGGCTTCGTGACGGCCAAAGGAGAACCTCTACCTCATTGGCCGCAAACCAGTCCATTGTGGCTTTTGACCGATGGGGAGCTCTTCTCTAAAAACTCGCCAACCATGTCCTGGTATCGGTCAGAGTTTAGGCGGCCTTCAATTGGCACAATTTCGGATTTCCCTAAGTATCCAAAGGCCGCCCAAACCATTACCGAACCTCCGCCAAAGTTTCGCTTGGACATAACACGTCTTTCCTGGCGAAGATCGTGCCAATAGTATGCCAGGCCGTCGGGTCCGTCCAAATTAAACTTTTTTTCGTCTGAAAAGACAACTCTTCTCCATTCAGTTAACCAACGGACGTGCTCGAGGCCGAACCTCAGCCGAGCATCTTTATGGCACTGCTTTAGCCAAGGCTTTTTGGCCATTTTTAGCCACCGCAAGTGTTCATCACTTGCCAAAGTTCGTTGAACTGTTCTTAAGGAACAGTTTACCGATACTTTGGCCGTAATCATTCTTGCGGTGAGCGGTCGGCGGCCGGCCATTGCAACCATTCTCCGACGTTTATAGTCGGAGATTGCCTTTGGACGTCCACTACGCGGCGATCTTCCGTAGTTTTCTGGATCGGCCAAATACCGGCTGACAGTTGGCTGCGATCGGCCGATTTCGGCCGCTATCCTGGTGGCCGTCCAGTCGGGATGTGTCCGCCGCAAGACATCAATTTGGCCTCTTTCTATGTCCGTTAATTGCTTATTTCGGCCCATTTTTCTGTAAAAAATGTTAAATAATAAAATTAAATAATAAATTAAACTAAATTAAATTAAATTTACTTACTTTTAATTGATTTAGTGACAAAATATGGCGTCGATAACACTATATTCAATATTTTTGTCACACGTGTTTTTATAGAGATTATAAGTTTTATCTCATAATCTCTAAAACTGGTTATTTTTATATTTTATATTTAATTATTTTATATTATTTATATTTACCTTTAATTTCAATTGAATATTTATAAATTTAAAATATAATTTAGTTTATTTTAATTAAATTTAGTATTATTCTAAAATTATGTCGTGAACTTTATATGTTTTGATTTTATTTTAATACTAAACCTATGTTTAATAGTTTAATTAAATTATCTTATCAAATGTTTTATATTTGAATAACATATTATTTTTTAGATCAATAATTTATTTTTTATTATTTAAGTTAACTTAATAAATTAATTAAACAATATAACTTATTTTTACTTTCTAATGCTCTTTATTAAAAATTTAGTATCATAAAAAAATTGTTTGTTTTTATTTACGAAATATTAATAATTATTACCAATATATAAAGATGGGTGCAAAAAAAATGGGAATTTACTAATTGTGTATAAAATTAAGATTTATTGATTTAATAAATTAAACTTTATTGCTCATCAAATTATAAATATATATAATATCAAAATAATTATAATTAATAATTAATTTTAACCCGATTACCCGCAATACACTTTTCTATTCGGGAAGTCATACTCCCGATTAGACACTCATATGTTTTGTGTATGTTTTCATTAGAAATACCCGAATAGAAAATGGTTTTGCGGCCAATCGGGTTACAATTAATTATTAATTGTAGTTATTTTATAATTATATATAAATAATTAATTTAATCTGCAATAAATGTTTAATTTATTAAATCAATAACTATTAAATTTAAACACAATTAGTTTATTCCCATATTTTTTGCACCTATCTTTATTATATTAATAACAAAAAATATTGTCTAACATTAATTTACATACATTACATATAATATGATACATATTGAATGATTTTTCAATCTGCACATTAGATTAAACATATTATATATTAAATAAAATATTTAAAAGCTTAGTAAATTAATATTATTATTATTTGATAATAAATTGTATTTGAAACATAATTGTCTAAAATGTTTCAAGATTATTGAATTAAAATTATTTAAAAAATGTTTTAATGATTTTATTAAAATATTGATCTTAACATCTTTAGTTGGTTTACAAAATAGTTGTAAATTAGTGATAAATTAATGTATAATTGAATTATTGGGAAACTATAGACAATTTGAAAAATGTTAATAAAAGGTGACTCTATTGTGTGGGTCCTGTGAATTGTGGTGTCTCTGCTTCCATGACTTCAATACCACAGACATCACTGATGAAGTAGTCCATACATGCCTGATATAACTGGATTTGTGCGATAACTGTGTTCTTAGACGTCGGAAATTTTTCTTCGGCCTCTTCTTTGCATTGTTTATGATATCCTATCACTTGATTCTCAATTTGTTTCGTTAACTTCTTATTTTTGATTTCATTTTCAGCTTTGCCGAAGTCATAGCCGCCATTGCTTAAGAACCAACCTTCACTTTGTAGAGCACAGGCAGCTATCTGTTCTCTATGCAACTCAACTGTCTCTCGAGTGATGTTTGGCGGCAATGGAGTTGTTTCCAGACATTTGGTAATAACCTGTGCTTTGCTTTGTTTTTCTTTTTCTGATGGCTCTAATTGTAGACATTTGCCTATTTAAACAAATTTTATAAATAAATAATTATTTTATTTTTTAAAATTAAAAACTAAAAACTGAGTGATACCCCAATTGATTTGTGGTCCCTGTGCTGGTGCTGCTTGTGATTGGGACGGTGTTTGAGTCGGTGTTGGCGATGCGGCCACAGGTTGTCCTGAAAATTGTTGTTGATGTGGTTGTACTAAAAATTGGTTTGGATTAAAAAACTGCTGTTGTTGTGGTGCACCCGATCCTTGCGGTCCGAAAAACTGTTGGCCAGTTGATGGATCAAAAAATGGTTGTTGAGGTGCACCAGCTTGTTGTGGTAGGAACTGAATCTGTGGCTGTGATTGTTGTCGTTGCTGTTGAGCTGTTAGTAAAGCTAATTGTTGTAGAAGTTGTTGTTGTTGTTCAAGTGATAACAACTGGGGTTGTTGTGGCTGTGATTGTGGTTTAGATGTCTGTGATGAAGATGGTTGAGCTGTTTGTGGATTTTGGTTTGAAGCCGATCTTAAAAGAGTAACCATTTGTTGGCAATCAATACATTGTAAAAGAAAAGTTATAACAAAAGAGATGACAAAAAGTTTGGGAAACATTTCTAATGAAAAACTTTTTCAATTCTTTAGTTAAGTCAATGCCAACCAACCGATTGATGTGAAAGATAACTAACAAATGAGTGAAAACAGTAGTGAAGTGTTTGGTCTTTATGTGATCCCAGACTATTGGATGTGAGAAACTCCTTCTAACGCAAGATTATTACTGGCGCTCACTAATCACTAATACTAAAAGTTGTCTCTCAATACTGTAATAGTTGTTTTGCTGGTGTTTCCACTATATCTACTGTTCCTGCCTGTGCTCAGCCAACCAAAGGGACATTTTTTACTATTCGTTAATCACTTGCCTATTCACTTGTCCTGCAATTTAATACCACTCACTTGTATTGGCTATAAGGGTCGACCCATTAGTTCAGTGACCCATTATTTCAATTAATAGGTCAGGGCTAGACCAGTACTGTCCATAGACTAAGACACCACCGTTCCCTCACCCGAATGTCCCGTTTGCTACATATGTTCCGATTACTATTGTTAGCAAACATATTATACTATTAAAATTATCAATTAATTATAACTTAAACAAATTAAAGCACTTAATTAGTTTTAAATATAAAATTATATATTTTTAATTTTGTAATTTTAATTTATTATACACAAATCTCATAATAAATATGTTAATTATATAAACCAAATTAATACAGAAAATTTCAGTTTTGTGCCAAAATATAATTGTAATAAATTTCAATATTTAATACATTATATAACATATTTACTTTTATAACTCTTTACTATTAACATAGTGAATTTTATATATTTATTTTTTTATTTTTGTAGATAGTTTTTAAAATCAAATAAATTTTTTATTAAAAGTAATTATATGTCATTTTTTAAATATTAAGTTATAATTTATGTTAAATTTAGTAATTTGTACTCTTTAATAATTAGTGTCTCATTCATATAAGCAATAGTTTATTAAATCTAAATTTATTTATTTACTGAATAGGTTTCACTAAAACTTGTTTTACTGATTTTATTGCTGATGACATTAAATTTTAATTTCAGACTAAATAGAAATATATTTTTAGCAATTTTATTTTAATTTGGTGTTATCAGTGAACTTGTTAAGCAAATATAAAAAAGTAAAGTTATACAATATACTGTATACATAGTGTATATATAGTCTTGAATATAATTTTGAATTTAAAAAAGTATTTAAATAAACTTATATAAATACAACTATATCTAACATAATTTTGTTATTTTTGGCACTTTCTATAATTATGTCAGTATTTAATTGTATTTTAAAATAGTTTTTATATAACGGAAATAATTTTTATAACAATTTTTGTAATATATAATATTCTGTTTAAAATAACTTATTCTGATATATTCAATATAAAAAATTACTTTTTATAATTTATATATAATAAGCTTATTGTTATATTATTATAATAATATCGTAAAATTGCAATATACATGATTTTAATTAAATATATATACTAGTATACAGATTGTACTTTTTTAATACCATAATGTAAATATTATAAAAAGTTAATTATAAATGAAAATATTGATAATTTGCTTAAACATGGCTTGTTTAGTGACTAAATATAAGTTATTTTAATTTTAAATATAATAAAAATAAATAAATAAAATAAAATATAAGAAAATAATTTTATTGTAATTGTTGATTATTTTTATTTTAAAATAATAATTTGTCTGTGGCTTCAAAACAGTTTTTTTAAAACTGAAAATTTCAAAAAAGTTTTTTAATACAATAAAATTATTGTAATTAATTGTAAATGTAATAAATTATTTTTCATAAAAGCTTTAAATGTAACGAAACTTTAATACACAATAATAAAATATAATAATACGGAAATACAGTATATTTTAGCTAAATATTCAAATATAATATATTAGATATTTATATAATGATTTAAATTTTATTTTTGCCAAATTTGTAAATTATTAAACTATTTACAACTTCCTACATGTTTATACTTTATTATTATTAGAAACACAATTTAATATATATTTTTAAATTATGTAATACATAACTTACTATATTAACATTTATATTTTTTATATAATTAATATTTATAATTTTATTTGTTTGCATATGATTGCTAATATTATAGTAACAATTTAAAGATGGGTGCAAAAAAAATGGGAATTTACTAATTGTGTATAAAATTAAGATTTATTGATTTAATAAATTAAACTTTATTGCTCATCAAATTATAAATATATATAATATCAAAATAATTATAATTAATAATTAATTTTAACCCGATTACCCGCAATACACTTTTCTATTCGGGAAGTCATACTCCCGATTAGACACTCATATGTTTTGTGTATGTTTTCATTAGAAATACCCGAATAGAAAATGGTTTTGCGGCCAATCGGGTTACAATTAATTATTAATTGTAGTTATTTTATAATTATATATAAATAATTAATTTAATCTGCAATAAATGTTTAATTTATTAAATCAATAACTATTAAATTTAAACACAATTAGTTTATTCCCATATTTTTTGCACCTATCTTTATTTATGTATTATAATATTTATTTCATAAAAGTCTCTTTGTGAAATATTCAGGTAATAATCTAAAATTTTTAACAATTTCAAATTATTAATATAATCTATTAACATATAATAATTTGAATTAAAAAGGCAAGTAAATTTATTTTATAAATAATAATTATTATATTGTTATTAATTATAGTTAAATTAATTTTTATATTTAACCAATTTAATCTATAATATCTTCAATTATTTCATATTAAAGCAAATATTTAAATAGAAATTTGCTAATTAATTATAAATTTAATTCAACATAATATTTAAAAAATAATTTTATACACTAATTTTATAACTTGTAATTAGAGTATTATATAATTATATAAAAAATAATAAATTGTTAAAATACAAAATAGTCATACTAAGTTTTAAATTGTTTACACTATAATTAAGGTTTACTTAATGTTAACAATTAGTTAATAACAAATTTATTTTAAATAATAGTAAAATGTTTATCTGTTGTTAATCTAATTAATTTTATATATACTGTATATATATATAGCAGTTGTAATATTTTTGGATTAAAATAACTATTTACATATATAATTAAGTTTTTATTAATTTAAAATATTTTTAATTATGTTGCTATTATTATACTTTTCATTCTTGTTATTTAACTAAAAATATTTATGTAATAAATCATAAAAATATATTTTCAAAATTTTAATTTAATGAAATTCTCCTTCAATAGTTAAAAATAAAATTCAAATTAATCAATTACAATACTTGTTTATCAATAAAAAAGTAAAGATTTTCAATAAAATTATAGATTTATAAATTAATAATTTTATTGTTTTAAAAATTGAATTAATTCAAAGAAGAAATAAGATAATAAATATTAACTTAAATAAATAAATTTATTTTTTAATGAATTTATAATTTCAAGGAATTTATCTATTATTATATTTGAGACATAGATTTAGTATTTGTAGTATATTTTATAAAACATCCAATACTGTAGTTTTAGTATTTATACTAATAAATAAAAAATTCAAAACACGATTTGGATTTCAATATTCACTAAGATTTATATAATTTGATGGCAAAAAATGAATTATTAATATAAATATTATGTGAAATAATCTAATATTGAGCTCAATATACAGTATAATGAATTTTTTTTAATAAATATAATAATAGCAATAATAATAATACTATTACTCAAGTTGTTTATAAAGCAGTAAACCTTGAATTATATGTCAGCCAACACATCCCATATCCTAACAATTTAATGACAACTACCGAACCTCTAATGTCACCGGTTTTTACAGTGATTGTCAATAATACTTATTGGTTGCACTTGAAGTTGTCAATTAAATCAACACTACTTGAAAACTAATGAACAAATTATTATAATAAGTATACATTTATGGCATTCATAAACTTTTTTTTAATTTATTAACCTTCGCTTTGTTTTTTTCTGAGTATAATAATAAAATTATATCTTTAACTAAATATTAGTAAATTTAAATAAATCATTTGAAATCCAATAATTTTGAAGATTTGCTATAAATTGAAAAAAATATTATTTGCTAGTTTCAAATTGAAAATTAAATTTTTTATAACATAAAAACATAAAATATTATTATATTGTTGTACACAAAAATCAACAATTATTTTAGCTATAATTTTATGATCATTTTGTTTATTGTATCTTATTTTTAGTACATTCTTATTGTCTTATATTTACATTTGTTATTCTCATAACGGCTGGACAAGTGATCATTGGTTCCCAACCAAACACATCCACAACATTTGTGACAACAGGATCACCATCTGATCCCTGTCCTCGAGTCATAACAATATCAATAAAAATAATCTTAATAATAATGCTTTGTATTCAAATACAGACAATACATTAAATGCAAAATATTTTTAAATAATCAATTGTTTAAATCTTTTAAGCATAAAATAAGCAATAAATGATTGAAATCTTAGATAAGTGGGAAAAGTGAATAACGAAAGAAAGAAAGAAAGAAAGAAAGAAAGAGAGAGAGAGAGAGAGAGAGAGAGAGAGAGAGAGAGAGAGAGAGAGAGAGAGAGAGAGAGAGAGAGAGTATTATACTAAATAGATTTTTGTGTTTTCTTTCAACAATTTATAGACAAAAAACATAAAAGACATAAACCTTGAAATTTTAGATAAAGAAATGAGTTTAAAATTAGAAAATGATAGGCGTTTTACTCTATAATTATTAGTTTTTATTTTTAACAATTGTTATTATGATTGCTATTAAAACTTATTATTGATGATTAATATACAGTAAAAGAATCCATTTATTCGTTACCATAAATAGATGTCATATAAAGTATATAAATTTTATAGCTAACCATTTTAGACATTGATTTTATAACAACACACTATTAATATTTTTCTTATATATTATATAACTAATTTAACAATTGATAAAAAATATTTATATGAAAAATACAATATAATATTATCATAAAATACCATTTTTAATACTTATATAATTATAAGTTATATTAGTATAGAGAATTAATTATGTTGGATTAATAAAAAAAATTAATCTACATTAAATATACTTAGTGTTGACAAAAAAGAGAAATTTCTGGAAAGTTTCTAAAAGAAATATCTGTCTATGGGATCTCCATGATAATTTTGTTATCTCAATATTAGTTATCAAAAATCAAAAATACATTGTGATTACAAGTAATAATTAAATATTAGTAAGAAATTAGTCTTTTTAATTATATTAACTTTAAATATAATTAAATAATTAATAAAGTTTTACAAAATTATAATTATTTTATATATAGTGATCACATATTGTAATAATAAAATAAAATTTCTATAGAAATTTATACATTAGAAATTTACTAGAAATTTTCTAAAGGCAATTTTTTAGAAATTCCTATTTACCAATCTCTAAATATACTATGTATATAAAATTTAGTGTATATTATAATTTTAAATAACTTATACAACATTCTATATTATATTTATCGTTGATATTAAATATTATATAAATTGTTATAATATTTATTATACTTGTATTATTAACTGCAAAACAAAATATTTATTTTTGTTATTAGTCTAAAATCTTTGATATTTTATAAATCTATTATATAAATAAACAATAAAATTAATAATTGGTATAACTTTTGTTCCAACAAATAACATAATAACTAATTGTTATTTACTTTACTTTATCTACTTTTCGATAAAGATTTATTGAACTAAAGTATAAATACAAAATTATATACAAAGTTATATTTTGTAAATTATATAAAAAATAAAATAATTTGTCATAAATATTAGGATTTATTGTTATTTTATTTAATTAACACAATATTTTTATACTGTAATATAAAAATTATGAATTTTATTATTAAAATATTTATTATATTAACAATTACTACATATGTTTGGACACAAATACCTGGAAAAATACCTTTTGTTATGTATAGACGTGAAAAACCAAACAATGATCCATCAAATGAGTTGTTAGATGTGTGGAACTGTAGGTTTGATCGCGACTTTTGCAATATGAAGAACGATCATAATTTGGCAGCTTTTAGACGACATTCAGATGAAACTAATCCTATATTTGGCGAATCATCTATGGTTTACATTAATGTGTCGATTGCGGGCTATTTTCCGGCCGCACGACTTGAAACCGACTATTTTAGCTCATATTCAGAGACATCGGCGTGTTTTAGTATAACATATCTTATGTATGGAACCGGTGCTAAAAAAATACATATTATTCAACAAGACGTGGAAAATAAGTGCATTTGGGTCGACAATAACCAAGTGGTGGATACTAATGGCAAATGGAAAGAAGCAAAGATGACAATTGACTTAAGTGATGGAAACCCGCGTTTTTTCATTGAAGGACATATTGATGTTCGTCCACCAAATTATGGCACAATTGCCATCAGTCGACTCACATTTTCTTATGGTAATTGTCTTTATGACGATACAAATCATTGTCATATAAATCATGTATATCACGAACCACCCCTTCAACCCATTCCCAGTGCTGTCTAATATTTAATTCATAATTATTTTTATTAATTATTAGTATTGATTAGTTTAAATTATTTACATATTTAGAAATTTTATCATTTTCTTTGTTTGTATAATTCAAGTATTATTAACATATTGTACTTTATTTTAAAAAATATTTATTGTGTCTTTACTTATTAAATTAGATAATATCTGTGAATTTATAATAATTAATATATAATAATTAAAATAAAATAATATTATGAAATGGACAAATTGAGTTAATAATTATTGAGTTTTAATAGAATAATAGTTTTAAAAAAATTATAATGTATTATCATATCATATCATTATATAATATATAGTATTACACAATTCAATATACAGTACTTTCCTTAAATACAACAATTAAAAAATATATTATGTTTGTTATCTATTATTTTGTGAATTTAGGTATATAATTTTATTAATAATTTATCTCTATTATGATTACTAGTGTCTATAAAACAATAAAATAAATAATTTATATAATATTATATATAAAATATTATATTTAATTTATATATAATATTATATATCTATTGTAAACATAACAAGTTTGATGACATATGAACTTTAATCTAAATCAAGATTTTTTTATAATATTATAAAATTATAATTATATGTGCGTTAATATCATTGAATAATAATTTAATTTAAAAAGTAATTTTGAAGTTATATGAAAATTATTAATTAAAAATTCCGTTTAATATATGACACAAAGATTTCACAATCTATTGAAAATTTATGAGATACTGTTGATTACATTGCATTAAAAAATTATTAATTATTAAACAATAGAAAGAAAACGGGATTTACACTTCAATACATTTAAACTTATTATATTGATTTGAACTCATAGATTACATTTTATATTAATTATAATTTATTATCACTTAATTATCATTTAATATATAAGATTAAATAATATATAATTTTAAAGTTATTTTAACTATTGTATTAATGGTATTATTAAAAATGATGAAATCTAAAAATATTTAATTTAATTTTTAAAAGATATAATAATTGCAATTAAATGTCAATTTTTGATTAAGAAATTTTTGCATTTAAAATATGTTATATAAATAAATTGGTCATAACTTAGATTAAACAGTTGTATTGAAACAGTCATCAAAAGCGATGAAAAAAAGTTAACAATGTCTTTATACACAATTATTTTATGGTGTATTTTACTAACACTAATCAATTGTCGTTATTATCATCGTTTAAGACATTTAAGACTTGAGGACAGCTTTTGTACAGCTTATCAGGAGTTAAAGGATGATAAGTGTTCGGCCCGACTGTCCTCATGTTCGCCATTAAAAGCTCATGAATTGAATCAAATGCGACAAATTTTGTGTGGATTTAGATTTGATCCGTCCGTTCAAACGGAACCTCCGGCGCCAACAAACAATAATCCTCATTATTATCCAAAACATTTTGCAGATGTTTTTGAAGCAGACATTCATTACTATCGATTTATAGCATCGATATATTCATCAAATCGTGAGTTTCAATGTGCAGGTGCTTTGGTATCACCGAGAACTGTAGTGACCGCCGCTCAATGTGTGTCACCTGCGGTCAGAAAACGAAAGAAACGGCAAGAAGAAGAAGAACAAACACCTGTCGAACAAATACCAGAAGGAGATGCCGGCCGACTGATTGTCCGATTTGGGGAACAACACCTCAATATAAACCCAACCTTTAAGAATGTCTATGAATACGATGTGGAATCCATTGAAATTAGTCAACATTACGATCCCATTAGTCATTCAAATGATATAGCAATCATACGACTGGTCAATCCGGTGCCTATATGTAAGTTCCCGCCCATACATATCCCACGAAAATTTGAGTATTGGTTGGACTATCAGCACATCGCTGGCTGTTCGGCCACTTATTTAGGTTGGGGTTTAAAAAACCAAAAACCTTACTTCAGAGCTCTTACTGGAGAAGTTCTTTCACATCATTTTTGTCAAAAACTTTTTAATTGGGATTACCATCAACTGAATCGGTCTCATCTATGCGTTGATTCGCCATCAGGTGTATGTGTTAGTGATACGGGAGGACCACTTATAACGTATGCAAACGATCGATGGGTTCTCATAGGGCTCTTGACGTTTGGTAAACACTGTCGAACTCCAGGATTACCATTGATTTTCTCGAGAATTACAGAATCGATGGATGAAATCTATAAATATATTGATCAAGACTTCAACTCAAGAAATGCTACTCTTTTACATGAGGAATGTCATCATCAAAACCACTTTCATGCACCTATATATCCAGATAAACATACTCAACATATTAAACCTATTAAACCACTTATTGTCGACCATTCACTTGACCACAAACTACATCCGCCTCGTGGAGCTGTCCTTCCCATTGAACACATTGATTATGATTACATCAATCAAGATATACAACACGTTAAAGAAGTTCACTATAAATAACAATTTATTTAAGTAATTGTTTTCAACTAGATTTTAATGTTTTTATTTTATAAATTATATTCATTTATAAGTCAAAAAATATATTTAAACATATATAAAAAGCTATAAGCGTTCAATTTTTTACATAATTTAAATTATTATTATTTTTGTAATTAATACAAACATGCAATGATAGAGCAAATGATAAATATATTTGTAAATAATTATATATTTAATGCAATTTATAACCACATGATATCATTTTTGTTATATTTTTTTCAATTTTCGCGTCGGTTTTCTTGTAAAACGTCTCTTTCGTTTCTTTTGTTTCAAATTACTAATATTATTATTATTAGTAGAATTAATATTAACCGTATTATTATTATTATTATTATTATTATTACTAATATTATTACTATTATTATTACTCATCGATGATTTAATTGAAGTAATTAGAGTCTGTGGTACAACTTGTGTTGAATTAAGACGTTTTTGTTCATTAGGTGTACAGTTGGAAATGGATGTATTGACTCCTAAATCTCGTTCAATCAGATCAGCCAATTGACCTCTTTCTGCGAGCATTGTTAGAAATGTTGTAATAAATGTGTCGTAATTATGAGTCCGTCGCGAGTCGTCGATACGATATTTGCGACGCTTTTCTAACTCTTCCTTTAGATTAGTTTCTGTAGACTGTATGTCGACCTCAAGATTTTTGAGAAGTGCTACCAAATCTACAGCTGTAAATGCCTTCGATGGTGTTGTAAGACTTAGATTTGGTGAAACTAATGACGATGAGGATGAATGATTTGTAATGCATGTGACTGAAGGTGATGGAAGTGATGGTAATGGTTGTGAATTATGATTCGATGGTGACTTTATTGGGTGTTCATTAAATACTGGCGACTGATCAGACTTTGATTTGCGATTATTAAATAGTTTGCAAACAAACATTTGGTTAATTCTTTCATCCAAATTATCACAACTCGTATTATTAGGCGAATTAAATGCAGAACCAATTTCTGAAGAAGTGTCGGTACTCGACGATGAACTAGGAGTCGGAGATATTGATGTTTGAATAGATAAAGGAAGACGTAAATCATTTCTGACATTCTCTTCATTGATAGATATCGTTAACGGTTCTCGTATTTCATTTGAATTATTATCCATATTATCGATGGTATCATTAATCTGGTAATTGATATTTTGATTATTATGATTACCATTAGTTTTATTATTATCTTCTAAAAATTCATTTTGTGGCTTAATATCAATCTCTGGATATTTAGAGTAATTATGATAATCAAGAGGTGTGGGTAATCGTGTGGGTCGTGTTATTTCTTGAAGCGCTTCTAAAACAATGTGTCGATTAGTTTTCAAAATATTTAATTTAGTTAAATAATTGACGCGTTTGTCGGGAACGACAGCCATTAGATTATAGCGAATGTCATTGCCTTCAGAGGGTTGTGTCTCTCTTTCAAGTCTTTGTCTGATAACTCGCCGAAATTTTTCAGTCCAATACTCGTCTTCAATGGATCCGTGATCTATAGGCCAACGCTTTAGACCATCCAATTCAATGAGTCGACCATTAATCGGTACGTAAGAAGCAAAATGAAAAGCATCAATACTTTGTGACCGTTGAGTGGCCGTTAGGTTTGTCTGTCTCGATGAAGAACCGAACCGATTCTCACTCGATATATCGTGACAATGGGCCGCATGAGAGTTATGAGCTCTGGCCAGTTCGGGACAGTTACCGATTGCATAACCTTTATTTTCGGGACTCATAAACTGAGTGTCTTTCTGTTTTGATATAAAACAAACTGAGTATAACTACAAACTAAACTATAGTTATAATTATTATATCACACAAGTATTACCTGAAATCTATGCAAAACTGATCCCAACTGAATGTGTGGACAATTGAGAAGTACTGACAACAAGGCATGAGTGGCACAAGAGTTGGGAACCATTTGTTGTGCAAAAAACATTTGATTTACCAGTTCTTCATTTTCGATGACGTCGGGTGTCTGTGAACCGACTGCAGACCCGTTTTGTTCGGCTCTCATCCGCCATCTTCCACGTCGTTGTTCTTCAACCCATTTGAATAGAAATATGAATCCAAATACCGTTCCCTCAATAGGTTTGGCCAAATCGTAGATCTCCTCCACTTGAATGCCTTTGCATCCAAAATCTTCAAGAAGTAATGTAAACAATCCGGGATCCGACTCCAACTCTAACCATCCCTCAGACAATCTGTACAACTCGTGTGGCATTTCAGTGGTCACCACTTCTTGACTCTTGAGTCAAACAAATTCATTGATTCAGTGATTCATTCAAAACATAATCGCTTTTGTTATTAATTGTTAACTCATTTATGTTGTGATCTTCAAGTCATAGACTATTGACTGTATTGTTGTTATGGTTTTATACATACAATGTCTGCATTGAGCGCACCGTTTGAATCACTAATAGGTTTGACTATACATTACATTAATATTATTTATAATTAAAAATTTGATTAAAAGTTAATTAATTAAAACTATTTTTGTTATACTTTGGTAAATAACATATATATTTATTTATGACTCAAATTTCAATTTACAATAATGTTATAATAATTATGTTACTATTAATTAAATACATTTAAATAGATAAATCAAATTTAACTATATATTATAAATTATTAATTTTATAGTTTATAAACTAAATGATATACAATATATTATACATAATATTACTCAACATTTAATAGTATCATATTATTTCATATACTTTAATATAAAAGTTGAACATTTATGGCAAATCTTAACTAACATAAACAATAAATTTAAATAATAAAAGTATTAATATAATGAATTAAAATTGTAATTTAATTTAGGTGTTAAAAACTATTACTAAAATTAAGTGTTTCTAAATGTATTAATTAATTATATGTTTTATTAATTATAAGCATATGATTTAAATCAATTACTGTATATATGAACCATTAAATCACTTATAATAATTGATATATTTTTGTAAAATACAATTTTAGATTTTATTATTTTCAAATTCATGCAAATTATATGTCTGTATAACCACTTGTATGGAGAGAATCTTAAACAGCGGCGGCGATGATAATATCGGTAATGCTATTAATTACAATTATCTGGTCAACAATACGTTGAATTAAAAAGTGACCAAGGGCAATGTTGTAGATAATTTTAAACTGAATAAATTTGTAATTGGTCATTTTTTAAATTAATTGTATGATTTGCCATATAATTGCAGTCGACTATCATTTATAAATTTTTTAAACAGTCGACTGTAAATTATCTGGCATTTAATACAATTAATTTAAAAATGACCAATTACAATTTTATTTAGTTTAAATTTATCTACAACATTGCCCTTGGTCACTTTTTAATTCAACGTATTGTTGACCTGATAATTGTAATTAATAGCATCGCCGCTGTTTAAGACTCTCTGATTTGTATGTATTCAAACCTAATGCAAAACAATAGTTTCAAACTACTATATAGAGTACAGTACAGCAAAAAGATAAAGCAATGCAAAAATACAATACAATCAGTGATATTGAATGAACAGTGAGTTTGTAAGTATTGTAGAATATTATTGTATATACACTGTATGTATGACAATATATAGGTTAGAAATGATAGCCAATATTTTGTTATTAATTTGTTAAATAACTTGATTACGAGTGTACTGTATATCATATATAGATATAAATTTTAATTATATAACTATTACAATATGTCACAATTAGACTACATTAGTTACAATTGACATCTGTATTATTAATATACAGTATATGACAATATACTATATAGCAATCAAGAGTGTGTATTCAAACTTTTTAAAATGTAATTTCTATTGTATAATAAAATTTAAGATATAAATTAAAACTTAAAAAATAAGTTACAAATGACAAACAATAATTTCAATTAAAATACATATACAGTACTAATATATATATATATATATACTGTACAGTATATCGTGAAATAAATGCCATCAATAAGAGATAAACTATGAATACTGTTAGGCTATAAACTATTGAAAATTATTGTTTGAATTGTTAATTTCATCATTTGCTAATTGATGGGTCAATTGTGTTGAATTATGATAGTTATGTTGTGATCCTGTCATTTGATGTTCACTTTGGTTCAAATGGGTCTCAAATAATATGTTATTTCTATGAATATTATTGATTGACTCATTGATATTATGTTTATGGTTAACAGCCATCAAAGCCTGACAATAATAAGAGTAATAGAGCTGTTGTTGGACAGTCATGTGCTGACCAATTGGTGCGGACGAGCCATTAGATGGATAGCTGTTATTTGGATGACTCTCACTGTTAATCTCTGTTTCATTGTTAGTGTCGATGTCGTCCTTCTTTAAAATTTCTTCAATCGAGTAGTTTTTAAATTTCTTTTGTTTTCTTTTTGCTTTTGTATAGTATAACAAAAAAATGATATTTTAATTTAATATTACATTAAAATAATTACCAAAAATGGGTTGTTGTGTATTTTGTGGGCTTTTATTTAATGGCGTAATTGTCTCATTGCTTTCAGTTATGGTTTGTCTGACATTTGGTGTCCAATCCATGATACCGTTCGTACCGTTTCTTAAAATACGATTAATTGATGAAATGGAAGGAATGATATTCATTGTGGGATCAGAATCGGGTGTCGATGAGGGGCCACAAGTGGTGCCATTTTGTGCCTGACTTTGGGTGTAAGACATAAGTTCCCTACGTAACAGATCCCTGATCTCCCAGGCAAATATAGCCGGGTTCTCATGTTTTAACCGTAATATCCTTTTAACAATGTTTGGTGTCGTCACGTGCTTTGATTTGGATCCACCTATAGATCCTTTCAATATATTGTATATATTATTTTTTAATTATTTGAAATCTTAATCATTACTATACTTAAGTTACTTGTTTTTTTGTTTGGTTATTTGAATTTTATTTTATTTATATATTAAAGTATTAGATATAATATTGCAAAATATCACTGTTTTTTTGTCGCAAAATTTCTCATAATAAACATTTTTTTGTATGTTTTTTTTTGATAGAATATAATAATATAAAAATATTTTCTGTTAATGAAAACAGTTGTATTATTAGCTCAAAGATATTAACATATTGATAGCTAATAAAATATGTAATTTTATTTATTATAAAAGACAATATATATTACTAAATATTTGACATTTTTAATAAAAATTTTATAGACTAGACAATTAAATAATAATTATCTAATAAAATAATTTTCTACAATAAAATTTTATAATCATTTTTAAAATATATCTATATAAAAATTTCACATTTAAATATATAGCATAACACTTACGCAAATGGTTAGTTCCCGGCTTTATTGAACCTATAATTTAATAGATATAAATGTGTAAATTTTATGTTTGAAAATTATAAAATATCTAATTAACTACAAACCCGTCTCATAAAATCTGGTTAATATTTTAGAAACACAACCGTGCGATACAAGCAATTGACGCGATATATCGCAAGGCCTGACACCCATCAGAGCCAACTCTATTATCCGATGCCTTACATGTAATGGCAATGGTCTACCATTGACAAACAGTCCTCCCAATTGGTTTATACCTGCCTGACCTGCAAATAATGGACAATAATATAAATTAAATACAAATTACATTATCAACCATTAGTTATATTATAGTATCTATAGCAATACATTTATTATAATAAAATATGATAATGTAATTGACTGTATAACTATAATCTTACAATATATATATAATATACTGTAAAAGCTAATATTGCTTTATTATATACCGGTATATAACACTGTATATTATACATATTAGTACATATATGTGAAATGACACTTCACTACAATACAGCAAATAGTATCTATAGTTTATTTTTATAAATTAAGCATGTTAAAACATTTATATTATTTATATTAACATCATAAAAACTAACATGCAAAATTATTTATAACAATCAAAATTTAAAAAATTAAATTTTTATAAATGTTATTTTCCTTCAAATTTTTTATTAAATTTATACTTTAAAAGATATATAAAGTCAAATGATATACATATTGTTATTGTATAATATAGTACTGTATTTATATATATAGTATAAGTGATTATATTAGGACAAATCCATTAGTTTATTAGTTGAATTAGTTTGTAGTCATAAACAAACAAATTTAGTGCACAGTTTAACTTTATGTTTGACAAGTCATAACCATTGTCACAACTGTTAGGTTACAGATATATGGTTGCAAACAAAGACCAAAAATGATAATAAAGTTATGGTTAGTTATGGTCCCACATATGATCATAACATAAACTTTCATGACATACATATCATAATATAAAATTCATTTTTATTTTTTTCTATCATAATTTATAAAAAGCTAATATTATTTATTTAAATTTAAATGGAGTATATGATTTAATTTTTTACAAGTATATTAAATCAATATAAAAAGACAAAATTATTAATTGAAATTGAATTTAACATAATATAATTTACTTAAATATTACTCATTTTTATGACACAGCATTTATCAATCTTTTGTTATACAATATAAATAATTTTTAATTTAATTTTTAAATTTTAATGTACAGTAATTATACACTTAATGATATAAAAGTGATAAAATAATAATACTAATGAATACATACCTGTGTGTGGCATTTGTGTGATACCAACTTTATTTACACTATATATGATTTACTTAAAATTTGCACAAATTTAGCGGATAGAGTAACACTTGTGAAGTATTTTTATAGGTCTATGGTTGAGAAGCATTGAGTCAATGATCACATAGTGAACAGCTCTGAGACATCAATTGATGGGAGGAGAGAGACAACGATCGCAGCAATTCATGTCTGCTTAGAGGCGGAGATGAGGCGCACAGTTGTTCCCATTGTGAGCGTGTAGTGCATGCATACCATGGATGGCATGGATAGTATGTATGGCGTGCCAGCAAATGATCACTTTATTAGCGCTTAGATCCAGTCATCTCTATAAAGCCATTACCGATCAACTCATCAATTAATGCAATGAAGAGCACCTGCACTAATATCCAGTGCCATAATAGCATATATTAAATCACATTTATATTAACTTCAAAATTCATATATATATATATATATATTGTATATTACAGCATATATTGTATCAGCAATTAAATTATATTTTAATTTTAAATTAAAATATAATTTCATTAAAACAAATCTATTAATTTTTAACTTTTAGAAAAATACATATATATTTCATGAAACAATGTTATAGTTTTAATACATTATAAAAATATAGGTATAATAAATATGTTTAGCCATCAAGTGATGATAAACATCTGCATTGCTTTATAGTCTTAATTTATATTAAATCTCTTCCGGACATTATTTGGGATTTACTTTCTTCGCCAATAAATAGATCACACATTTTTTGGCAGAAAATGATGCAAATATTGCACGCAATACATGTTTACTAATATAGTACAGTATAATACTAATAGCAACACATATCATACAAAATGTGACACATGTATAGCACCGGCAGGTGAGAAAAGTTGTATTTTTATTGGCATATATTGTCTTGCATTTACATAACATGACAACAATATTAGTTTTTTATGATTAAAACATCAAATCAAATCAATGCAAATATGAAACACACCCTAAAGTTAAGCCTTTTTTTTTTGATCTAAACTTTGAATAACATTTTATATAATTATTTATTTATAAGTTTTCTTTAGCATTATAAATATACATATATGGTGTATATTATATACTGCATATAAAGCATTACATTTTAAAGTTTAAGTCTCTAGTTATTATTTGTTGTAAATTAGTTATATATTTTTTCCAAAGCGATGTAATGTGTATTACAGTACTAGTACTTTAATCAATTACATTATAAAACTATTATTTTTTAGTAATTATAAAATATACAGTATATGGAAATATAGTTTATATACAAATATTTTTACAACAATTTAAATACAATTTATTAAATAAAATAAAAATTTTAGTTAATAAACTATATTATTTGTTTATCATTGAATTTAAATTTGAATTAAAGCATTACATGGAAAATACACATAAGAGTGCGTTAAATATTTTGCATAAAACCTCTAATTTTGATTTATAGGGTGTTATGACTACAAGAGCATAGTTTTTGTACAAAAAGTTATTTTTTAAAAAGCAAAACGTTAGCACAGTTTGTGGTATAACGGAGTCAAAAGTGATATCCTTTTGAATAGTTGATCGGCTTATGTGGTGCTGATTGGGGACACAATCGGTGGCTAACAAAGCGTGTAAAGCAATCACGCAGTGCTTTATTGCCGCTCCTCTAACTCCACACATACGGCTATAACATATCAACTCATTTGTGGTCTCTATTTATTATTAACAACTGCTTGTGTTTCATAAAAAAACTTTATAAAACACGAATTCATTATTATATTATATTATAAAATTTTAATTTCAAAATAATTTAATTCAAACAAAAATTTCAAATAAAAGTTTGATTTTTAGTTTCTTGTTTTGTTAATCTGTAGAGATTAATAATAAGTAAAATAGGATATGAAAAAACACTTCAAATGCAACATTAAAAATCTTACTTATTTATAGTTTATATATCATAATATAGTCTATTTATGTTCATATATTAAATTTATTTTATAAAATAAATATTTTTATAATATTTAAATAACATTTTGTTCGATAAAATAGATGATTTAAATTATTTATATTAATAATTTTGACAACAAGTAGACACAGATTTAACCGAAATAGTAATCTTTTGATAATAAGTGATTTTTTCTGAATTATTTGACATTCAATGTTATATTACAATTGAGTCCAAAAGTGGTGCTAATATAGTATACAATAGGAGAAAGTTAGTCAAACGTTTCAATTGACGACTCAATTCTCTATGGTATGGTATATGGTATATGACCTCCAGTTTACAGTATATCACGATTGGACACATTTGTACAGCAATTGTCAGCTCCGGCACAACAACTCAATCTCATATCATAGCTGTTCACACATCAAACCAAATAGTCAGACAATATTCCCAAATGAATGAACCACTGGTTTAATTGAATTCATTGAATTAATAATCAATATATAACTTTCACATTTAAACTATTGTATTAATTTAATATTTAATTAAACTTTAGTTAATTTGCTTTAATTATTTTATTTTTTAATATTTGTCATTTACATGAAAATAAATATAATTATTTGATAAAAATTTGTACAGAAGTTGAAAATAATAATAAACATTAGTTTTGTCTGCAAATAGTTTTCTCTTATCAGTTGATATAGTGTTTGAAATTAAGTTTTATATGAATACAAGTGATGCCTAAAGAGCTATACTATTATTGAAAGAGCGAGTGACAGGTCGTGAACTGATTTGTCAATTTATTTGTGGTATTCAACAGCACTGTTAGCACAGAGTGTCTGCACTCAACTGATAGTTCCGATTCGGTAACGGAGCGCAAAACGAGTTAGTATTGCTAACTGAGCTCTCTATTTATGTATGGTATACATACAGTAGTAAATGGCAACAAATATACAGTACAATCAAATGCTATCTTTTTTGACACAATTCATCCACTTATGGATTACTATATTTGATGGCAACTCTTCTCTCAATTCACTTAACAACTTGACTGTTAAAAACTGTATGACATTTATTGTATATTAAAGATACCGATAACCAAAGCCGGCATAACTCTAACAAATTAACGACAAATTTTTGCTTAAATCTTCAAAAGTTTTTCAATTGATTTTTAATAATGCTTTCTTACTTTTGACATTTCATACTGTAATACAATATTAATTCAAGTTAATAGTATAAGTTAATAATAATAATAATAATGAGTATTATAAAGTTAATATCTATGTAATTGAATAAATATAATAAAATAATCAGTTTTTAAATCTATGAAAAAATTAATTAACAAATAAAATACAAAATAGATTAAAATTGAAAATAATTAAAAATTAAATGCTTGTAAATAAATTCAATAATATAATACTTTAGTAATATTAGTTAAAATAATTTATGAAATATTGCTGATATTGAAGTCATCCAAATAAATTAGATGGTGAAGGAGGTGTCCATCTGATCCAACCAAACCATTTTTTAGTAAATTGACCCACCTCCTTTTCACGGATCATCACTTTTCTTGCGTCGGCATATAAATCGCTTGTAAACCGCATTAAATCTTTATAAAAATCTGTCCATTTGTAGTCTAATAATCAAAAATATTGCTTTTAATAAATTAAATATAACGACAAAATACAAAATTTTTGACTTAAATATTTACCATCTTTTTCTTCGGCATTAATTGTTTTGATTGCTATTATTAATAAAGAAAACAATATAACTATTTCTTTGATTAATATTTTCATTGTTAATCACAAGTTATGACTAAATTATAACTGTTATGACAAAAATCACAAGAAGTTGTTTTATAACTAAATTTTGGTTTAACACAATGTCAGCTATTTTGACACCTATTTATAGCCTAACTTTTAATCTAATTTCAAGTAACATTGATCTATAAATTATTAATTTTGATTATTTTTGAATTTGTTAACAAAAAATTTGAATAATTTTATAATAAAAATAGTGCTATTTTGACAAATTTTAGCTCAAATATTAATAATTTCAACAATATTTTTGTTAAAACAAGTTTATTTGATAGGTTTATATATTATACATTTGTATCTAAATTAAATTTTAAAAAATAAATTTATGTTAGTTTTAAAAAAAATAAATATTATTTTCTATTATGTATACGCCATTGATACATATTAAATAAAGTCAATAGATAAAATATTAATACCCCAATATCATAACAGTATATATACAGTATATATATATATATAAATAAATCTATATGTTTTCAATAGATACGTTATCTATAATTTATATCACTATTACAATAATGTATTTTTATCTTTAATATAAACCGAAGTCATTTATAAACAAAACATTTATGAATTTAATTACATTATAAATATTTTTTATTTAATTAACTCAATATATTTAAACAACAATATGATGTAACGTATCTCCAGCTCTGGTATACAATCGGACTATTTTGTCGAAATGGTCGGCACGAGTCGTACCGATGTTTAGTATAGCAATTGGTTTATTCAGTTCTTTAGCCATCAACGCAAACCTATAGCCAGAGTATACTTGAAGTGATGACCCAATGATAACAAGTGCATCACTTTCTTTCAATTTATTGTTAACATCATTAACAACATCTTTAGACACATTATCGCCAAAGAATATAATATCAGGTTTGAGTAGTCCATCACATCGAGGACACGAAGGATAACGAAATTGTTGCATAAATTTAGAGTCTATATCAATGTCACCATCGGGTCTAAGAGTATTGCTTTGATTAAGTATATCATTAGTGATAATGTCTTCATTTAATTGTTTTAATATTTGCTGAAATAGATATCTTGAGACACGATATCTGCAATAAAGACATTTCACAACAAAAGCATTTCCATGTATTTCAATCACATTTTCAGAGCCGGCCTTATAATGAAGTCGATCGACATTTTGTGTCACAACTGTGTGTACTCTTCGCCGACGTTCCCATTCGGCCAAACATTTGTGACCGACGTTTGGCTCAAAACTACTAAAACGAGTCCAACCTTAAGATATTATATTTTTATTTTCGTCGATATCATCGATCAAATGTCTAAATAAGGATAAATACCGCAATAATTTCGGGCCCAATATCTTCTTCTAATGTCATCACTTCTCAAGAAGTCTTGATATTGAATAGGTTTATGTCCTTTTCGGTCGTAAAGACCAACACCTTCTGACCGATAGTCGGGAATACCGCTTTCGGTAGAAATACCGGCTCCGGTCAACACCAGAACCCGATCGGTAGAGTCCATAAACTGTTGAAGAAGTTTTATCTCTATATTAGTGACCTTTCGGTGTTTTGGCACAAATTCGGTCACAAATGGACTGAAATGTCGGTTAATATGATATAACATATTGTCTTTTGTCTTCACTTTAATTAATTTAATATTAATTTTTATTTAACCAAACATTTCAAACAATAATTGTTAAGCAAATCATATGTTTTTTATTTATATTTACACAAAAAAATGTTACGTTATATATGAGTGGCCCTCAGTTGCGACACAAACAGTGATTTCATTGTCACTAAGTTTTGGGGGATTTTATCGGTAGTTATGTTGCAATTGATTGACATTTTTGGTGGATTTGTCATCAAATTAAACACAATTTTTGATTAAATTAATGAAAAATTATTTTATATTTATTTCATAATTAACTCTAAATTTGCGAAAAAAAGTTTGAAATAAAGTTTTAAAAATAAATTGACGACAAATATGTTGACTTAAGTTTTGAGTCTAAAAATAGCTAACAAATGGATTTCATAACAATTTTATTGATCACAATGTCTGCTATAATTTCATTACACTTTTACCGCAAATTTCTGCCACAAAATACACCGATTAACCACTTCTTGAGGTTACTGACTGTCAATAAGAAACCTGTGTTCGGTAGACAACTCTTAAGACAATTGTCGACCAATGATGACAGCAATGACAGTGAAGACAGGGAACGGCGATCAAGTGTTGGTCGTATGTATACCCGAACCGGAGATAACGGGAGTTCAGGACTGTTTGGAAGTGGTGACCGGCGACCGAAAAATGACAACATATTTGAAGCCTTGGGTGTCGTCGACGAGTTGTCGTCGAGTGTAGGCTTTGCTCGAGAGTTCGTTAAGAATGAACTCATCGATGAAGAACTGGAACGCATTCAATGCATTCTTCAGGAGTTGCAGTCAAATATGGCGACACCAAAGACTACATCCAATCCATCACTTATCGAGAAGACTAAATGGAACCGCAATTATCTCATCGATTTGGAGCTTTCCATTGATTCTCACACACAATCTCTACCACAGCTCAAGAACTTTATTCTTCCAGTAATTTAATTTTTATTTATTATTAATAACTATTTTTAAAATTTAGGATAATTATGGTATTTGTTTTGATGTTTGTTATAAAGTCTGGAGGAAAAGCCAGTTCAGCACTTCATATGTCTCGAGCTATCTGTCGACGGGCTGAGCGAAAACTAGTGCCACTTCTAGATGAAGGCCTGGAACTGCCAATTCTGCAATACCTCAATAGATTAAGTTCTTACTTATTCACAATTGCAAGAGTTTGTGCACTAAATGATGGCAAACCCGAAACCATTTACACGAGACAAAAGTCTTCCGACGACTCATTTGACGAATCGTAGACACGATTTATTGATTGTCAATAGCTTTGACCAAACTTTTGTAATTACTATTGTTTTCTCAGAGATTAACTATTTTTTATAGCATTTATAATAATCAAAACTAATTGTCGATATTTTAAAAAGCAATAATTTTTTAATTAATAATGATTTATATAATAACATTTTGATCGTTAATTATTTTAAATTCACAATTGCCGTCTACACACCAACTATTATCACCACAATTGGTTCCCTCCAGTGCTGGTCCAGATGAATAAGATCCGGTTCTTTTAGGAGTTGAACAGTGTATGGTTTCATTGCATATTCTAGCGTCGGTTTTTGGAAATTGATAGGCTTTGTTATCTCTAAGAAACAGTTGGCATTGTTTGTCTGCGTCCCATACAGTTCCCGGTCTTAAGTCATATTTATTATAATTGTAAACTTCACTAACATTTTCTGGTTTATCGTCTAAACATTCAGTAGATGTCTGTTGAAAGTTTACAGCCGAACACTTGGACCAATTGGTTTCTCCTCGAGTACCACGACTGCTGGACATTATGAAACCATTTGGTGGACACTCAATATTGAATGGCCAGCCATCGTGTAATATTCCTAAACTGAATAATTTTGTAATTTTAATTATTATCAAACACTTTATTAATCAATACTTGTGTGCCATTTCATGAGCCGCAGCCCAGGTTGACATGAGACCAGAAGAGGGCCAAATCGGGGCTGAAATGTCAAGCGATGGACTAAATTCACTGATTACACAATTTCTGTCGAGAGTACATATGCCAGACACTGATGCCAATCCAAGAGAGTTATAATCTTTAATTTCATGGTCTCTAATCACATATAAATCATATCCTGTTAATAGTAAAGCCATATCCCAGTGCTTGGGATCGGAATCTGATTCAGTATTTAACAGTTCCTGATATTTGCAGAACTTTTTTAACAGTTTATCTCTATTTCCATCGGTTTCAGAAAAAATGTTTTCTTTTTGTATTTCAATTTTGACTAAATTTATGACAAATTTTGGTGCAAATGACTTATGAGAATAAATGGCTTGTATTTGACTTATATATGAAAGTATTAATTCATGAAATTTGTCTTCACTTTTAATTAAATCATGAGATAATAAATTTTCATACGCTTTGTTGTCAACAAAAACAGATAACTCTAAGTACTTGATCTGTCTTTTCCATCCATTGCTGACAAACAAAGAACTGTTTTCTTCTGATCGGTATTTGTTCAGTATTTGTCTGCTAAATATTTGACTTGAATTATGCGGATCTACTTCTAACAGATAATCCGTATTATGTCCACCGATAGACTTTAGAGACCCGATAAGTGTCTTATTAAAGGTTTTCTATTATTAAATTAAAATTATTAATTCTTAAACATTTTAAGTATTTAAAAATAGGTTTTAAATTAATATGGGTTTCAATATTATGTAAAAAATAGTTATTTATTTACTTACAATTGCATAACCAATAAAATATGCATTAAATACGATAAACAAAATATATAAAAACCGCATAATTCAATAAATTTGTTTATAAGTTAAGTATGAAAATGATTTTAATAATGCAATTGCATTATTCAATACAACATTTATTGTCATTGATATCAATGCAATTACTTGTTAAATATTTATTTTATTAATAATTAAAATATAATTTTAATGATTTTAGTATTTTAAACCCGCATTTAATACATTCACATATTGTTCTATATATTCAATCAATTGTATAACTATAAATTAAACAAAATTTTTTAAAAATCCTGTAATTATTTATATTTTATAAATAGTTTTATCTTTAAAAACATTTACTTCATTTGCATACTTTAATTAAAATAATAAACATTTTAATTATTTACAATATTTATAAATATTCAAAATATTTTTAGTGTTTTAAATTACAATCATAAGGGAGTTTAACAAACAGATGCAATATATAGAGACTCTGTGTTATTAAGTTATTATTTACTTAAATATAAACAATTTATTAACACAATGAAGCATTTAAATAAAAATTTTATAATTTATAAGATAATAATTCATAAAATCAAAATACTTAATTAAATTGCTAAATAAAATTTGAAATTGTAATTTATTTAATTTTTATAGACAAAATTTATTCAAAAAATGTAGTGGTGTTGAAATAATAATATATACTTTAATAAATAAATTATAATTATTATTATTATTATTATAATTTCAATGTGTTAAAATTTTAAAACTTGATAAATAATTTTATACATAATATTTTGATTAAATTAAAAATTTATTTATTCATTAAATTATTATCAAATTAATAATAATAATAAATTAATTAGTGTTTAAAATGTTTTAAAACTTTTATAGTGCTTTAAAATTAAATATTTATATTACGTTAATATTGTTGAATATATTAAATGATTTCGTAATACTTGATATGTTTTTACATTAAATGTATTGAATGAATGACAACACATGTTATGATATGACATGTGTTGAGGACTTTGTTTATATGATTTTAAATTGAAATGTGATTACAATTTGAAACCAATTTATCGGTCATTTGACACCATTTGACCACATATTGTGTCCGACAGTTACTATGCAAGAAGTCAACAAAGACAGTGACGACATGACAACAGACCATAACATTTGTGGTCACAAATACCGACAATTAACCGATGAAGAGATGGCTAAACTGACAAATGATTTGGCGATCAATGAGTTCAGACAAAACAAGTTAGAAAAGGAGTCGAAGAAGAATTGGGATCTCTTTTACAAAAGAAATACAAATAAGTTCTTCAAAGATAGACATTGGACTCAACGCGAGTTCAGTGAACTCATCGGTGACCACATGAGTGAAGATAGAGACGTCTTTATGCTTGAAGTGGGCTGTGGTGTCGGTAACACTATTTGGCCACTCATTGAGGACAAGACTCGTTTAAATTTATATGTCTGTGATTTCTCTCCGGTGGCCATCGATTTACTACAGAAGAGTCCATTGTTTGACAGTAATAAATGCAAACCTTTTGTGGCCGATATTACCGATGAATCGGGATTTAGACATCATTTGCCACCGAATGTGAGCTTTGATTTGGTTTCATTGATATTTGTGTTGTCGTCAATCAATCCGACAAAAATGAGAACCGCTTTGAGAAACATTTATCAGGTATTCAATGATTTTATATTAATTTATTCTCAAATATTGATATTTATTTATTTATTTTAATTTACATCAAAGTTAAAGTTAAAATAATGTTTTGATTTAAAACAGAGGATTGTTTAATATGAACCTCAAAACTGACAGATAAAAGACTAAACATTTTTATGTTTACTTTTATTTTATTGCATTAAAAACTTTAATTTTTAAGTTTGAATTTAATTAATAGTTGAGAAAATATTGAATTTAAAAAATATATGTCAAATATTAGAGTTTAATGTCTAAACATTTTTTTTTGAATATTAAATTCATAAACAGAATTAAAAATGAATTAATTAAATATATTGATAGTTTGTTTTAACAAAAACAATGTCAGAATATTTATTAGTCTAATTTCTATCTAAAAATTGATAGTTTATTGCAACTGACAATAATTGTTTGATTTATCACTGAATATAATTTACAAAATTAATTTTATTATTTATATTTATCACTGAATCTAATGATTATAGTGTGATAATGTAGATAAATACTTATTGAATAATTTATAATACAGCATTTTTCAATGAATTATATTATAATATATTTAATTGTTAATTCAACATTTATTTATTTTTTTTTTGTTTATCATTGATTATTTCAAAAATTTAGTAAATACAGTAAAGTACTACATAATACTTTATAACAAAATATAATTTATTAAGTGTTGAATCATAGTTTTTTAAATATACAATAATATTATGTATTTTTATTTTATCAATATTAACTTAAATCTTTGTTTACATGTTATTTTATCTGATCAATAGTTATTACATTATTAATTAATATATTGATTTAATGTTATGGTCGGATTAGTGTTAATGTTATAAAAACCGTATATTTGTAAACTAATGTTTAAAATTTTAAATACAATATATGATATTAAGTTATTCTTTGTATAACTTATTTGAATTGTATAATGATTTATAGGATCCAAAGATTATATTTGGTTTGCAAAACAAATTCCTAATTACATAGAAAAGGATTATATATATATATATATTTTTTTTTGTACATTTTTGCGTGTCTTTCACATGATTTGTTTTTATTGATTTATTTCAATTATGTCTACATAAACTTATACAATATAAATTTCTATTATTTGTTATTAACTTTATTATTGATTTTGATTAATTATTATATTTATAATTTTAACTGTAAATTTATAATTAGGTTTTGTTTATTTAATTTATTTTAAAAAATTAATTATTTGGAGAAATATTTTAGAACATGAGATACGGTATATGATATGATATGATGTTTATATGATATAACAGAAAAAATAATAAAAATTTAGAAAACTTTTGAATTATTTATAACAAACACAGAATGTGTTGATTTCATAACAAATGTGTACAACATTTAGAAATAATATACTATTTATATGCCAGTCATGTTTAGTCTAATTATAAGTATCGGTTGTATTTGTAATTCAATACAATATTGTAGATTCAGATAATATTGCCATTTCTAGTATTATAGTATATAATATTTTTTATTTATTAATTTTATAAATAATTTTTTTGAGTGTCGGTCAAAAATTAATGTTTTTAACACATAAAATAAGCATAATTTATATCACGAGAAAATATATATTATTTGAATTATATATCCATTAAATATTTTTAAATTATCAAATTTAATGCATATTTATGATGAACTTATGATTTCAAATACCGGTAATGCAAAATATTTATTAATTTTCATTTTTTAATAATTAAATCTACTAAATAGCTTATTATTATACGGTATGAAATAATAGCATATGTAATTAATATAATGATAATAATAATAATGTAAAATTATTCTATATAATGCAATTAAAAAAACAATATTATTGTTAGGTATTGTAATAAATATTAATATATTTATTTATATAATTATTAATTAAAATATAATAAAATTTATTTCCGATAGGAATTTTGTTTTGATTGTAAGTATTTAAATTAATTTCATGAATAAATAAATACTTTGCGTTATACATCTGTATTAATAATAAAATTTATTTTAATATCTGATATAATAATTATAAGTTATATAATTAATATATATATTGATACGGGTTTTGAAGTGGGGTCTGTCTACGTTGACGTCCAACGTAGAAGTTGTCTTAAAGGATGACACGTAGATGTCCTATGATGACGTTGACTTATGGCGTTGACGTGTACGTCTGACGTGAACGTGTGACTTGATCGTGTGAAGCATCACATGGTTTCCCGAAGTGTAGATAATTTGGTGAATGGCCGGTGGATCCGTGCGGCGTATTGTTGTAATTGTGTAGTACTTTTGGTAGTAGAGCTGACCATGTGTTTCGTGGATTATCCTGTTTTGCTAAGCGGAGCTTACGATTAAATCATTAGCCTTTTCGCATAGCCCGTTGGCTTGGGGATGGTACGTCGACGTTAAAACGTGACGTACTCCGCTTGTTGTCATGAAATTGCCAAACGTTTTGGATGTAAAGTTGGATCCTCTGTCAGTTATAAGTTGTTTAGGAATCGCAATATCTTTGAAAAGGTTCTTAAGAAGTCGGATAACTGTCTTCGTCTTGTTGTCAGATGTGGGGTATGCCCAGACATACCGTGAGTGATGATCAACAATTAACTGAATGTATTTTAACGTCGACGTTGACGTCGACCCCATAACGATGGTATCCATAGCCCAAATTTGATTTGGCTGATCGGGTGTCTGAATTGGTTGTAGTTTTCCTAATGGTGGTTGATTACTTGGTTTTACTATTTGACAGTTTCTACATGAGCGGACGTATGAGGAAATCATATCAGTTGCTGATGGCCACCAGTAGTGTCCACCAATAAGTTGAGTGGTTGCAGCGATTCTGGGGTGCCCATGGTCGTCGTGGTAATGACGAAGGACTTGCATTTGTAAAGATGGTGGTACGTAATATCGTTTTAATCCGCGGTGGCGATGAACCACAAGGCCTTCATTATCCTTATAAAATTTTGATGGGACGTTGACGTCGACTGATACGTCGGACGTTGACGTGTTACGTTGAGCTTTCTTGAGTACGTCAACGTTGATGAGCAATGAAACGGGATTTCTGGATAAGGCGTCGGCCGCTTGATTGCGTTTTCCCGATCTGTGGTGAATAGTGTAGTTATAGACTGATAATCTAATGGACCATCTGAAGAGTCGATTGTTGGAAGTATTTTTGATGTTAAGCAGCCACTGCAAAGCCGAATGGTCCGAAAATACGTCGACGTGCTTCCCGTGCACGTAGACGTGCCATCTCTCCATGGATTCAATCACTGCGAGACATTCCATCTCTGATGTTGTATACTTTGATTCGTGAATGTTGAGCCGTCGGGAGTAATATGATACGACCCTCTTATGTCCGTTTTCGTCGGGTTGCATTAGTATGGCTCCGATCCCGATCTTACAGGCGTCGGTATAGATAACTACAGGCCGATCATCGCGGTAGATTGCCATAACAGGCGGAGTTAATGCTGTCTTCAGTTGATTAAAGGCGTTATTTTGTTCAGTAGTCCATACAAATGGTTGTTCCTTCCAAAGTAGTCGAGTTAGCGGTTCAGCTATTATCGTGTAGCGATTGATAAAGCGGTGATAAAAGTTACACATCCCTAGGAATTGTTGGATGTCGTGGACTGATTTTGGTTGAGGATATGCGCTGACAGCTTTTGTCTTCGATGGTGAAGGCATAACGTTACCGTCCTTTATCACATGTCCTAAGTACTCGATTTCATTGACTGAAAACACTTTTCACGTCTTTCAAGTCTTACGTTAGAGTTGTTTAGAGTTTGTACTACGTCTAATAGTTTGTCGTGAGCTTCTTTAGTTGACGCGTGAATGATAATGTCGTCCAAATATGGTATGACTCCTGAGTTAAGTAGATCACCAACGACTTGACGTATTATTCGTTGAAAAGTTGGCGGTGCATTTTTGAGGCCAAATGGTAAGACAAGCCATTCGTATTGGCCGTCGGGTGTAACGAATGCGGATTTTTCAATTGATTCCGGGGCCATGGGTACGTGCCAGTAACCCCATGCCATATCTAAGGTTGTGAAGTACGTTGACGTACTAAGTTGATCGATCACGTCAACAATTCTGGGTAACGGTTCACGTTCATCAACCGTTACGGCGTTGAGTCGTCTGTAGTCGATACAGAGACGTTTGGTCCCGTCCTTTTTTGATGCAAGGGTCACGGGAGATGCGTATGGGGACGTAGAGCGTCGAATAAGGCGTTTGTCGAGGAGAATCTGAATTTGCCTCCGTATTTCTGTTAGGTCTGCGAGTGAGTGGCGGTAAGAGCGTTGATGAATTGGGGCCTGATTCGGCAACAGGCGAATTGTGTGGGCCACGTTGGGGATCCGTCCAACTTCGTTGGGGTCCGATGAGAAAAGTGAGGGGTACTTATTAAGAGTGCGTTGTACCGAAGACGTTAAAGTATTATGAGTGTGGGTAGGCTTTGCTACGAGGCATACGTGCCGTTTATACGTGAAGGGATTCTCTTGAGATACAATTCGACTTTTAAAATCCAAATGAAGTGAGAAATCCGAAGAAGTGGGAATACCGATGATAATTGAATTGGGTGCGTCGCTTAGCACGTGAACGGGGACTCTAAGAGCCGTATTATTAATAGTTAAAGTGACGATTAGGCGGCCGTCAGATTTCGTTTTTCCATTGACTTGGATAACGTTAATAGCGGTTTGCGGGTCAGGACGTAGACGTAAGACGTTGATAAATTCTCTGCTGACAACATTAATTGTTGACCCAGAGTCAATTATTGCACGAATTGGATAATTGTTGACCCGCACCGCGATTTCAATTAAAGACGACCGCCCTGAAAGTTTCCCTGATTGATGGGGTCTTCACCTTCAAGACGATATGCGTAAGTTTGAGCCGTTTGATTGAGAGGACGTGAGAAGTTAACGTTAGCGTAAGACGTTGGCTCATTTCGTTGAAAGTCGGTGTTTTCAACGTTAACGTAATACGTTGGATCAGTATGTCGGACGCCAATGTCTTCAACGTTAACGTAATCCGTTAACGTGTTATGTGTGTCTCTCACGTTAACGTAATTAACAGGTGTGCTATTCGGTCTATTATATTGTCTTTGGATTTGTGGTCTAAAAGTTCTAACCTGTGTTGCGCTTTGATCGTTGAGCTGTTGGCGGTTCGGAAATGACTGTCTGATGTTTTGAGTCATCATAGGACTGCGTTGTCTGCACTCTCTATGCCAGTGCCAAGAAGTGATCCCAACGTCTGCACAATAACGACAAGGGTTTGGAGGCCGACTTTGACTTGGTTGTGAATTGGTCTCAGTTATCATTGCATACGTCGGTTTACGCAGTAAAACGTTAACGTTCTTTGTATACGTATTAGCAGTCTTTTGTGGAAGTGACGACTCAAGTCTCTGTGCGAGCGTCAACCAATCGATATGATTATTTGGCAACGCGCATAATAAATATCCTTTATAATTATCCGGCATTCCAGCCGTTAGTTGGCCAACGATATTGTTGTCATTAAGGTCCGCTTGTCGTAACAATCTCATTTTTGCGTCGAAATAGTTCTGTACCGATTCCGTTGACATCAGACGTCTTTCTTGTGCGATGACCAATGCGTCTCGACGAGGAGCACCAAAACGCTTAATAAAGTGTTCCTTCACTTGGTTCCATGTTATGTCAGCTATGTTGGCTATTTCTGTCGCATACCAGTTTAGCGCGTCATCTGTAAGGTATGCCATTAATGTAAACACTCGATCGCTGTCAGATTGGTTCCGAGTCAGGACCTCAAATAAATTTAACCATAGGTCTGCTCTTATTACCGTTTTGTGACCGCTGTATTTTTCCAGCGATGGCCGGTGATTATACGTTGACGTCATGGCGTCTGTTGATGTAGACGTTTGAGTGGCGTTAGTGTTTGGCATTTCCGGGGTTGGTGTTACGATTTTGAGGTAACCGCTTCTAAGCCGAATGATTGATGGTTATTGCGGAGGATATCCTGCCGATTCTGCGCCAATTGATACGGGTTTTGAAGTGGGGTCTGTCTACGTTGACGTCCAACGTAGAAGTTGTCTTAAAGGATGACACGTAGATGTCCTATGATGACGTTGACTTATGGCGTTGACGTGTACGTCTGACGTGAACGTGTGACTTGATCGTGTGAAGTGTACGTGTGACGTGTGATGTGAACGCGAACGTGAACGCGTGACGTAAACGTGGTGTTGACCAAGCGGTGGTACGAGCGTTGAACGGCAGCGAAACGCGAGTCGGTATTGATGTCAATGTAATGCCAATGAATGATAACAAATGGGCGGACTGGCAATGGTGGGTCTCCGATGATATGGTTGTTAAATGTGTCCCAAATATAATGTAAAATAGTGATCACGAAAGGGTATTGTAAACACAGTTTAAAATGTATAACTTATACTTCTTTATTAAATTGAACTAAATTAAGATAAATTGTAAAAACACGTGTGTATAATAAAATATAATAAAATAGGAAACGGAAGTGGAGTTAACGTAAGACGTTGACGTTATACGGAGTATAATTGAAGTGCACTCGTGGAGAGGCGAAAGTGTAAGAGAGCGAGAATAGAGTAGTGTTAGCTCTTATATAGCAATGACTTGAGGTATAGGTATCGGTGCGCATGTGTTGGACTTTTGGGAACAAGTAGGTTGAGATGTGCTGCCCTCTGGTGACCGGTAATTGGGTAAAACCTCTATCAATATAAATGTCAAATTAAACTGAAGAGTTATTGTTTGTTTGTTTTTTGGATAAAAATTTAGATATTTATTAAACTATWTATACATTTATTACATTATCTTTACATTATAATATTTATCTTGAATAATGTATAACTTCATAAAAATAAAAGTACAATATCTATATCTCGGAAAGTTTAGTTAATTTTTTAATGAATTGTTTTACTTTTATATCAATTGGTATTATATTCCTATTTTATTTAGATACTGGTCATAATTTTAGTGTAGGTAACCGTGTTTTTGTATCATTAGATTAAAGTTGTTTTGTTTGATGACATAATTTCATCAAATTTGTTGTATATCGAAATCAGTTGGCTTTTGAATAATTGCATTCATATGATTGATTAATACATGTATTGCCCATTAAATATTATATTTTAGCATTTTATAAGAAAATCATACATGTTTTTATTGTAATTTTTAAGTTTAATTACATAAACACAATATTTTATTTTATTTGTTATAAAATCTAACTTATTATGAAACATATAATTTGTGATTCAAATATTTTTATGCAATTTATTGTTTAATACTATACAAACAGCAGTATTACAGTACAAATTCATTGATTTGTACAGTATTTTGCAATGCAATAGAAAACAATTGCAAATGTAGTTCAATTACATGTATTATACAATATATTAATGTTTTATTAACACTCGGGCCCTCTGAACGCTATATATTATATGTAAATTATATAATAATTTTAGTTGATTTTATTGAAATTACTTTTTTATTTTGTTAATAATTTATTTCATTTGTACTTCTATTATGGCCTCAATTCACGTTGTTTTGACTAATTTGTTTTTATTTCAATGTTAATATTAATGTATATTAATGGAAATATGATTAAATTTATCAAAAATATTGAAATTCAATTTATATAGATTTTGTTATTTTTTTTAATATTAAGTAAATATAATTTATACATTAAATAAGTATCTAATCATATAAATAATATTATATTATAAACAATATAAAAATAAAAATTACATTTATGATAGAGTAGAGTTAATGCAGTTTTATACAAATTATTTATGATTTATAATAAAAATAAAAATATGATAAATAATTGATTATAAAAATTAGGTGATGCGTCCAAATGGTGTGTTACTGTTCCGCGATTATGGTCTCTACGATCACGCAATGCTTCGGTTTGGAAGTGGACACAAACTGTCGGACAACTTCTATGTGCGACAGGACGGCACCCGAGCCTACTATTTCTCTATCGGTTTGAAAATAGTCTTTCTTTCAAACATATAATTATTTTATGTATTTACTACTATTGTATATATTTTACCATAAATACAGAATATATGGAAACATTGGTCAAGTCGTGTGGTTTTGAAGTAATACAAAATGATTACATTAAACGGGAAACAATCAATCGTAAGCTTAACACTTGTGTCGACCGTATTTTTATTCAGGGAAAGTATGCCAAACCAGACAATAGTTGACCTTTTCATTTATTTTTAGGGTTTAATTAATTATTTTTATTCATTTGTTTCATTTATTATTAATATTTAATTATGACTAAATTATGTAAATTATATTTATAAATTCAATAAATAATATGATACTATTAAAAATATTTGTTCACATAAATGATTTAACTTGTTTTGATAACTTTATGAATATCGATATTTATAAATAATATGAGGTATTATTGAATATTCAAATGTATTTATATATTTTGATTTATTGTGTCATTAATGAAGTCATTTATTTAATAAAGTAGAGCACGTGTTAAGCCAAGCGTTTGAAAAATGTTTGTATTAACCATTCAAATGAACATAAAGTGGACAACAATTTAGACAATTGATTATTTTTTATTTGCTTTTATTTATTTATTTATTTATTTATTTATTTATGATCTGTATACTTTACTATTTGATTAAATGTTGCACCAAATCTAACAATTCATTTTTTGAATTATAAATATATACAATTTAGAGAAATAACATTTATTTATTTATTAATATATTCATTGGTTAAACTAAATGCTTAACTATTCAAATACAGTATTTTCATTAGTACTGTACAATAGAAACTGGGTTTTTATATTTATTTTATTGATATCATTAATTTATTTAATATACACACAACTATTGAGTTAATTCTTGATGAATATATTACGTGCAACTCTTTAATAAATAGTTATGTATATACAGTATATTGTAGAATATATTAATATATTTTTATTGAACTAACATAAGCTGCAATTATATTAAAAATTTTATTATTATTATTATTGAAAAATGTTTTAAACCACAGGACTAATGATTTGCTAAGTGTTTTCAACATATATTTGTGTGAATACATTATAGTAGACAACAAATAGCATAACTTTCAATTCATAATAAAAAAGTTTCATTTTTTTTGTCATAACTATAATGATAATAAAACTTTAATAAACGTATTTACAATAACATTAGTAGACACTCAGCAAACTGTCGTTTCTATAAATTGTTATATAAATTGAATATTAGTTTAATATTAGTTCAATGTACTAATTTTAGTTCATTTCATATATATTATACATCATTTTTTATTAAACACTTGGAGACCAAAATTTAAGTGCATTTTAACAAAAAAATGTATTATTTTTTGTGACAATTTCTTTGACTTTTAAGGAAAGTGTTTTTAATGACATTATTCTTTAATGTCAATGATTTTATTTGTTATATCAATAAATGTTATCAAAAATATTTTATTGAATTTGACCACAAAATTTGCAATTTTTAAATCATTATTAATAATATTATTGTAAAATAATTTCACATATTTTTTATTATTTTGAAATTGAATAAAAAAGTAAGTAATATTTAAAATATCATTAGTATTTTATATATTTTAATAATAATATATCTATTCATTGAAATATTATAATTGGTTTTTATCTTTTTTATGACAAATCAAAACCTTATATTATATGTTATATTCATTGCAATATTTATTATTATAATGTCCTTTATTTTGTAGAAAATTACTAATTAAAGATGTATTGAATGGTAATGTAATAATTTTCAATACATTGACTCAATTTCTCTAATGATATCTTATTTATAATTTTTCTTTCCTTATAAGGAAAGATATTAATAAATGACCGATTTTTTTATTATTTTATTAAATATTTATATTCAATCTAATACTATATATTTTGAAAAGACTATTAAAGATTGTTTTTATAATATTAAAATAAAAGTTATATCCAATAAAACATTGTTAAATCATATAAAGTATATATTAATGTCATTAATAGTTTTTTATATTTATCATATATACTGTAAATATAAATTCATTGTTTATAATATAACAGTATCATTAATTATTAGTAATATACTGTATAACTTACTATAAACTTATATTTTTAATCTTTCAAAAATATTTATAGTAAAATTAAAAATAGTAAGCGATGAATATTAATTTTTTATATATATTTATAGATTTGATTTATAAATAATTTATTTTATATAATATTGCAATATTTATTATTATTATTTATTAATATACAATAATCACAACAATATACTTTATACAAAAATATTAATAATATTAATATTTTTTGCTGACTTTAAATATAAAGCTTTTATATTATACAGTATAGACAATGGCTTATAATACTTGATAATTTGCAAGTTGTAACTTAATTATAAGCTTCAAAATGTGTTTTATTGCTTTTACTAATAATATTCAGATGAATAAAATCGATTGATAGCCCACTTTCACATTAAATTCAACTGTTATTTTAAGTCCATATAAGTTTAGACTCTATGATATAACAGTTGTGCAAAATATTATACAGTATAGTATGTAATAAAGCCGTATTGTCATTGTAGTGTACTATTCAATATATACACCATTATTTGGCATTTGTATGAAATGTAATTTTGGTAACAATGAACTGAATTTGAAAATAAATCTATTTTTTCTACACTAATGTCTTGATATGGTTGCTGTCTATACCATATCTATAGTATATATTTTGATAAAAAATTGTATCAAATCTGGAGCTCATCTTTGAATTCATTTGTGTTCAGCAAATGATTGTTACAAACTAAGAGAAATCACTATTGAATGCAAACATTAACTCAATTCAAATACAAAAAAGTCTGAGAGACTCACTGTTTAGTTGAATAAGTGTTTAAGATTTCAATTCCTAATATATTTTCCCTGTAATCACATTTCACTCAATGTTTTTGTGGCTTTAATCGAGACTAAAATAAATTGTACAACAATTTTATATAATATATACAACACATGAAAACCATTAGGATTTTAGGTTTAGATTTCCGTCAGATATCATTGAAAAATCCTTTCAATTCCTTCATCTCTCTCTCTCTCTCTCTCTCTCTCCCCACTGCCTCTATCGCACACTTTTCTCCTTAATCACCAATTGTTTCATTACTTTTACATATTTTCCCATTTCTTACAATATAATGTTTTATATTATATTTTACATTAAATTAAAGTCTAGGTTTTTTAGAAGTTGTTTGTTGTAATTGAGTCTAATTTCTATACATAACACATCCAATCAATGATCTGTTCAAATATTCAGTATTAATACAATTTAGTGTATATAGTTGTGTATCAATTGTATAAATATTGTTTCATCTGATTATTTAAGCCGTTGTGTTATGTCTATCAAACAAACATCACAAATATAGTCAACATTACAGAGGACTGGCATTACTGGCAAACCGTTGCACCGACTCATGAGGTATGTGTTCGTCAACCAAAACACCGATTCATTCATTGACTTTAAATTTGTGTCATATCTCTAGTATTGACTAAAATCGCCACTAGTTATGACTTGACTTCAGTATAACTAATACTGTATATAAATATATATATAAAGTTTGATTTCACTAACAATTCTCACCAATTTTTATATTTATATTTTCAATTAACCAATAATTTGATAAAAGTAAAAGTTATTTATTAAAGTAAGTAAATATTGATTATATATTATTTGTTATATAATTATTGTTATATATTTATATTTGAAATTTTGTCAATTTATCGTATTTTTAATAAGTAATTTACAATATAATATTTTAAATTATCAATAGTTATTATGATTATGTCAATCTATGTTAATATTAAATTTATAATAGTAAATGTTCATATATCATCAAATTTAATCACAATTAACATTTAAAACAATTATTACAACTCAATGGCATATGTTTTACAATAATATGATAAACGAAAATAATGGATAGTATATTATACAAAATAAATAAATATTTTATTTATTATATTTTTATATAATATTCTATAAATTTCAAGTCATTTTAAGTTAGAAAGATATGTCATTTCCGTTGATAACATTAACAAATGGTATTTTTATAATTAGATTGTTTGGTCAAACTTGAAGATTAGACTTTAAAACCATATGAATATAATATTACTACAGTATTAATCAATAGAAATGATTTATCAATTTTTGAAAAATAAACTATAGTTTTTCTAATTCATTTATTTAATTTAAGAAACAATAGAATATTTGTTTATATTTTTATGTAAAACTTTTGTTGAAGTTTTATGTAGATTACTATTTAGGCGCATCAATAAATTGTTATTTAATTTGAATATAAATTTATATTACAATTTTTGTTTAATCGTTGCAGTAGTAAAGCAAAAACATCAATACATATATGATTTATACTGTTATATACTGTCAGTTAAAAAGGTCAGAGTTAAAGGTTAGCAGATATTTGATTGACAATAAATGCTTAGAAAGTAAGATAATTGCTAAAAACAGGCAATAATATTGAATTACAATCTATTTGTTAATTAAATTATTGTTTAGTTTTAGTGATTGTAAATGTTTCTAATTTTATTTTTTTCAAATAAAATACAGTACTTAATACTAATAATATGATTTAATTTATTTATTATTTCAGTAACTGGCAATAATTATACAGTAATATACAATAACATTATTTTATATTAATTAATGTCATTAGTGATAATCCTTACATTTAAATTCAGACGAAATTCAAGACAATCCCGATTTTGTCAAACAATGTCAACAATTTGTTTAAAATAATCTATAGATTTATAGTAATTGACATTTTTTTATTTATTTTGTAACTGATATAGAATTTTCAACGATTATAAATAAATAAAAGGATAATATAATTATTAACAAAAGATTTAAAAGGTTTATTCAAAAAATTATTATAATATAATAATGTATACTTTTTAATAATAAATATAATATAATATAAATTTTAATAATGATGATGAAAATGACATTAATATTTACAACAAATTGTATACATTATTACAAATATTTATTTAGTTATTAGTAAATTTAAAATATGTTTTTATTACTTGAAAATAAATTAATTTTAATAATTAATTTTATTAAATATATATTTTATTATAATATATATTTAAATAATGTGCAGTGTTCAAATAATTAAAAATAAATTAAAAACAAATATCTTATGTATAAGATAAATTTTTAAAGTTAAAACAAAAATAATGCAATTCTAAATATAGTTAATTAATTTTCAGTGTTTATGATATTTTATAACTTCAATTATTTTGTCGATAATTAATATAAATATTATTATTATTTAATTATTATTAATATATTAATATATTAAAATATTTCAAATAATTTAAGAAGATAATGCTATAAGATAATATAATGTATAAAATTATTGTAAAATATTTAAGTAAATTCAAAGTTAATAAACAATCATTTCCTTTATTAATTGTAATGTTATATTTGTTAACACAAATATATTTAAATTATTTTGTATTAATGAATAATTTTTTAGACTTATTAATATCTCAATGTATAAAATGTCAATTTATTATCATAGTTTTGATATACAGAAATATAATTTTTAAATTAATGAAAATTCAATACAATTATGAACAAATAGTTTTGACAAAAAAGATAAATTTCTAAAATAACAAAGAAATTGTTGTCTATTGGATCCATTTTTATAGAAATTTTCTCAGACAAATTTATTATAAATTTCTATTTGCCATCTCTAACTACAAAGCCTTGAATTTTGTGTAATTTTCTTTGCGTGTATTTATTATTATTTGACAATAATTTAATTCAAATTAAGTGTAATAATTCTTTAGTCATATGAAACTACAATTGGTTTATGTATTTATATTATATTTATATACATAACTACTGTACATGTAGTATACAGTATAATTCAATATATAAATGTATAAACATATAAATGATTTTTCCGACTTTTATGCATTAAATTACTTTATTTAGACTATAAATATGTTTCATAAGTATAATACTGTTCACAAGTTCACAATCATTGATTAGTAATTTAGAAATTCATTAGAAATATTTAAAAATTTTATTGTTTGTTTGTTTTATTTTTACAGATCATGAAAATTTTGATAGAAATGTAAAGAAAATCTTCATATTAGACATTATTATAATGATTTGCTTTCTTCGTTAACGACAATATATGGAAAAAACTTTATAACAAAAAATATTGAGACAATTCGTCATATGATTTGTTGGCCATTGATATGAACAGATGGACGTCAAGACTAGTATTGAGATTCTGGCCAACAATGAACCCAAAGCTGTCATATTTGGTGACATCTCTTGTGTCGGTCTTTCTTATTGTCGTTTATTTACAACAGACAAACATGTGAGACATATTTCATTATAACATATTATTTATGACAAACATTTATTTTTTCAAAAATTATTAATCATTAATTGATAATTTGTAAGAAAATTTTACTTTAATGAATAATAAGAATTATTTTTTAGTAAAACTTGACAAAATAGATATAATATTTAACAAAAATAATTTAAAATGTTATAAATATTTGCTAATGTTTGGCAAAATAGCAAAATGTATACAATAGTAAAAATAAATTATTTTATACTAAATAATATTACTCTTAAAGTAAATATATTATTATATTAATGGTGTTTTTATTTTTATGTACAGTAAATTTCATTATTTTGTTGATTGTTTTCAGTTTCAAAATTAATATATTTTTAGATTAATAAAAACATCTATCAATAGACAACAACGATATTTTAAATCATAAGTTATGATTCATAACCTGAATTTTTATTAAAGTTACATAACTTATCATATATTAATAACTCAAATAGTTTTAATTGAGTCTATTTTTCAAACATTATAACTTAAAATGCATATATTTAATTAAAATCACTTGAGTGTTGTTGTAATAATATTGAACATTTTAAAATACTTGTTTTAAAAATATATTCAATAAATAAATTTAATATTTTTATATTTAATAGTCAAGAATATTCTCGTTATAATTGGTTTCAGTCAGGAAATAGAGAGTTATTAAGTCTACAAAATAAAATCAATAATATTGTTAATTATAAACAATTGTCAAGTAATGGTACAGACTTGACAACAAAAATCAATACACTTGAGGCCCAAATAGACAGCACTGATAGGTTTACGGCGAGTACACCGGTGGAGGAACAGTCATGTGATCCAAAATATAATATAGTATTTATAAAGACCCATAAGTGTGCCTCCTCTACGATTCAAAATATATTTATGAGAAACGGATTTATTAACAATAAAGTATTTGTATTGCCAGCAAAAGCCAACTATTTGGGACATCCCCTACCATTCAGTCGTAGTTTAGTTCCCGATCCCAAACATTTCAACCATCCGTACAACATATTGACCCATCATTCTCGTCTCAATTATGAGGAGATGCGCTCATTGATGCCAAACGGGACACTCTTTATTACAATAGTCAGAGACCCGGTAGACCTGTTTGAGTCTATGTTTCATTACTATCGGTTGGATAAGTATTGGAATATTTCATTTGATATATTTAACAACCACTCCATCAAAATACCCAACAAATTGCATACAAATAGATATCTCGGAAAAATAGGCATAAATCAGATGATGTTTGACTTAGGAATGAATGTCATAGACTTTACAAAGCCTTTCACTATCAAGAAATACATCGACAAATTGGACACAATCTTTGATCTCGTAATGGTTTCTGAACGTATGGATCAGTCTCTTGTTTTGCTTAAAAATCTATTGTGTTGGTCTACAGATGATATCATTGCTTTTAAGGTATTTATCCTATATTTATGCTATAATTATACCGTTTAAATAAATAAATAAATATATCAATTATAGTTAAATGCTCGACAAAAAACAGCAAAAAGTGGTTTAACAGAAATGTCTAAATATCGGTTAAGAGACATGAATTGGGCCGATCATCAACTTTACAAACATTTTAGCCAAAAGTTTTCACTTATGGTTAAAGCTTTTGGCAGTCAAAGAATGAAACAAGAAGTTAATGAACTTCATTACAGGACTAAACAATGGTTTAACTATTGTGTTGGAAATGATAGCATTCATCGAAATAATAATAATAATAGTAATAATAATAATGAGACTAATAATAATAATAATAGTGGTTATAATAAATCAATAATAATACATTTAACAAATAAACAATTAGATAACACAACTTGTTGTCTATTAACAGCTCAAGAGTTAGATTTTACTAAATTTTTACGAATAACACAACTCAAGACATATCCCGGATCAGTGTTTAAAGAGACGGAAAACAATTATAACAAACTATTAGACAAAAGAAAAGAATATTTTAAAAATAAATTATTAGTTTTGTCGTCGATATCGAAAAATAATGAAAATCTATGTAAACATTGTTCTACCGAATCATTAGTGCCACACACGACAACTCATAAAACTATTAATACTATCTATCCTTTAAATCCATTAAAGATTGCCTTAAAAAAAATTTCAAACATCTAAAGGCCTTACGATTGTACAGTAAAATTTAGATATAATTTTAATAATCAATCAATTATTTGCTATATATTTCAATTTAATTGTGTCAAATGATAACAGAATTTATATTTTATTTTCTTAAATTTTTATGATATATTAATATTTGAACAAATTGTAATTAAATTTTTGTACATAATATATAGTATTAACCATCAGGTTTTAAGTATTGTAAGTTTAAATATTATTATATTTTTTGGGGAAATCATTTTTAACTAATCAATTATTTATTATTTTTAAATAATATTGATTGTAACTTTATATTAGTGATAAATTTAGTATTTTATTATTAATTACCGTAATGGAGAATATTTAAGCAGAAAATTAATAAAATAAATAAAATCGGTATAAATAATGTATTGTAATTATATCATATGATAATTGTAATATTCAAGATTATTTGTCTTCTAGTCTCTTATATTTATTTTTTTAAATCATGTCAAATTATTTAATGATTAATTTTTAATATAATTTCCACCTTGTTTAATTAAGGATGCAATATGACGTATTTTAAAATACACTTGTTTTATCTTGCTACTTTTCCAGCTGACATTTAAATATTAACATGATATAGTATTATATATATTAAATATATAACATAGAATTATTGACATAATTGTTTAATGATTAATTTTGAATATAATTTCCACCTTGTACAATTAATTATTATATATAACGTATTTAATGTAAAGTTATAAATACCACTGGACAAAGTAGCAAGCTAAAATAAGTGTATTTTTAAATGCGTCATATCGAATAATTAATTGTACAAGGTGAAAATACAAGTATAATTATAAATAAAGTATAATATAATTTTAATAAATAAAATATTTAAATATTATATATGATTAAAATGCTATAATTTTTATAGTTATATAATATATATAAAATATAAATTTATTTATTGATTAAAACATTTATAAAATAAATAAATAAATTCAAATTATAAACAGTAGTTATTAAATATTGCAACTAATAATAGAAAGGATAGGCAATGAAACTGCAATTTGTTATATAATTAGAAACAATGAGATAATTTAAAAAAAACTAAAATATGATTTATGCAGACAATCATTGAAATTAAAAAGTGTTTGTTTGTGAAACTATTTGGTGGGCAGAGTTGGGCACATAGGGAGCGGTCGGGGGTGCGGTTGCTCTCCATTTCCTTTATTGCATAAATATTTGACTCAACTCCGGTTCACATCATTTTAGTTTCTACTGTACAGTAGATATACAGTAGACATACAGTAGATAATACAATACCTTTCCTTTCATTTATAATTAACATCTCTTTATATATTATATATAAATTATATTGTTATAACTTATAAGCATTGATTTACATTAAAAAGCTTTGATATCAATAAAAAAATAAATAAGTAAATCACTCTAATAACACTATTTAATTAATTATTTTTGTTTATAATAGGATTTTAAAAATAAATCCTGTTTAGAATATAAATTTAAAACAAATGTTTTAGCATTTTATTATTAATACCATTTTATACTTAATATGACATAACAAATGTTTAAATATATCTGTAAATCATGTCTTTAAATGTTATACAGTGTATGCCTATTATAACAATACGGTACTTATTGAACTAAAATATATTGTATTCATGCCTTTATATCAATTACATGATTTAAAAGCTTGTATGGCATTAATAACATGATTTGTTTGCAACAAATTGATTAAATGCTTTATTATATAGTGTTTAATATCATAGAAATACTATTAATATACAGTATATACTGTATGTTATATCATGACAATCAGCAACAAATATATCAATTAATAAAATTTAATAATAATATTTATATTTTAATCATTTTAATAATTTACATTTACAAAAGTTACATTTTGCAATAGAAATATACTGTAGTATATTATATAACTGTACATTATTTGAATAAACAAAACAATATATCAAAATAATTTTCTTTAAAATAATAATGTTATCAAAAAATATTATAAATAATTAATATAATCATTATATATCATTATAAAATAAAGCCATCCACCGGTGATAAGTACCAAAACAGCTAACAAATTGTTAATCTAATAAATTATTTCATTTGATATTACAAAGAGGCACTTATATTTGAAACTAAAAATATTATAAAATATAATAGTTTTACAATTATTTGTACTAAAAATTAATTTTTTAAGAGATTCAAATAAAAATAAATATAAATATGTAATATAAAAAACTATCTCAAAAAACCATTTTAACAAAATTAAGTATATTTTTAAAGTAATTGATTGATAAAAAACGGTAATGAATTGGAATTCAAAGAGTGGGCACACGATTATAGGTGGGTCTACTGTTGTGATTAAACACCGATCGGTTGCGCTTCTTGTAGTCCATCGTACAGACTATGAGAAGAGCGGCGACGATCGCAAAGAATTGTATGAAAGCGACACCAATTGATGTCAGTCCGACCACATGTAAGTTATTTAAGACAAAATGTCTTATTTTGTAATAACAACCGTGACGTCTGTATCGAGTAATATCAGTCTCCGGGTGTTTACCGCACTGATCCTCATTGTCATTGTCTTCAAGTTCATACCAAATGCTTTCATTGGAGGGAAGTGTTGGAATGCAACAGGTATTTGGTACCCATTCTTTGTCCGGCCACGCGTTTATTGAGTACCAATCCGTGTAATTATTAACACCACAACAGTTAAAGTTGACTTGTATTTGATCCCAAGTCTCCAGAATACCTTTGGTGTCGTTCAACACATATTTGTTGCGAATGCCATCTAATAGTTCTTCTCTCAGTGTGTTTGTTAGCTGTCGTCTGAATGCAAAACTCAATGTCCCGACACTGATCTCCAGAATCATAAGTACAACAATTGAGACCAAATAAGTTGTCAAAAGACACTTGTTTTGAAACCATGAACCACAACAACCACAAAAAGCCACAAAAAACGTTAGACAACCCACGATTATGGCCAAGTTGTCCGCCGATAGGATGTGATATGATGGCAATATACGGGCGTATGTTTCATATGAGATGGACAGCCATACGCCCACACCTAATACACAACTGCCTAAAATCTGGTCATAAAAACTTTATTAATAACAAATAAGTTACAAATCACACAACACTTACCCAAAACAATAAGTTTATAAAACACAAGAAGTGTCGGATACAGGTATAGCCAGTGGCCATCACTGACACACTCATTTGGGATCAGTTGTTGACAATTAATAATTAGTGGTCAACAACAACAACAACAATAATAATAATAATAATAGCTTTAAAGTTAACAACAAAACAATAAATTCAATGACAATAATAAAGTTTGGGTTAACTCGACATATCTGTGGCTAAACTTGTGGTCAATAATAATATAACTCAATAACTAATAGTTGTTTTGAATGTCAAACACAACAAGTGATTCAAGTGTTTGCAAAACTCAATACAAAACAGTTGAAAGCATAAGACGTGTTAATATTAAAGTTATAATAATATTTAATATTAAATACTCTATAATACTATATAATACTTGTATACAAAACACTTAATCCATACAACAGTGTTGTCAAAGCATTCAATGAATATTTGTTTTATAAGTGATTTAATTTCATTTGTTGTGTTGTTTTGTCAGTCATTGCACTCCAAACTTGTGCTGACATTGCATTGTATAACACTATATACTGTATAATTGTATACAACTTTTTTCAACTCAAAATTGTTTTTCGCTTTAAAGTTCACATAAACTTTTGCATAGACTTTATGTATTATGTCTTATCTCCTAATAGTCTCCTTCTCTCTCATTTTTAGTTGGCCTACCGTTCCTTAGCTTAGGTAACAACAATAGGTCTCCCTTTTTATTCAACTGAGTGAACATTTGTTGGAAATAATATAACATAAGTTAGTACTTATGGTAAACACTAAACACACCAAAAAAATACTAATCATATGAAAAAGTTTTGAATCTCAAAAAAATGTCAACGGATTAGACATACATATGTTTACAGTATTAAGCATTTTATAATTACATTTAATTGAATTTATTTAAATTATATAACATCTCATAATTTTGTTTTAAACACTATTTTTTAGATATAATGAATATAATTGCCTTAACTCAAAAAAGATCATACTAAAAAATTAATTTAATTATTCACTTAATTAGATAATAATACTGTATAATAAATAAAGCATAATACAGGTATAAGTTTTATATAACATTAGTAATTTATAATACAGTAGTAATATACTTATAAAGTTAGAATAATACATATTGTTTAGCTTAGTGGCACATTTTACAGTGTAATTACAGTGTTATTATTAAAAATATATAATAGTTTATAAATGCAAACAAGAAATTTAAATATCGATTAATAAAAACATGATAAATGATTGTCAAACAAATAGTGAGTCTGTATAACAATTTGATTTATAGTTGTATAATATTACCCTAAACTTCACTTATTATAAGATTATTAAATAAATTTATTTATAAATTTAATTCTCGCGCTTCACTATTACGTATGAATTTAAATATTTTAATCATTAATAAAAGATTAACTAATAATTTAAGACTTTATATATTATTAACTGCTATCTAATAAAAATAACAAATTCAATATTTATTAGTAATTAACTGTGGATTAAGATTATTATTATAAACTTGTCAACAATAGAGATGTCCGATAATATAGATCTCTGGAATCAACAGAGAGATCAAAGAGAAAAAATGAGAAAAGAAATGCAACAAAAGGTTAAGACAATGATTGAGGAGATCTCGAAAAAGGAAGTCGACATCGATGTCAACTCACAGAATAAGATCGAAACGGAAATACAGTCGTCTGTAACTGATTTCTCTAATAAATTCAAACAAGAGATCGATTTGTTTAAAGACAAACACATAGATATTGAAAATAAAATTAGATATCAAGAAAAACAAGAAAAAACAAAACTCACCGATGAATTCATGAAAAAAATTGAAAAATTGTCAATAGATGAGACAAATGTCGTCAAAGATATCAATGAACGAAACAAATTTAGAGCTAAACAAGAGCTCAATAGTCTTAAAGTCAAATACCGTAAAGACTTTGACTTAATTATCGATACTTTAATTAAACAAATCGTTGATTTAGAAGAAAAACTAAAGGCAAGAGAAAGAGATCTAATGGATGAAAGATCTAAAGTTCAGTCAGAATCACCACAAGTTATCAGACAAACTCAAGATTGGACTCCAGAAACAAAGATAAAACTTGTGGAACCAAATTCAACCAAAGAAAATATCAAACAAACCGCTAAAACTAAAAAGGACGACAAAAAAACCAAAAAAGATGATAAAACTGATATCAAGAAACCCTGGCATGACTTGAATAAACTCAACAAATGATTTCAAAATGATTTAAACTAATAATAAATATACTAATCTTTATATATATATATTTAAAATCAATTAGTAATTACCGTATATTTTATTTATTTATTAAATAATAATTATTATAAGAAACAAATTTCTTATTAAAATAAATTATAAATTGTTTATTAATTGAAACCTATTTTACAAATGAAGAAAAAATAACTGATTTAATAATTCATTTCATTGATTGTTTCGTTGGCATAGTTTGTGGTCATCGAGAAGTTATCAATCGGACGAATAACTGAATTGTCATCATTTGTTTCAACCATACAATTGATGTGTTCATCACAAGTCCGGATGTATTGAGTGATAAACTCGTTATAAGTATTTCGATCTTTAAGATGAAACAAAAAAGCCAATGAGTTATCAATAATTAATAAAATAAATTAATTAAATACCAAATTTTGCTGTCATTTCTGGTGTGAATTGCATGTAGTCGTGACACTGGAACTGATTGCGACTCAAAACAATACCATACGCTTCAGTCAAACAATTGAGATTCAATGGCGACGACAACTATATCAACAAATTGTGTCATTTTATTATTTGTGATAATAAAAATCACTTACAGGTTGTGTCATAAGTATCTGAATGAAGGCATCATCTGTTGTCTTGATTGTGGCTCTTTTGCCATCATTTTCAACCTATTCAACCAAATAAGACATTTGTAGTTAAAGATATCATAATTATGATCATCGGATCACATACTTTGATGACATCCCCCACAATAGTAGCCGATTTTTGGATGTAATTCTGCATTAAAGATCCAGTTATACGAGTCTTACACGAAGTCTCATAATTGTCCATAATTATTGGGATCTGTTTGAGTGATACTTTTGAAGATACAAATTACAAAATAAAGACAAACAATTCAAACGTTTTGTTTGCAATAAATGCGCCAAACATTCAATACAAACATTAATTACGACAAACTCTATAACAATGTATTAAATTAAATGTAAAGTATTTAATAGTTTAATAATACTGTAAAACTGTAAATATAATATAATTTAAAATATTAATATTAATATCAGTTATTTCTATTTTATTATATATTTTATTGTATATCATAATAATATCTTTTTATTTTAAAAACATTTTAATAATATTTTTAATGTATAAATCAATAAACAATTATTTAAAAAACTCTTATGTTATAAAACAAGATATCGTAAGTGTATAAAGTAAAGTAAATTGAATTTAATTATAAATCTTATAAAATATATTATAATAATTGCTATAATCTTTAATCAATGACTTTGGGATCTCTAATGAGTTAACATCTTCTTTGGAACCAATCTTTTGACGCATAGATTGAAAGCACAACTCTCTTAATGTATAGAAAGGCTGTGAAATATAGAGGACAGCGACCCGATGTCGAGGCATATCATTTGCCACATATATGAGATTACTCTTTGAGTCTTCAGTTTTGTTTTCATTGCTATTAAGTGGTAAATATTTTATATCAAAGCAAAGACGATGTTTGGTTAGACTGTCTCTGAAAATCCATGGATGTGTCAAATAAGTATTAATACGAAACTGTTGTTTGCTATTCAATGTAATATATTTCTTCTCAACGCCCGAGTAGTCAATCCAAAGGACGTCCACATTATTGAGACTGAAGTTCACGAAAATCAATAAATACTTATTTGAAGAGTCCGTTGACTGTATTTCACATTTGTGTCCAACATTTGAATTCATTATTAATCAAATGATTATCACAAATGTCTTATAAATGATGACATACCAGTGCCTATCAATCAAATAATATCAATACATTGTTTAGTTGTCTTTTATCAAATCAATGTATACCTTAAGATTGCAGTTAATCTGATATTTATCAAACATAATGCAAAAGTCAATACAAATGGATCAGATTATGTGATAATACTATTAGTAATATATCACTGATTAACTAATGGCTGATATTTGTTATGTATTATTATTGTTGACTCAAAGTATGCATAATATGTATTACAATGTATTACATAATAACAAATAGTGTATAAAATAGTCAACTATTTGCTAATGTATTGACATTTAAAAGTCACGTAAATTTGTGTTATATTAATAAATGACTGAATCATTGATAAAGAGTCCATAAAATTGGTTATAATTATAATTATGATTGAGTTGTGAGCACAGGTAGTACTGTATTAATACAATATCACTGATTATTGTCAAGTACTGTATACATATAAGTATTGTTAATTGATTTATTGAGGCACAGGTAGCCGTAGTGTATTGGTTGACGTTATAGCTGTATTGATGGGCGGGTATTAGTAATATTAAAGCACTGGTAGTGTATATGTAATAATATATTGTATATTATTATTGTTGTCCAATGAGATTGTCGTATGAATTGATCTCCATTTGCATCACTTGTTGCTGAGTAACCACTTGTATGTCCTATAAAACTATAAGACTGACTGTTTGTTTGGCGATTGTTTTAGTCGGTGTCTTGTCTTTGGTCACAACATTACTATTGATTATTAACTATATATTTGTATATTTGTGTTGATATTTAATAAATTAATAGACACGTCATGACAATGAGTGGCCAGTTATCACATGTTAACAATTATATGATGAATACAATGGACACAACTTCTTGGATGTGTCACATCAAGCGTGAGTTCGGCCAATTGGACTATTTTATGGCCAACAATGGCCGCAATAACTACTGTCAATCAGCACCCGTACCAATATATCCAACGATTCGCATCAAACAAGAACCCGACACCGGCTACGGGTCTCTGACCAACTCATCACTACATGATTGGGGACTTAATGTAAGTTATAATTAATTTTTACCATTTTTTCATTGATAACCTATAGTATAGTATATTATTAAATAGCGATATAATATGTATTATCAAACTGATTGACAGGCCTTGAAATAACTATTATATAATTTTTGTCATTATTTGGATTAAACTAAGATTGTGTCAAAACATTGTCTAATTATATTATAAATAAACGATAAAAATAAAAAATATATTAAAGTAATGTATGAATTGATCCAAACAGGAGACCAACCGATCGACGGCTGGTTTTTCATTAACTCATATCCAGAACCTGGCCCTCAAAGAGTGTGCAAAAGAGATTGACATCGCTTGTGATGCCCTCAACATATCTGCCGGTAATTATCTTATTTATCACTTATTTTTTACACAATTAAAAAAATATGAAAGTGTTGTCGTTTAAGCCATTGATGACCTAAATGGTGATAATATATTTAAGTGACATATGTATTGATTACTTGTGTTTAAAAATGAGACGTTTTTGAGGATTTGGGTCACAAAACAGTCTTTTGTTTATTTGATTTATTAATTCATAGCATTTCTTGTTTGTCTCTCACGACCCAAATCTAAGTGTCTTTTAACAACTTATGGGTCATTACCTGTATTTTGGTGATAATGACCACAAATGAACCATACATTGCACTCTTTGGTGACATTCATCACCACTTTATTAATAATGAAAACTTATTGTCTTTTTGTTTGATCTTTAATTGTTTAAAAGTTTTTAGTTAACAATAAATTTTTTGATATTTTAGTTTAATCTATAGATATGTGTTGATATATTATTTGTAATAAGTGGTCTAATTGTATTAATTGTATTACTATATTATCACTATTATTAGATCCATTTAATTGGAACGTTACAGATGTCAGAAGTTGGTTAGAATGGACTCAAAGACAATTCAATTTATTGGACTTTCCTCTCGAGTATTTCCAGATGGATGGTATGAATCTTTGTAAATTGTCTGAACAAGACTTTAAAGACAGGGCCCCCCTCTGTGGCGAAACACTGTATGCACAGCTCGAGATCTGGAAGACTGGTATGTGTCTCATGTTTTACATATTTTATTGAGTGGACATAATTTGTTACATAACTTGTTGTTTAAATCTTATATAACTCTTGTGGCAATAAATGTCGACAAATGGAGTCTTATTGAGTGTGCTTTGCATTGATTGCCGTCTCTTTCCTCTCAATGTCTTTCATATAGCCTCTCATTCTTCTGTTTTTCTATTTATCTCTATATATATCTTATATATATTACATTATAAAGTATATAACTTAACTATAAGTATAGTTTAGTGTACTGTATATTATATATATACTATACATATACAGTATAATATAGTGTACATAATTGGGTGCTTTTGCTTATTGATGCCATTTATGTTTAGCCGTCGACTTTCGCCCCGAGGAAAGCATTCTTGAGTTCAGTTCGATATTAAGCAACTGGTCGTCATCGCCGCCGCCCTACTGTACATCACCGCCATCTACAATAAGTGCTGTGCCCTCTCCAGGACAGGAGAGTATAGGTACAGATGCTCATACAGTATGTGTGTCTCCCGTATCGCCACCGATGTGCTCATCTCCAGTCTCTCTGATAACCGGTAATACAACTACTGGAGTGGGCTCTCCACTGTTTGGCAGCTCCATAGAGAGCTCATCTATTGTTACCTCAGATTATGGTAGCGAAGGAACTCAAAGCGATGGTATGTAGTATTCACTTAACAGACACTAATGTAATATCGCAACAGGTTTTCAAATAAATGTTTTGCCAAAAGCTCTGCCAGTGCTCTAAATGTTAAACCATTGCCATTAAATGCCTCACCCATTGCCTGCATAAGGGCTTCAATTGACTGCAACTCCACATTAGCAACAGTAGCATTGCTTCGGGCCATGTCTTGAAAATATCTTGCAATTGCACATACATTTCAATATATAGCTTATACTACACTATAATATACAGACAACCAACTCTCAGTTCTTAGATATGTCTGTTTTTTGGAGTTTTTTTTGTTTTCTCTATTCTCTGTTTTTGACCCCTTTTCCAAACCTCTAATATATGAGCGCTCGGCAACAAAATTATTGTTTTCTTCAAAATAGCAGTTATTTTTGATAATAATAATGCATTCATTGCTTTCAAAAGCAGTGATTATCTAATTTACTGCTAAAGTATGGTTTAGTTTAATCACAATATTATTTATCCAACTCTTTAAATGATAAGTTTTTTTAGTTAATTCTCTGATAAAATGACTACTTGTTTGAAGTAATTTTTCAACTAATTTATTGCTAGTTTGCTATTGCACTCCAATTGTGTCATACATTAATGGCATTAATAATGAAAAAAGTTAAAAGCATTTTATCATAAATTATAACTTGATTTTGAAACTAATTATAGCACCAAATATTGATAGCAATTGTATATATAATTAACAGATGATATAAGCGATGACGGTTGCGACCTATCATTGAGTGGACACCTCGAACAGTCACCACCTACCAGTTCGACGACAACAGTGGGTCGAAGTGGTTCGGGTTCACACATCCATTTGTGGCAATTTCTTAAGGAATTGCTATCACAACCTCAAATGTATGGCAGTTGTATCCGATGGATGGACAGACCTAAAGGTGTCTTTAAGATTGAAGACAGTGTTCGCGTCGCTAAGCTATGGGGAAAACGTAAGAACAGGCCGGCTATGAATTATGACAAACTGAGTCGTTCTATACGTCAATACTATAAGAAAGGAATTATGAAAAAGACAGAAAGGTCTCAGCGTCTGGTCTATCAGTTTTGTCATCCATATTGTCTATAATTTATATGACATACATATATATATATATATATACGACACACCCCTCAGACATTAGACCCGAATTTGATGCCAACAATAGTTAGTGACTCTTAGTTAGTGTCGAATTCGAAGGCATTCTTCGTGAGTTATAATAAACATGTGTTTATGTAATCGCATTCACGAGGAATGGCCTATTATGACGGAGAAGGTATTATTCCCGTCCTCATTGTCTCTCATATCACTCATTATCTTCACATTAATAGACGCATAAACCTCTCGTCTTTGCGCACATTCCTCACGATTGTTGACAACTAACTCGATATATATGTTATATATTTATAGTTTGATTGTCATTTAAATTTATCAATTGATCGGTAGTTGTGTTGAGGATAACTATCCTCCATATAGCGGTTATTTTGATGAAGTTGATCCCATATATCTATGATATATCCAATTGTATGTTCTGTGAACATCATTTCATAACTTATATATTGTTTTTTGAATGTATTTCATAAAAACCTTTTCAGTTGTACTCATGTGAGGCACTGGAAATCGATTACATTGTATAACAGTATATTATTTTTAATATATATTTATATTATTATTAAGTGTTTTTAATAATAATAATTGTTTAGTATTTACCGTAATGTTATATTTAATATCTATTTTGTAATAATGCTATTAAAAATATTTGCTCCATTTAATGCTTGACTTATGATCTAAAAAATGTATTGTTTAACGTTTTCATAACTTTTGATTATTTTTATTTCTATAATATTGTTATTCACTAACTTATTCATCATTTCTTCTCCAATAATCACATTCTTATCACTAAAATATTGAATTTCTTTGGGATTATATCATTCACTTAAAGTATATTTAATTAATGATAATTTTGTTAATGGTTTAAATTATGTTACTATAGAAATGTTTTATTATAATATTCAATATAATATATGTTAAAAAGTCTGTATTAATATTAACAATAATTTATTTATATCTAATTATTATAAAATGAATAAATCTATTATTATTATTATTATTGAATGTAAATTTTTTATTATGAAATCTGTATTTTCCAAAAAATGGTTTTTTAGTACTTTAAGTATTTATATGCTTATTATTGTACTTTATTTGATTTCAATATTTATAAATAAAAAATAAGTAAAACATTAAAAATATTGTTACATTTATTATTAAATTTTAAGCAATTTGTCATTTTGTTTATACGTTTGAACCGATTGCATGTTTTGGTCTAATTATGTAAAGTAATGAAACAAAGCAGAGGTAGTTGTGGTCAAATACATACAAAATTGTGATACAATCAGAGTATATGTGTGTATTAGTGTGTACTGTATGTGCAGCTGCCTGTGCTCTGTGCTGTCACTTCCATAGCCATTGCCTGCCATTGACAATAAACTTCCCCTCAATTTTATAGTTTATTACAAGATATTAAATGCCATTATTATATTTATAGAGAAATATTGTCACAAAAATACAATTATTGTAGCGATTAATGCATTAAGTATTATAATATACAAAACATATAGGAAACAGACGCCCGGTTTAGGGACGGCTTTAATAATTAGTGATACACTTGTGTTAGCATTCATTCAAATGATTCCCTATTTTTACACAGAAATTGTTTTTTACTTTCAAATTGTAAAATAATTTGTTTTCGTTTTAGTTTTTCTCCTCTTTTGTATTGAAAATATGAAAAAAAGAAATTATTGTATTTGAAAAGGAATTTAATATTTTTAGTTTATTTTATGACAATATATTTTCATGTGTTATGTGAAACTAGTTTTTCATTTGAAAGCATTTATTAAATTACTGTATATACAAAATTTATAATAGTTATACTCATAATATAGAGTCTATATAATCATAAAATAGTGCATCAAATACAACAAAGATTTTTTTGTTAGAATTGTATCTCAACGACAAATTATATAATTGTTTGTTTAAATGACAAATACAAACAAACATATTTTCAATGAATTACAATAAATTTAAAAACTGTTATATTTAGCTCTAAACTAGACTAACCAAAGGTTTAGCAATTTTTTGTTTATATAGGAATTTGATTAGTGTTTGGCACATATGATTTGAGTTACATTACTAATGTATATATTAGTAATATATTTATTTCATAAAATTGAAAGTTAAAATATTTAATTATATTTTATGAATATATTTTAACATAAAACTAGATTTATAAAAAAAATATATTTAATACTAATAATAATTACATTTGTGAATAAATACAGAAAATGATTATGTTTTTGGAAAGCATAGCTTAAATACAGGAATTTTATTTAAAAAACTCGATCACTCTATTCTATTCTACTCTAAACATAAACTGTATTGCAATGCAAAGTATAAATGATTTTCACTCTATATATTATATCTTAAAAATCAAATAAAGTTTTTATGTGATTAAGAGAAAAATATAATTTTGTCAATTAAGACGATTTTTATGATGTTATAACGTTTTGGTTGCCATAAATTATGATTGAGTTTTATAGTAGAAAAAGATATAATATTTTATGTAAAAAAAGATAAAGAAAGGAAAATAAAATAACAAATTAAAAGAATAACTAAATTATAGTTTTTATAATTATATTTTAAAGAGAAAACAAGTTTTGAAGCAATCGTTTGTTCATTTGATACGAGTGACCATCAAATCAAATATTTTTCTTCACTCTAGAAATTCCCGACAAAAATCTATTCTTAAATAATGATTACATAATAGACTTAATAACACATTCGGTAACAAAAAAGAAATATGTCTTATATTATATATAAATTGCTTTCAAATATACATTTAGTGAGTGAGTGAATGAATGAATGAGTGAGTGTGTGAGTGAGTGAGTGAGTGAGTGAGTGAGTGAGTGAGTGAGTGAGTGAGTGAGTGTGTGTGTGTGTGTGTGTGTGTGTGTGTGTGTGTGTGTGTGTGTGTGTGTGTGAGTGAGTGAGTGAGTGTATGTGTGAGTGAGTGTGTGTGAGAGTGAGTGAGTGAGAGTGAGAAAACTTCTATAGAATAGTCAAGTTATGACAATTTGTGACTTATATTATTATATAATGTTTTATTAAACATAATTTAGTGTAAAGTATATCTTTTAAAAATATATAACTTATATATAACTTATCAAATAATAAAAAATAATATATAATTTAATGTCAGTGTTTGAAATACAAAAAACTATTATTATATTATAAGTTATTACTGAATAAAGTTATGTGAAGAGAAATTCAACAAATAATCAATTTTGAAATATTAATGATTTATCAATAATTCTATTTAATAATAGTTTTACTGTTATTTTGAAGGCTATATGTTATTTGAAATGCTTATATGATTATATGTAGTGATGTACTAATTGAATTGACCGGAAATTGCGTGAAATTGTCGCAATTGCAAAAATCGCAATTGTAACATAGAACAATTTATATAATTTTTTTTAAATTAACAAAATTTAAATGGTAAAGCAATATGAATAAAAACATAAATTAATTATATATAAATTTTAATTATTTTATCATAAAATGTTGCCATCTAAAAACCATGTAAAAATAATAATAAATTAGTAAATTATCTTAATCTACAGTAAATCAAATTTTTAACGTTGTCAAAGTTAATTTTTATACATTCCCTCATGCGCGCAATTTCCCGCAATTGCGGGAATCGAAAATTGAATTGCGAAAAATTACCAACACTAATTATATGAAATCAAAGACAATATGTTTGTTGTCACAAATAATATTAATGAGAAAATCATACATTATTTTTATTATTATTATATAATTTATTATACGACACATAATGTAATATTTTTTCTTTGATTTCATATAAAAATTGAAATCAATGTCAGATAAATATAAATTTACAAAAACAGTAGAATACGGTAAAATTGTTGAATTTTTTTTAATTAATTTCTTTTAATAACAATTAATATATATATATACAGATCTGTTGTCATATATATATTGGTTTTCATTATAATATATAGAAGTCCTAAAATGATTGTAAGATTAAAAAACACAATTATTACATAATTATATCTAATTAAACGCATTTGATATATAAATTTATATTTTACATTAATTCAATAAATAACCCTTAAATATATTTATATATTATTAGGTTTTACTATTAATAAAATATCTGTATTTATCAGAATTTTATTTGCCTGATTAGTTGAAATAAGTTTTATCAAAATATAATACTTAATATTGATATATATATATGATTTATATTTGAGTACAAATAAAAAATTTGCAATTAATTATGTTTGAATTTTTTAATATAAAAAATAATTTGAATATTTTATATATTATTATTATATTATACTATAGTAAGTATAGAGTGTGTAATCATAATTATAAAAATTTCTGTTTAAATGATTTCTTTTAGTTTGTTACAAATTTTTAAAAAATATATATAACTTCTATTTGGATATCATATGATATACTACTATATATATATAATTACTAATTATCTTATTTTCTCATTTTATTTATGTTTTGCTCTGTTTAGTATTCATTACTAATATTCATAATAAATAATAGAAATTTTTATAAATAAAATACATTTAATCTTTTATTTTATATATTCATAGAAATTCAGATTTAGACATATTGTATGTTAAATATATATATTATTTCATAAAATAAATATATTGTATTAATGTAATAAAATAAAGGATTCAACAACAAATGTTTTTATTTTATAACAATACCTATATTTGAATTATTGTTTAAATAATAGAAATGTTTAATAAATAAAAATAATAAAATAATATATGATGTTTACAGTATTTTATTAAAAGATCCTAGATACAAAATTATTTTATAAAAATTTTAATTAGTTATTATTAATAAAATTTAATATTAATTTTAGAAATTTTACGACATGTATAATTTAGAAATTTTTACAATTTTATTTTTTTTCAAATATAGATTAATGACTTTTAAATGTTAATTTAAAATGAATATAAAACATTGTTTGAATTTATTTTTAGTATTTTAATTATTATATTATAAATATATTATTTTTGAACCTTTATCACTAAAAACATGTTTAATATAATCATTAAATATGAAAGTATTTTATGATATAATGTAATTGCAGTACATTTACTGTTTAGTTGATTAGATTAAATAATAACTATTTTATATATAAAATACAATAACATTTCAATTCTCAGAATTGAATGATAATTATTACAAAATATTATGTTATCTTTCAATTATTTATCTGTAATGTTATGTTCACTAATAAATATAGATATTTTTCAAAATGTTTTTCAAAATAGACAAATTAATAAATATTATTTTATAATATATTCATAATAATCTTCAGATTATCGCATTTTCAAAACAAATTAAACATAAAATCTAATACAAAGTCAAACATTTTTTATTGAGAGTCGGTTTGCTTGATATTAGTAATACATTACTATTTGGGTTCAGTTGACTACAGAAACTCAATATTGTTTTGTATGATAATATGTGGTTTCATTTGAACAGAGAACAGGTGGGTATGAGAGCTGGTTTATGATATGCCTGTCCAATACAAACACACCTTTTCATGTATTTTATAAATATATTGTAAATATAGACACTTTGATTAATTACATAAATGAACTTTGATTTTTAATTTCTTAACAAATAACTTGTCCACTCATTTAGCAATCAATTGATTTTCAATTAGTTAACTAATAATTAATGCATAAAATCAATCTAAATCTTTGAATTAAAAATAAAAATTAATATAAAAAAGACGTGCATTTTAAAAATTAATTAATGTTAATGAATATAAAATTTTTAATACAAACTACTATTAAATCAATAAATAAATTATCAGTAATACAAAAAATAAGATTATTTAGACACCATTTGATGTTACTTTATTGATCTTATTTTTACAAATTCAAACAATTATTATAATTGGATTAATTTTATATTAATTATGAGATTAATTAAACGACAATTTTATTAATATATAGTATTTGTCTAAACTTTAAGCCTTATACTGATTTAAAAGTTTTTTTTAACATTTGTAACCCATTTGATGAAAAGCATTAGATATTGGAAATAATTTGTTAATTTAGAAAAAGTTAATTAAAACAAATAAATTAAATAAGTGTTGAATTGATAAACATTTGTATTTATAATTTTAATACTGAATATTAATTTATTAATTATCTATCAATAGATAAATTAAAATAAATATTGAATTAATTTTAGGTGACAACCATTTTATACAATATTTGGTAAATTGAAACTTGAATTCATTGAATGGATCGTTGGATCGGAAGAGTGGCTTTAGTTACCGGGTCTTCAGTGGGTATCGGAAAGGCTATCAGTAAAGCTCTGGTTGAATGTGGTCTTAAAGTTGTCGGTTGTGCCCGAAATATAGATCAGGTCTCAGAAATTATTACTTATTTTTAATTTGTAAACAAACAGTATTTTAAGTTAATTTATAAAATAAATATTTATTATTTTAAAATAACTAATAAAATATCAATTTTAATAATTGTCTTAAAAGCTGAAACAATTAGAATCAGATTTGAATGCAAATAAAACTAAAGGAAGTTTTAAAGCAATTAAATGTGATTTAAGACAGGAATCAGAAATTAAGTCAATGTTTGATGAAATCAGATCAACATTTGGCAGAATTGACATTTGCATCAACAACGCCGGTATTGACACTTGAATGACATTTATTTGAATATCACTAATAATTTATCGATACTATTGGGTCAGGTCTTGCAAAGGACGCGCCAATTATTGATGGAAATACAGAATTTTGGAGAGAAATGTTGGACGTGAATGTGACCGCACTGTCCATCTGCACCCGAGAAGCCATTAGTCTTATGCGTGATAACGACATAAACGATGGTCACATAATCCATTTAAGCAGTCTTTCTGGTCACCGATTGGTACCATCTTCTGCGACTCACTTTTATGGCGCCACTAAGTATGCCGTCAGAGCATTGGCTGAAGGACTGCGACAAGAACTCAGAGCAATCAAGAGTGGCATAAGAGTGACTCTTATCAGTCCAGGTGTGGTTGAGACTGAGTTTTCTGTAAGACTTCAAAATATTAAAGAGAAGAACATTGATCCATACGCTAACAATCCACACGTCAAGGCTGAAGACATCTCACAAATTGTAGTGAATGTCTTACAAATGCCGCCACACGTCGAGATCAATGATGTGCTAATTCGTCCAACTTTTCAATTACTATAAGTTAATTAATTAACAAATTATTATATATTAATTCAATTATTTTAATGCTATTAAAAATGTAGCAATAAATTTGTTATAATAAATCTCAAAATAATTTGACATTAAATCATGTTTTATAAAAACAATAATCGTTTCGAAATATCTTAAAATATTGCAAAAATAGAGTAACAAAAATATTTCGATAATAATAATACTAAATATAGAAATAGTCATAATTTAAAAATAATTTCATTTAAATCTTTTTTTCTTTTCTAACAAATATCTTTTTCTCTCTTCCTCTTCTTTGCGTTCTTCCTCCAAGTCTTCTATAAGTCCGAGTCGAGCACTTCTGGCGTCTTCTTTCATACACTGAACAAAACTGGACTCTTGAATGTCGTCGTCGTCGTCAACAATATTACGGTATTTGCGTTTGTCGTAACCAAAAATCTCTCGAATATGACTTGAATAGTCATTTTCTTCAGCTTCTTGTGGTCCATCGTCTATGAAGTCGTCCATATCATCGTCCTCTTCTTCTTCATCATATTCATCATCCATATATTCTCCCGGATCTTCATACATTCCTCTACGATATGTGCTACCAATTGGAGGCAATTTAGCCACTGGTCTGCGCGGTGGCGGTGGTGGCGGTGATGGCGGTGATGGAGGTCTGGCTCTTTCATTATAGGCTTTATAATTATTATTATTATTAATTGGCTTTTGTTGAACCCTTTGATTTGCCGCATATTTTTCTCTGTAATCATTGTCCCTTTGAGTTAATCTATTATTCATTTTATTAATTATCGCCGATTTATTAGAAGCAGATCCAGAACTTTGCCGTGAATTTTGTCGATTGAGTGGTATATTTCTACTTTGCTTTTCATTTGTGAATCTATCACCAGATCTTTGGTTAACATTAATGGATTTATTATTATTATTATTAATCACAGATTTATCACTTCTTTGAGGAGTTTGACACATCTTTCTATCGGTTCCTGACTTTATTTTGTCACTATTATTATAATAATTATTATTAACTTTATTATTAACATTACTTAACTTATTATTATTATTAATATTATTATATCTATTATTAAGGCTATTATTATTATTATTATTATTATTATTACTTTTTCCATTTCCAATCAATTTTCCATTATTTTTATTATTATTTAAATTTGATTCATAATTGTTAGCCATTTTAGTATAACTATAATTCTTTGTGTTGTCTTTCGGTTTATTAATGGATTTGTGTTTTCTTGTGGTCTCCGGATCAGGCAATCGGGCCAAACCTTTATTAGCTCTCTGTTTATAATACATTTCCTCTTTAAGTCTTTCTTTTTCCTTTTGAGTCATTGGTCTCATTTGTTTTTTCTCTTCAACCACAGTCTTAAAGTCCTCTTGAAGCGATGTCTTCTCTGTTTTGGCCTTTTTTGTGGCCAAACTCATAAGCTGTTCGTAATTCATCAATGGTTTGGCAGTGAAACTCTTGACCCCATTTTTATTAGTATCACTTCTGACTTTCTCATCATTTTTGCTTTTAGTACTCATTTGTGACATTTTGTTCATATTATTTAAATTATTATTATTATTATTATTGTTATAATGACTAATCCTGGTTTGGTTGAGATTTTTCTTCTGATTGAAGACAACTTTGTCTTCGGTATCATTCATACGTTTTCTATTATGAATCACGTCTTGAGAGCCTTTTTGTCTAAGTTTTTCTTCAACTCTTCTCTGTTCTTCAATCTGTGCGTCTGTTAATACAATCCTCGAAAAATCATTGTCTTTAGTCCTGGTCTTCATCATCATTGCCTTCTTCACTGACTTTGAATTTTGTGCCCTCAAAGACATCAGTTTTTCTTTTTCTCTTCGCTTTTCTCGAAGTTTCTCCATTTCTTCTCTCTCTTTGCGTGCTTTGAATGCTTCGATAGCCTTTATGTTAGGTCCGGACGACTGGCCACCCGAAGCCCTCTTTCTGACCAAAAACTCGTTGTCCGAGTCTTTCATCTCCTGTTTCTTATCGGCCAAAGAAAGCAATGATCTGTAATCCATTGATGGGTTCTTTAGTGGCAATAAATACAGATAATAACTGTATGACTATAGGTATATATGATATGATATAATCCAATGTTTGGTGTAAAACAAATCCAACGAAGAATTGGTGTTTTCGTCTTTCAGTTAACTCTGACTTAAAGTAATCTCAATTTTATCACCAAATGTTGAACTCAATTACAATCTTAAGATAATTTAAGACAATTAGTGTCAATAATTTGATGACACAATTTTGAATGCAAATTGTGATGAAAAATTAAATACAAATTTGTAAACAAAATAGGATTAAAACAAAAATCTAAAGAAGTGGAAGAAGTGGTCAATTGTTTGAATAAATGTTTCCAACAATTGGTGTCACATATGATGACCACAATTGAGTACAAATCATATGTTGTTTACAAACACTTAACCAATAATCACATCATTTCTATCAATGCATACATTTTGAGCGCTATTTTTGATTTCATTTGCTTTTGACTGTAATAATCGCTAACTTTTATTAATAATGTAATCAAATATTTTTTTAATTAATTATTTTATAGATTATGCAATAAATTGATTTTCTAAATAAATTGATTAATTAATAATGGGTAGAATATTATAAAAATAACATTATATAAAATAATAATATATGTAAATAAATAGTATTAAAAATTATTTATTAGTTAATCCAAATAAATAAATTAATTTTAAAAAATAAATTCTTAATAAAAACAAGTTAATAATAATAATATTAAAGTAGATAATATAAAAATTTGCTTATAATAATAAATTATTTATCAAAACTTTTAAATATTTCCTTGTTTTTATYTAGCTTATTTTTAAAATCCTAATTTAAATCTCATTAAATTAATAAATTAAACAAATATAGTTAATTTTCTAATATTAAATATTTAACTAACAGTATATTTGAAAAAACTTATCAAAAATTAACAGAAAGTACGGAAATAAGTTTTTCAAATAACTCTATAATTATTAACTCTTAAATTCTCGTTAATCTCTAAATCATATATATTTCAAATATTTGCGACAATTTTCTGATTAAAAGTTCACTAAACTCTAACATATATTCATTCATTTATGACATAGTAATCCGTTTGTCATCTAAACCTCGATTTCAATAATCGTCTAAAGATTAAAAAATAATAATAAAATCAGTAATGTTTAGTAATAATAAATTAGAAACTTATAAAAGATTATTGAAGTCAATGAGCAACTATGCAAATATCTAAAATGCAAATAATTTTTTTAATATCAAATAATTGAGCTAAATATTAGTTTAATATTAGTTTATTAGCACAATATTATAAATTAATCAGTCTTTTATCGATTATCTTTTACTTAATAAAGTTTCCTAAGTCTAAAATAACTAATTATAGCACAAAAAATATTAACATTGTATTTATTATTTGTATTTATTATAGCCTAAAGCAATTTTAATGTAAACCTATTTATAGTAAATTATAGAATCGGATTAATAAAATTGAAATAAAATAATTATTTAGTGATAAAAAACTATATAATTTTTTATCATATATTTTAAGGACAGATTTTTATGCTTATTATTATTTTGCGTAATTTAAATAAGATAATAATATTTACTGGTATTAAAAATTTTAAAATTAATTATGACTAAAAAAAAGAAAGATTCATTATATGCATTAAAATAGATATACTGTACTATAATTATAAATATAATTTTTCTGTTTATAACAAATGCTTAAAAACATTGCTAAAAACAGTATTATTTTTATTATACACATTAAGTGTGGTTTAAATTAAATTTGACTATTTTTGTAGTTAAAAATTATGAAACATCACAAATTATATCATATTTTATTTGATAAAAAAATAATATTATAAAACTAACAAATATAAGAAATTACAATTTATATATTAATATATACTGTAATAATAATATATAAGTTATAAGTTATAATGGTACATTTTAAACTAAGTTATTACCTTTTATTAACAGTTTTTTCAAAATAAAATCACTTTTAAAAATATAAACTAATCTATTATTAGTATATAATTATCAATTTGTTAGAAATACAATATTTAATTATAAACAAATCTTATTAAATTAAAAAATAAATATATATTTATAAATTAATTGCGTAATACTAATAATTATAAACTTTTGTTAATTAACTATTTATGATTTAATTTGTTGTTTTTTATTAACTATGATTTTGACTATCAAAGCATTTTATATCATTACGTTTGCAATACTTACTGATTACAAACTATCATAAAACCTAAATATAAAAAATAAAACAATTAGACAAACATAAAAATTTAACATATTTTTAACAAAATTGAAATTAATATTTATTTATTTTAATTAAGAATCACACTTTAAGTTTTACAAATTGAATAATTTCCACAAATTATTACATTTCAACAAAAATTAATTAATTACAGTAATATGAAATTGTATTAATTTAAAAAAATTAAGATTTAAAGCAATATTTTGTTAAAAAACAAATTATAAGTTTAAAAGAAAAGTAAATGAAAATTATTTCATAAAATAAATCAATTAATTCAATGTTTATGAAGAGGGAAATGAAGTGATAGAGCTTTCAGTGTCTTTAGAGCGATGCCATCCGATTGACAACTGATAACTGTTTGTGTTTGAAGACATCGATGGACTCGAAGACTTAGGTTTCGAGAGCGCCGCTGAGTCACCGCAAGAATCAGATGGAAAAGTCAAGTGATCGCTGCACAGACACAACGCCGGATCACTAGATGTGGTATCCCTTTGACTGTCACCACAAATGTTGTCCGAGGCGTTTGATCTTTGGCTTTCAGTTTTGCTTAAAAAACTCGAAACAGTAGTAGTTTGCGATGATTTTGGTTTATCCTTAAATGCTTTCATCTCTAGATGTGATGGCAGAGCATCACTGAAGAAACTATTGGTACTCTCAAAAGGGTCTTCAGTCAATGGGTCACTCAATGTACTCAAAGATGATAAACTGCTGATTGAATCGCTTGTCAACCCTTTGTTTGATTGCGACCTATCTTTTGCTGATGTAATTGTCTGAATTGAAGTCAACTCTTCATCAATCAAATTTGGTTCAACCATTTCTTGTGATCCACTAATTGTAAAATCGCTTATTGTCTCATCACTGGCTTTAGAAGTAACCAACTCTTCACCATTTTCTTCATTAGTCAGATCTAATACTACATCAGAAGGATTGATCAGTTTGTTAGTTGACTCCAAATTAGTGGCCATTTCTGTCATCTCTTGTTTATTATCATTGGATTCATTCTTATAATTATCAAATGACGACAATTGCTGTGTTTGTTGTTCATCGAGAGCGACAACCGGTGATGACAATGGACTTAATGCCAACTTTTTGTCTTTACTTAGACAACAACCCATAACTTGATGTTATTATAAACCAAATAACATTCAAAAACAACAGATTTATGAGTAATTAATAGACAATTAATGGATTAATTAGCAAACAATCAATGGATTCAACGGTTTTGAATGCAATTCACTAGAAATGCAATGAAAGTGACGAAACATTTTGAAAGCAAATTGTTTTACAGTTTTTCAGTCATTCATTGATTACACGAATATTCTGTTATTCGTAACAAAAATGTTTCGCGACTTACAGTATATCTCGCGAATCGTTTCTTCAAATAATTGTTTCATTGATTGAAATTTGTTTTCTATCGATAACTTCAATTAAAATATGATTTTATTTATCAGTTTTATTAACTGAAAAATTATTTTTATTGAATTTTATGTGTGTTTTAAGTAAATTGTGGTCAACACTGATCTCTCTCACAGTTTCTTAATTACTTTATTTTTTGTTTAATTGTTTCAAAATGATGAATGAGTTGATAGACGAGCCGACATTAAATTCAGTGGTCGCAGAAAATACCGAAGAACTGAGACCCGAAGTTCCGGAAGTAATAGATAATCGGTATGAGCTATGGAACAACCATTTGTGGTGGTGTCCATACTTTCAACATCATTATAATTGTTCGTATCTTAATATGCCAAACATGTCGTACAACTATTGGTCTCAACCGATGATAACCGCCACTCATGCAAATCAATCAGTTGTAACACATAATGGACAGTCAGTATGGACTCAACATTTAGCTGCAGATAATATCAATGTTAGTCACTTCACGACATCAAACAATGGCGACAATAATAGAAAAGAGTTTCAGATCGAGAAACTCTATTCTTGTCGATTGTGTGATGACATGAAACTAGTCCGACAAGACCTGGAGTTCCGCAAACACGTTGAAAGCCATTTGGGAACCACTCGGCCCTTCAGATGTGACATTTGCACCAAACTATTCAACTATCGGTCCAATTGTCGCAATCATGTGATGGCTCACTGTGTAGTTCGCAAACACTTTGTCCGCAACAACTCATCTCAAGAGTAGATCAAGTGTTTTGTTTTGTTTTCATTTTTGTTTTTAATTTTTATATTTATTTAAATTCTCAATTTATTTTTTATCGGAATTTTTTTTCATTTAATTTAATTTACTAAAATTTATCCATTTTATATGCAAAAATAATTGATTAAATTATTGTAAATGTAATTTTAATAAATAAATTTTGTTATATATTTTATGTCGAATATAAATATTATTTATTTCTAAAAATTAGTTTTTATTAATTAACTTATTCTAATCACATCCATGTCCTCAAAGATATACTAAAACAACGTTATACACGTTAATCATAAATTATAACAATTAATTATAGTAATAATATTGTTAATTACGCTAAATACATATTTTTGAATTGATAATTATTGGTTAATGATATTCAAAAAAAATAAATAAAAAACTTATTAAATAATGACTGTTAAGGATAAAACTCAAGAGTGCAGACATGTCTCGCAAAAGAATTGGCAAATAATTTCGACGGCAGTAAGTAATGGGTCTGACATTGAATCCGTGCTATTAATCGATGGCTTTAATACTAAGCCTCTGTACATTCCGTCTCATAATTTCCGATTGGATTATCCTTATAATGAGATCAATCTGTTGCCTCCATTCTTCTACGACGAGAAAGAATTTCTTCAATGGTTTGTCAAACAGATCCAACCGAAAACATTTTATCTACGAATCCATGTCTGCAATGCCGTCGAACTGCTCACTAAAGTAGTGTTAAAATTCAGAAGTCTTAGTCAAATCAGTTGTCATTGGTTTATATTAACCAAAGAGTTCATCGAAATATTGGTTAAGAACTGTCGAAATATAGAAGTCGTAAACTTTGAGAATTCAATTGGTATTAACTATAGTTCTTGTCTTTTATTGAGTCAAATGACAAAACTAAAGCATTTGAATCTTTCCGGATGTGATATCTATGAAAACAGTATCGAAATGATACTTAAAAATTGCAAACAATTAATATCATTGAATATTAGCAACAATTGTGAGTTAACCGGTAGATGTCTTGTTTGGATTAACAGATCCATTGAAAGACTTGATCTTAGAGATTGTTGGAGATTAGATCCGCACGAATTGATTGCAATGTCTCGCATGAGATTAGACTCTTTGGTTGAATTACTGGCCAATAGTGGTATAAATGACGAGTCGATGACTGAAATATGTGTCAACTGTCCTAATATAAGACATTTAAATATAAGTTTTGATTACATTGAATATGACGACGACTGCGGTCGTAGAGTATTATCTGACTTTGGATTCAAAGAAATTGCAAAACTAAAAGATCTACAAATCCTTATCTTAAGACACGTCGGAAAGTTGACTGACATATCATTGCATAATATTCTTATGGGTTGTAATAATCTGACAAATTTGATACTCAATCTCAGACACAGACATCGACTTACAGATAATGCTGTCACAGATATAGCAGAGTTGTGTCCAAATCTAATATACTTTGAGTCCGTTCACAACCACTTCATTAAAGAGAAATCATTACTTAGTTTATCACAAATGAAAAACTTAGCGAAACTTGTTTTACGCGGCAATGAATTAGTTGACAATCAGGTGACAAATGTGATCAATGATTGTAATAATTTGGTTGATATTAATCTCGATGGTTGTAATGTCACTCAATTGGTTCTCATGGCTTGTATTAACAGATCAAAACAATTGCAGACAAGTGACCAAACATTGAATATATCACTGATTCGGACCAAAATTGATAGGAAAGTCCTCAATGAATGCCAATTACCACACAATCTAAGAGTTAGAGTCAGCGGACCAAACAATTTGGAGCATTACTCACAATTTGATGGCAAATCTGTGACAACTCAAAGACTCAAACTAATTGTTCCCTACTTTTGGTTAGACTATACATAAATGCTTACAATTAAGTTACAAACTATCAGTTATTTCATTTATTTTTAGTTATTTTATTTTAGTTATTAAATTATTAATTATTATATTATTAAATTAAATTAATTATATAATAAAACAACTTATTTATTGATTTTTGATTTATTTGTGTCAATAATTTAATGACAACTTTGTTATTATAATTCAATTATTTTTATTATTTTTTTATAACAAAAATTTGACAAACAATAAGATCTTCTGAAGACTTATTTGACAAATCATCGATATATATATATTTGACAAACAATTTGTGACAAAATTCAAGTTTTCTCAGACATTGTCTGCGGTTTAAGACATTCAATGAACAGATCATTACTTGTGTGGTTCGGGTGTCGGACACACTGTTTGGACAATAGTTAAGTCATTGATGTCATTGATGTCATTGATGTCATTGAAACAACATTTTTCATTATTTCTTATATTTTATATAATTATTATATATTTTAATTAATTGATTAATTGTTTGATTAAAATTAATTTAATGTGAAAACCAATTATTATTACCTATTATTAGATAATCTTTTATAATAAGTGTTATTAAAGTCTCAAACTATTTGTACAATTAATTTATAGAAAATATAATAACGTTATTCATGAATGAGTGTAACAGACTTTGTGAATAAATTAGAAATATTAGACAAATTGAATGAATTGTATTAATAGTATAAATGTTGACATCTATTGAGTGAATCATTGATTGAGTCATCAATTAATACAATGATTGCATAAGTTTTTAAAAGTTTCAACTCTTGAGTCATCTATAAATAGATAGCTTTAAAGCGCTTATAAAACGTTCGAACATTTGATGCAAACATTGAATCAGTGTTTGTATTGTTCGACAAAAACATTGATTTTAAGTGATTGTTGTGTTTTGTGTCGTCAAAGAAGATAACTATCACTCAATTGATCCTAAAGTCACCACAACTGACACAAAATGGTTCGACAAAAACAAGCGGAACCCGAGTTTCGAATTAAGCCGAGATCACAAATGGCCAAAAAGAGTACGTCGGGAGTGCCGCGCGACCAACTGTATTGGCAATCAACTAGTGGTCAACACGTGTCCACTCACACACCGAATCAAGAAGTGGACAATGAGTCGACAGATTCATCGGCCACTCGAAGGTCATCACAGTTTGCAATCGAGGCGTCCGATCGATTGAATCGCATTTTACAAACAAAGACTGGAAAGACAGGAAAAGGACACAAAAGTACTGGCGGTGGACAACAAGTCAAGAGACGGCCGTACAGACACAGACCCGGAACTATTGCTCTCAGAGAAATCAGAAGATACCAGAAGACATGCGAACTGCTAATCCCAAGACTTCCATTTCAACGATTGATCCGTGAGATCGCCGGCCAAATCCGCGACAATCTATTGTTTCAAACGGCGGCGCTTTCGGCACTTCAAGAGGCAGCCGAAGCATATCTGGTCGGACTGTTTGAAGACACAAATCTGTGCGCAATTCACGCCCGAAGAGTGACAATAATGCCCAGAGATATACAACTTTCGCGAAGAATTAGAGGAGAGAGAAGTTAAGACTGGATTTGATTGTCTCTTATTTAAGCATTTGTTTAACTTTCTTATAAAGTTATTATTATTATTATTATTATTACTATTATTATTATTATTATCGGTAACTCATTTAATGTCATTATATTTGCATTTATTTATAATTTTAATGATTTGTTTTTGTTTGATATATTTTTTTATTTCAATTACCGGTAATACCAAATTTTATACATAATTTTTTTCCTAATTTTTGTTGTAATTATTATTTGTTGTCAAAATTACTATTAAATTGAATAAAAATTGTTTGGATTTCATAAATTGTTTTTTATTTTTTGTTCTCTATTGAAATCACAGAAATAATCAATGAAATAGTTATAATAATTTGTATAATTAGCTAAAAATTTTCATAAATGTAATTAAGTTTGACATCAATTTGTAGACATAGTCTTAATATTAGGCAGTGATTCAATCAATTCATTCAACAATATCTCTATTTCTCACCAATTTTTTGGTTTTTTTTCTCAATACAAATAAGTTTTCATTTAAAACACAATTCAATAATATCACTGAAATTGTTTCCTATAAAAAATTTCTATTAATTATTAAATATTTTGCTTAATGAATAGCTCAATAAAAAAACATTTTCACAATCAATCACTGAAAAAATCAACAATTAGTTACAATTCAGTGATTTTGATTCATTTTGCAAACCATTTTCGTTGATATATTACTTTCAATTAATAAATATTTTATTATTTCATTAAAAATATTTTATTTGAAATTTTTATTTATTTATATATATATATATATATATTGTATATCAAATAAATCAAATAAAATTTAAATGCTAAAAATATTTATAATAAATATGAATAATGAGTTTTTAAAACAGTTAAAAATCGTTTTAATCAAAAAACATTTTTGTATATATTTTTGGAAAATATGCTAAAAGTATATATTTTTGAATAAATGTTTATCACATAAGCCATGAAATAATTTTGAATATTATTTTATAATAGGAAATCAATTGCAAAAAGTTAATTTAATGTTCACTTTTTTTTAAAATAACTATCAGTAAAAAGTTGTTACTAATTGCACCACTGATACACACTTTTTAGATATCAAAAAGCGGCCAATTTATGTGACTTTAAAACTAAGTAATTTAAAGTCACAATTTAGTTGTGAAGTGCAAAATGAATCAATCAGTGATATAATTATATTTAGTGCTATTAAATATATTATATATAATATATTAATATATTGTACGAAACTTGTAAAACTTACGAAACAATTTGTGATTTTTAGCTAATATTTTTTTTGGTTAAAATTTATAAAACCATTATAATTTTATGGCACTTATACTTTTAAATACATTAATTACAAATAAAACTTAATTATCAATAATCATATTAAATATCATGTCGTGAGACAATAGATGAAGTAATAAAAAAGTTGCTTTCATTTGGTATTGTGTTCTGGATTTCTATCAATGAATTCAATGACAACTAAAATGTGTAAATAATACATGAGTTGGTGTTTATCTAATGGAATCATCAATTAATTATCAATAATTATAAAAATTATAACAAATAATAATCTTTAAAATAGTAGTTTTAGACACATTTTGGTGTCGTTTCAATTGAATGGACAATAAAATAGTGAGAAAGGAATTGGAGAGACAAATGGCGACAAATGGTTTGAATGATTAGTTGACAAATGAGAAACTAATAGGCGATCGACGCTTCCTTATATTCGCTTCCTTCGAGTGTAAAGAAGTCTTCAAGTTTCCACTGAAGCGTTTCAAATGTTGGCCTTTTGAACGGATCCTTATGCCAACTCTCTAACATTATTTCGTATAACGCTTGAGGACAGCCTATATAATAATAATATCATAAACATAGTCAGTATCCATCAAATCATTAAATGGCAATTATGTCTTCAGAAAACTTTACTAATTTATCAATAGTTGCCTTCAATTCATTTTTAGAGCAAAAAGCTTTCATAACAATTATTAGTCATCAATAGTAATAATGTCTGTATTATTGGTTATATTTATAGTATTGAAAACAATATATTAAATGAATACATACCGGGAGGACATGGCATTCGGTAGCCGTGTTCCACCTGATGGAGTACTTCTGCATTTGTCATTCCGGGATATGGAATGCGGCCATAAGTTACCAGTTCTGTCAGTAATATACCGAAACTCCAAACATCAGATTTGATACTAAATTTACTATAATTTGCGGCCTCGGGAGCCGTCCATTTAATTGGAAATCGGGCGCCAACTCTGGCCTCATATTCATCTTCTTTGATAAGTCGAGCCAAACCAAAGTCTGCAATCTTCACGATATTGTTTTCACCGACTAATATATTACGTGCCGCGAGATCTCTGTGTATATAATTTTGTGACTCTAAGTACGCCATACCGGCTGCTATTTGTGCGGACATATCGATGAGTTGCGGTAACTTTAAAACTCTACCCTTTCCTTGTAAATACTCTAAAAGACTGCCGTATTTCATAAGTTCAGTGATGATATAAATGGGTTCTTCAAGTGTACAAACGGCATATAATTGGACCAATTTTGGATGTCTTAACTTTTTCATTATCTGAGCCTCAGCTAAGAAATCCTTGGGATCCATAGTTCCTGTAAATTATTGTTCATAAGTTTAGCTTAACATTTGTAATCTCATAGAAATAAGTCAACACATACCAGGTTTTAATGTCTTGATTGCAACGGGAGTGGTATTATTCCACATGCCTTCCCACACTTCACCGAACTGTCCCTGACCTAACTTGCGAACAAATTTCAATGAAGATCTATCTATTTCCCACTGATCTCTAGTATTATGTGAGAGACCACTAGTGGTAGGCTTTTCCACCTGAACACAGGCTTTACGTAAATTAACACAAAGTCCGTCGGCATCTTTGCTATAGTGGTCGACCAGTTCTTGTAGTGTACGGAATGGTGTGCGTCTGGCAATGAAAAAGCCCCCGTCATCTAACTGTCGGATCCGATAATGTTTAACAGTATCTCCGTCTCTGACAGACAATGAGTAGTCATTACGTCTGGACTCACTGTCCCTAATAAGAAAAGCACCATGCTCATTCTCTGATAATAACAATTTTTTCTCGGCCTCAACTCTCTTTATTTTACCGAAATACCACCTATTGATCAATCAATCAAACAAACAATATTTTATATAATAATATTCATTATTATTTTGATAATTTCGTTAAAAAATAATTATAATCATTATTCATGCAAAACATAGCACAAAATATTTTTAATATCAAACACAATAAAATACAATGTATTTTAATGTAGGTAATTGTGGATCATTTTAATCAACTTTAAAACCAATTTTTTTGCTTAAATATTTGCAATATTTTTACAAATAAATTCATTGGAAATACAGTTTTGCGGAAATATGTTAATAATCATATCATTGCATATAATCTACAAAACAAAAATTATTACTACATATAAACCTACCAAAAAAATGAATGACTAAAATAAATTAATATAATGAGCGCACAAAAAAAATAAATTTTAATTAATTTAAAACACAGGCAAAACATAAAACAATGGAAATAAAAATGCAAAAAATAGTCGATACTAGTAATTAAAATGAAAAATGCAATTCAATAAAGTGATTGAAATAATTGGTAGTAGTATTAGAAATAAATTACAGATAATTTTCTGGTCGTAATGATGAGGCACTTGAAGATAATGCTTGCGATGAGTTTCGCTTCAATATACAGTCTAGAGATCGGATCCAACTATTGTTTGAATTATTGTTAGTCGTATTAGTATTACACAAGTGATGCTGTGTTTTGTGATTATTATGATTGTGATGACAATGACTATTATTACTACAAATATCATGCATTTTGTCTCATAAACATAACACTATTATTAATAAAATAATATTTAATATACTCTATTAAATTACTATGAAACTAATTACAAAACAATTTGAAATCAAAATTAATAATAAATTTATTTACAATAATTACAATAAATTAATTAATTAAATCAATTAATTTGAGACATTTGAAACTCATACTTAAATAGGCACTAAAATATATAATAACATGTCTACTGAAGACTGTTAACTTAACTGTTAGATTGAAAACTATTGAATAACAGGTAATACCTATTTCGACAACTATTAGGAACGGTATATCTCAAGAGGACATCACAAGTGGGGTAGAACTAAGACAACACTAATTGTGTTCAGTCGACCGTAAGATTACTTGTTTTAAGCGAAAAATTACAAATAATACCAAACTTTGTCACTCTTGTTGTATATGTAATGTCAATATGATATGTTATGACATAATCTGTAACTATAACTTATATTCTATGTGTAAGCCAACAAAACATTGAATTTATTTAAATAATTTTTCTAATTCAATGAAAAACTAATTAAATGTATTTTTAAAACATTTATATATTTTATAAATTATTTCAAATGTAAAGTAAAAAAATATGAGATTATATTCAGTTAGACTTTTAATTGTAAACAATAGAATTAAACATTGACCTAATGTAATAATATTAACTAATTTTAGTTTAATTATTATTATTGCTATATTTTATTGAACTACGTTTTTCAGTTTAAATGTTTAGTAAAAATGCTAATTAATTTTAGATAACCTATAATAAAATGAATTAATGATTTCGAAAATAGATAATATATTTACTGAATTGTTAAAATGTGTTAAATAGCCTAAAAACTTGAAAATTGATGACAAATTACATTTAATATTTAACTTAATTATTCACAATATATTAACACCGATAATGTGATTAATGTCCAGTATATAACATTTAACTAAATACATAAGTCCTCATTCAGCCGTCTCTGACTGGTCTCAAGAGATGGAAATTCATAAATATTAAGCAATGTTTTAAATTTAAAAAAAGTAAATTAATGTTAAATTTTAAATATATTATTATAATAACTTATTATAAAAATTGATACATATCATTTGATATTTATATAATGTTTTAGTATTAAATTGATAATCAGTAAAAAACGTTTGTCTAGTCATAAAAAATATGAATCATAAGATATTGTAAATTATAAAATTAAATGTAATTTATATAATGGTTTAGTAAATGTTATTTGTTATTCAATGTGTGTACATCACAACAGACTAATATTATATTAACAATATTTATAAAAGTTAATTATATATCAAATATTTTAAAAATATTTTTTAGTTATTTTTATTTTGTCTTAAACAATGATGTAAATTCATTATTGAATCTAAACATAATATATTTTGTGGGAAAATCACTATTAATATAGTAAAAAATAAATTGTAATATCATGAATCAGATAGTATAATAATATGTTATTACGTTAATATTTATTTATCACTAAATATCAAATAATGTATACCATTATTTAATATCTACCATTTTATTTAAATATAATTCTAAACCAGTTTTAAAATCTAAAAATATTTAAAATCAATTAACTTTTGGTGAAAACTATGTTCAGTTAACAATTAACTTTTCAAACACACTCATTGCATATTTTAACATCTAATTTAACTCTTTAATTAATTGTTTTTAAGATAAAATAAATGCTTTATTATAAAAATAGTTTATTAATGTAATAAAATTCGTTATACATATAATTTTATCTGAAATAAATTATTATTAATAAACTGAATTATACTTTAACTCATTTAATTGTTCGCTAAATTAAAAATTGATAAAATTATATAATTTTTGTAAAGTAATATTAATTGACACAATTTATAAAATACCATAAAAACTGACGTCTTTTAAGTTTAATTTAATATAAAACATCAAACATTGTATAGAAATATATTTAATAATACTGTAATATATGCAACAATTTGTATAAAATAATTAAAATTGATATCAAATATTGAGATGACATTTATTAATTTGAATTTAAATAAACTAATTTCTATAGAGTAAGCAGTTATATGATATATGATAAGTTGAAATAAAAACATTTGCATTAATATATAACACGAATATATGGCATAATAATTGGTTTGACAGCCATATCTACCATAAAATATTACAAGTGTTACATCAATTTTACTCAATTTTCTTTTGTCATAAAACAGTATTTCCTTTAAAAATCAATCAAAAACTTTAATAAGAAAATTAATAATCTTTGAAATTATTATAAATTATATTTCATTGAAAATTACTTTTCAAAAGAACGTAAAAATTATTATTCATATAATAAATAATTGAAAAACAATTTCATGTTATAATAATTATAATAATAATTGCATTTATATAATTCTTTCATATTTGTTGCAGGCTATTTCAATTAACATTTTTCAAAAAATAGCTTATTATAAATAAAACTAAATATTTTTTTAACAAAAAATAAAATAAAAATAAACATAAAAGATAATTAATATATTTAAATTTTACGATAACTTAAATTACAATACTTTAGGTAAATAAAAGACTATAATATGCTGATAATTAGTTCATATTTACAAAACAATTTAATTGAATGCTATTTTGCGATTAATTAAAATATATAACTAATTATACCGATTCACAGGTAAATTATCTCATTATCATAAAACACAATAAATTTTAAACTAAGAAATCTATTGTGACATTAAAAATATTGACAATAAATCACTTAATAAAAGCATTAATATTACTTATCAAAAGTAATTTAGTAATTATACTATTTTCAAAAAATAAGAGTCTATTATGAGTTCAGTTATATAATTAGTAAAATAATAAATTGGTTTAAGAGGTCGGCGTCGTGACGATTGCCACTCATTTCGTGAATATATTATAACTATATTTAAAACTAAACAATAATATTATAAAGTCATATACAGTAAAAATACAGCATATGTTTATGAAAATAGTAACCAACAAACAAAAAACTAGTAAATAATAATTAAAATGAAATCATTGCAAACAACAAGTTTTTGCACTGATTCTTGGCGTCCGTTATATACATTAAATAATTATTATTTCCAATAAAATAATAATATGTACTAACAGGTAGTTTTATATATTTTTATATTTAAGATCATTTGACAATATAATTATATCGTAAATAAAAAAACATTAATTATAAATAAATCAACAGCAATGCAATTAAGATAAAACAATACATAATAAACTAAAAAGAGAAACCAGAAAAGTAATATATATATATATAATATGTAATTTTAATGACAATTGAAATGTTACTTTAAATATCTTGTAATCATAGGGATGACATTAACTATATTAGGACACTATTTATATAATTTTACATAATTATTAAGGTTATCTCTAACTTTAATAGTATAGCTTAAACTACTGAATAAATTTTAGTCATATTAAAAGGTGTGTTAAGGTGTAATAGAAATTTAAATTAAAAACCTATTTTTGGTGTATTCAACACAATAACAAAAATAACTGCAAGCAATGTAAAATAAATGCAAACTAAAATAATAAAAATTAATAAACAAAAAATATTTGATAAAGTATTCAAAATAAAAGTTTTCTATTTTTCTGCAAATTTCGTATTAAATTTGTTAATTAAAATATATAACAACTGATTAAATAATAGAAAATTGTTTTTTAATTTTACATAAATTAAATATTTAGTTTAAGTCAATCATGTATTAAATAATTTAAAAAATTGTTTTTTCGAAAATATTATTCAAAAGTATTCAAACTCCTGGAGGCTATGAAAGACATTGAAAGCAATAATATCAGCTAAATGTATAAAACATTATATTTCATTGGATAACAAATTAATTAATTATAAAAAATTGTAAAAATAATTAATTTACAAAAATTGTCAATAAAAAAACAACAATAAAAAACAAACGATAAATATTTGTAAAAATGCTAAACAAATACATTTGATATTTAAAAAAACAAAATGCTTTGTTGTATAGTATATAATAGTATAGATATGGTATACATACGGTTCGGCCTCAATGGACTTGAGTTTGGCCACATAGTTGGATGGTATATATCCCTCTAATTTGGTTTGTTTAGATCTGGCAAACCACCAGTCTCCCTGAGTATCATTGATAATCTCCAAGTGCTCGCCTTTCTTGAAGCTCAAGTCTTCATCAGTTCGGGCGTCGTAGTCATACAGTGCCACAAACACCTTAGCGTTAAGACAACTGCCCAGCGATTGTTGGCCACCGTTGACACCCATCTGGTCGCCTCCCATTGGGTCACCAGTGGTAAGACTGGCTGGTGGCGGATGACTGCCACCATTTAGTCCATTCATTGGTCCAAAATTGTTAGGTCTTTGATCAGACATTGGCACCGGAGGGGCGGTTATCACTTCCAGTGGATGAGGCATTACTGGTCCACTGGTCCGCAACACATCCGAAGCAGATGTGAGTCCATTGACATGTTGGCCACTGCCGGGCCTTTTAGGTGTGCTGTTTGTACAACAGTTACCCATTTTATGTCAACACAACTGTCCAACTATTGCATCGATTTTAAGCACACATAAGAATACAATCACTTGTTTGTCACTTAAGATGTCATAATCATCATTATATCGTTCAAAATAATTAAACAAATAAATCAATAATTCATTGGATCAGTTCATCACCTGATCATACACTTAGACAGCGATTGTGAGTCAACTCAAGTGACGGCCATTTGATATGACATACAGTGTTGTCATTGCATTCACTGCTCATTCACTACTCATTGACTGCACTTCACTATGTATTTCAATGCACTCACTCTCTCTCTCTTTCATACATAACATACTATAAGCCAATGTCTGATACATTAATACATTAAAAATATTATTAATTCAATAATACTGTAAAATACAGTACAAAAACACATTCAGTTATTACGTCAAACATTGCCATATATTGATTAACATTTTATTTTTAATTAATTATAATAATTAACTAATTAATTGAATTGAATTATATTAATATAGTTAGCAATTATTTGTTAATTTAGTTTATAATCAATTGTCAAAATAATTAAATAATATTTAAGTTTTAACATTAAAATCAATGAATGACTAAAAATAACGTTCACTTAAATTAATATCATATAAAATATTTGTTTCAATTGTTTAATGCATTCAATCATATCATTTGATTTGATCCATAGTATTGATAATTTGATAAACAATTGATATAATTATTTGGACAATAGATTTGATTAATTAATCAATTGATTAAGTGATTGTCATCAATAACAATGTCGAAGAATAGTGATCTCATCGATATCTGTAACAATATAGTGGTTTGTATTGAAACACGTGTTGTAAATATCGATAAATTTTATTATTTTTATAATTATATTACCGTTTATTCAGAAATGGATCAACAAATCAATTAAATCTAAAGACATTGCAAAGTTGGTTGATATATGCGATGTCAATAAATATGATAATAAATACACTATTGATGACATCAGACAAGTTGTGGACACGGCTTTCAAACAAAAGTCACAACAATTAGTTAATGTATTGATAACTTAATTGTAATTATTGGACATTATTTTATATATTTTATTGAACTGTTTAGGAAAATGATCTGTTATTTGAAAATATTGAGGACCTCTTAAATATGTCAATATTGGCGGCAAGACATGAGATATGTCCGGGAAATCTTCCGGTTATGCTTTTGTCTGATATATTTGATTGTCGGACATTAGATGAATGTCAACAGCTATTTGTTTTGATTGAAAACAAAGTCGACATTTGGAAGGAAGAAGTCTTCTTTAAAAATGTCAAAAACCAATTATTGCGATCTTGTAATGATCTGTTGAGACGACTTTCCCGCTCTCAGGACACAGTATTTTGCGGTCGAATTCTTGTATTTTTAGCACATTTTTTCCCATTTTTTGAACGTTCGGGTCTTAATCTCATATCAGAGTTTAATCACGAAAATGCCACTACTTTTGCTGTTGAAGACAATATACTAAGCGAATCAATTGCAAGTGTCTCGCATTCACAGGACGAACACGAAAGCAAAGAATCTGAGAAAATACTCGTGGATTACAATTTTTACCGAAAGTTTTGGCAATTGCAAGACTCGTTTAGAAATCCAAACAGTTGTTACAATCGGACGCAATGGAAACAATTACAGACATATACTAATGATATACTTCAAGCCTTCAGTAGCTTTAAATTGGATCCAAACTCTTGCGCCAATTTTCAGGGTTTGGGTGATAATAATAGCGATAATTTATATTTTGCCAAATATTTGACAAATCAACGGTTACTTGAATTACAATTAAGTGATTCCAATTTCAGACGATATATTTTAGTTCAGTTTCTTATTTTATTTCAATACTTGACATCAAATGTTCGCTTTAAACAAGAGGTACATTCGTTGACTGAAGATCAGTCAATTTGGGTCACAGAAACTACTAATAAAATTAATGAACTCATAGAAGAAACACCACCTCATGGTCCAGAAGTACGAAAAAGCATCGAAAAGATATTAAAACGCGAAGAGTTTTGGAATAATTGGAAGAATGATGGCTGTCCTGAACTGAAACCTATCACTGAAAATGAAAGCGAAATGAAGAAAACTGAAACCAGTATTAAACAGACGTATACTCGTAAACGTAAATTAGGTGATGAATTGAAAGAAGCCGAGAGTCAGAACCGAATACTTATTGGTAATCAAGAGTTAAATACTATTTGGAATCTTTGTGCTGACAATTGGGAATCCTGTCGGTCAAAGAAAAGACTATTTATTCCATCAGTTGAGAAGTTCTTTGAAAACGCTGTCAAAGCAACTCATAAACAACGACAAGAGATATGTTCAGACAGTGATTTCACGTGGAGAGCACTGCGTCTTCTCAGCCAAAAGAGTCATCACTTTTTCTCTCCAAGCAATCAAGTGGTCAAAACAGTAAACAGTCATTTGGAAACAGTTGTCGAAAAATTATCCAAAGAGTTTCCCACAACTATTCATAATAACAATAACGACTTTGACATCGATGACGCCGAAGATATTAGTGATGATGAACTGCTTAAGAATGTTGATCCAAATACCACTCCCAACACACCTAATGATTACTCTAATGAAGCCGATAATACAGAAATGGTTTGATACTGTATAACATTATAAATATTATTTTATAAACGACATATTCATCAATCATTAAAATCATTTTTATTTAATTTATAAATTGATAATAAAATTTATTTTAAACATTTATTTTATTGCAAATATGGAGTACAAAATTTTTATCGTTTTATTATTATCTGTTTAAAAATAGATAACGATTGACGTAATATATTAATTGTTAACAAATTTCAAATAATCCTTTCCCGACGGCAAGTCAACCACGCGTTGTCCTTCAATGTTAGCGCCGGGTTTGACAATGAGATCGCCGCCAACTTTCCAGTCAACCGGAGTCACGACATCCGTTCGTTTTGCAGTCAATTGCAGTGAATCGATGAGACGTAAGATTTCATTCATATTACGTCCCGTCGACGCCGGGTAACTGATTATGGCTTTGACTCTTTTGTCGGGACTAATGACAAACACTGCCCGCACTGTAATCATCTTATCGGAACCCTTTAGGTACAAGACATGCATTTAATGACAATTTATATCATTTATTTATATACTTAGATAGTAATAGCTATTTATATCATATAGAAATTAAAATCATATCATACCTTATCTAACATCCCAATCATGTTGGCTATTGTGCCGCTCTGGTCACCAATTATTGGATACGGCACTTGACATTGACAATAATGACTGACGTCTTGAGCCCATTTGTTGTGGTCGTCCACTGAATCACAACTGATTAGTAAAACTTTGACATTTCGTTTGTCAAACTCGTTGTTTAGTTGCGAAAGTCGACCAATTTCTGTGGTGCAGACGGGAGTAAAGTCCGACGGATGAGACAATAATAGCGCCCATTTGTCAGCCAAATAGTCGTACAAATTGATAGTACCGGCGGTCGATTGGGCAGTAAAGTTGGGAAACGTTTCGCCCAAATTCAACATTGTTTGGTCTCTTCAATCACTAATTACTTGATATCAATGTCTTAAATGGACAACAAAACCGATTTAGTGTTCATCACATTATATGACAATACAAACCAATAAATGCCTTAATTATAATAATACTTACAATCAATTCAAGTATAATCACTGTATTATCGACTTTTAAGTTATACTCAATTTAATTGATTTGTTTATGTAATATAACTTCAAGTTTGCATTCAATGCTTTAACTATTAATATTAACTAAACTATAGGTCAATACATCTACTGTTTTGGTTAGCAATGCCTCTCATATCCTCTCTATCTATTGGTTTCGTCAAAAACACATTCAAGTTATACAACGATAATCATTGAAAATGATAGACATTTTAATATATAGTTTTGACAAATAATTTTAATTTTGTTCTCATCTCTAACCATGTTATCCATAATATCAACATTTTTAAATAATAATTACCGTATTGTAAATAATCTACACTTTTTATATAAAATATAAACATTTAGCATATTCAAATACCTTAATAATTACATTCATGATAAAATCATATAATATATACTATAATATCATATAATAAAAATAACATTTTATTGAGTAAATAGTATTTAATAATCAATTTTGTTGTGCATCAAAGTTTATTTTTTAGAAACAATTAAATATAAGTTTATGTCAATTGTTAAGTAGTCTATTTGTTATTAAAGTGAGGGTACAATAAATACTTTTTATATAATATAGTGACTAGAATTTGAGATTGTACTATTAATATGTAATTATATTATATTTAGTGATGAATATATTGTTATTTTAATAAATCAGTGTAAAATAATAATGAAATTATGATTTAGACATTTTTTTAGAAATAAAATATATCTATACAGTATATTAAGTAGATTATAATTTTAAATAAAAATATATTTAAATTAAAAGTAATATAGTGAATTTGTCTAAATTTTTTTTTGATAGTTAGAAATGATGCAAAATTATTCATATAATATTACACATTATTTAGAAAAATTCACTTAATATTACGGATATATAAATTTATTTAGATTTTGTCAATAATACATAATAGGAAATGATGTTTCAGATTCATATACTTTTAAAACGAATGGTTACCATAAATAACAATTTTAAACTAACGATTAAATTGACAGAAAAGCTATTAGATGACTAACATAGAGATCATTATCTTATTAGACATCATTAGGTTTTGGTAGAGCATTGTTAGGTGTTTGAGTTGTCGATTGGTCCGATTGGTGTGCAGTTGCAGTGCTTTGTGATTCAGGAGTTGGTGATGATGTCTGTTGTGAGATACCAGAGTCGGGAACAAACTTGAATTCACTTGATTTGGTAGCCGTTTCATAGTCAGGAGGCGCACAGCTTTTAGTTGCCTCGTCATAATCAGGCGGTGCCATATGTGGTGGCGGAACCATTATAGACGGAATTGCCATCTAATCAATTAGTATGTAAACAATCATTTTAATATATTAAACATAAAAGAAATTAATATATAACATATCTAAAGGTTAATGAAATTAAATAAAAATATTGTAATAACACTAACACTCAAATTATTGACATAAGTTATTATATGCAATATATTTCTAAGAGATATATAAACCAAATACAATTGAATTGTTGTATAAATAATATAAGCTCTCAAAATAAATTATATAAATATTTTGTTAATGAAATTAATACATAAAAAATATTTGCTTTTAATTATTATATTCATTGCTTATTTATTATTGCATCAATTGGTTGAATAAAAACTCAAGTCTATGAAAATAATTTTGTATATAAAACAACAATATAATGATTAATTCAATGTCTTTTATGAAATAAAATAAATGATTAAATCGATAGACAAGCAAATTGGTGTCTATTTGATAGATAAACACAGAGATAAAGATAACAAAATAATTGGATTGAGAGAAGTTAGTTGAGACAGAGGTAGTAGTAGTAGTAGTACTCAAACAATCGTAGGTTTATTGCATGGAATAAACATATTAAAGATAGTGTCGTTAAAATAGACGGACCGTAAAGTCAAAGATATGAAAGAAAGATTCAAAGCAAACAAATCACAAAAAATATATTATAGTATAAGATATCTGTAACTGTATTTCATTTGATATAATATACGGTATGTCAACACATAATAACACATCAATAATATACATAAGAGATGAAAGAGAAATAGAGAGATAAATCCGTTTCATTATTAGTAATGTGATCAACAACTTGCCATTATATACTATATATATATATTATTCATTATCATTATCTTCATCTAAATAATCAACAAATGTTTATATTATATAAAGTGTATAACAGCTAAGTATATAATCTTTGAAGCAAATCATACTAATCACTAATAAATGACATTACATTTATTATTTAATTTTAGATAAACAAGAAAATATAATTTTGTTAATTATATTTATTCACAATTGTGGTTATCATTTGGTCAAAACATTATCACATTGCGATCAACTTGTTGTCCGATTGCCCACTGTGTTAGATCATAAGGTAAACACAATATACACTAATTTACAAAACTAACCCTGCATCTTTACTGTTAATATCTCTACAACTATATAATGAAATTTAATCAAATTCGTCTAAAAATAAATAAAACTCACCAGAAATATCTCATAAAATTATCAGAAAATAAAGTATTTTTAATAATCATAAAATAATACGAAAATAATTAAAAAATAAGGCGACAAACTTGTGTTAACACTCAACTGGATTCACTTAAATGTTATACAAATCAATGCTGAGATCAATTGTAAATTAAATCAATGGTGATTTTAATTATTATGTAATTTTATTATTAAAAATATTTATTAAAAAAATTATTGGAATTAATTGATTTTGTAAAGTAGTGTAACTAAACTAACGGTAATTCAATTGTAAAAATTATTTTTCAATAGACATTCAATCTATGATATATACAAGAATTTTGTCTCGTTTATCACAAATTATGTAATTATTTTGGCATAAATTTGGAAAAATATTTTTTTTTGCATTTTTGATTACATAATTTGATAGAGTATTTAAACTAATATTTATCAAAATAAATTATAGTTAAAAAATTGTAGTAAATTTAGTAATTATATTAGCTTAAGTAAAGTGTTATACATACTGTATTCAATAGATTTAATAAATATTGATTACAAGAGAGATATCAATTGACGTAATTAACACTTTTTATGGTTATAATTGACAGCTATTATAATCAGTCATCAAATTCAAAATCATCTCAAGCGATATAATTTTATTTTTTAAAATATATTTGTATAACAAAAAAAAACTTGAAATTTAAAACTAACATGTCTTTCATTTTACTGTATATTATTGATAATATTTTTGGTCAATTTAACATAACATTTAAATGCTATTTGTTGTAATACTTTTATACTGTATATTAAATTTTAGTCATTGATTATTGCAATTTCAATATCAAATAGCATTCATTGTTATAGTAAATGTCCTAAAAATGTGATAAAAATTTATTGAAATTAATGCAAAATAAGTTTGAAAATATCTAAAACTGAAACTAACATTTGAAATGAAAATAGACATTAAATGTAAGATTCATCTAAAATACTGTCATTAATCAATTTAAAGACAAATAAATGATAACAAATGTATTCAAATGCTTGTGTCATATATCAAATAGTATGAAATATACTCACATCTTGTGTAATATTATGGTTAAAGTGCGGCAAATGTAAGGGTAGAACCAATTCTTTCATACGAAGATAACGATAGCACTTCCAAACGACACATAAGAAGTAACTCTTGAAGAGTACAATGAGTGTCATCAACAGCAACGAACTCGTGTAGACATTGTTAGAGCTGGCATTTGGCCACAGATGACGCATATCAAGAAACGTGTTGCTTGTCCTGCGGTCGACCCAATTCTGGTAGTGGTTGCCATTCGGGTGGGCGTAAAGTGAAGTCAAGAATTGAGGTAAAGTAAACAAAAAGTCGATAAATTGAATGCCAAAGAAGGGCAGGATATATGTCGGTCTCGATTTGATCACTCCATACAATAGCATCGCTGATACCATCGATAACAACATATAGACCACAATCGCCAGTGAAGCCGAAGCTGAACGGTTCGAGTCCGACAACGACTGGATGTACGCCGAGTCAGAGTAAGACAGAAGAGCTATTGTTACGATACCACAGATAAGTGATCCGCCCTTTTGGACAACAAATACAATTAAGTTAATAATTATGACATCAATCATCACTACTAATACTAACCAGATTGACGAGTGCCACGAATATAGTAGCAGGTCTTACGTGAAGACATAAACAATAGGCATGTCTTTCAATTGAAGCCATACTGTCATCCATTATCACCAATTGATTACTATTTTTATCAAAACTCAGTCAAAACAATATATCAAAAATAATTCATTTCAATATTTAAATAATTCATAAATATATGTAACGAACTTAAAGGCAATTCAATTAATAATTGTTTCAATTAATAATAATTAATAATAATTATCGTAAAAATCATTTACATTTGAATGTCATTTCAAATATTGTTTTTATTTTTGTTTAACAGTTTTGACTAAACATTGAAAAATTCACACCAAATATGGCCTCAAATATACAATAATATACAATATATTCATTAATACTATATATTGTATTAAATATTAACCGACAATTTGGGTCAAACATAAATATCGTTGAATTTTATATAAGTTTCAATAAGTGTAATCAATTAGACTGTTATACCGTAAGTATGTATGAGTAAAGTATAAAATTAATATAAATTTTATTAAAATAAGCAATTAATAATTTGATCATGGTAAATTATATATTAAATTGAGTTAAACTATTGTACAGTAAACCATAGTATGAATATGATCGATACAAACATTATTATTAAATTGTTTGCATATATGTATGTATTGCAAGTAAGTATGCTTTAAGCAAATTAATGCTTCAATTATTGTCAATTAATACACAATAAATCATAACTTACTCTACAGTACAGTATATGATAAATGTGTGATCTTTCTGTAAAATTATTAATTAAATAATAAATATTACTTAAACTGTTAATAAATTAATATATATATATATATATATATATATATATATATATATATATTACAATAGCTAAATTAGATAGACAGTTACTAAATAATAACTAACAAATATTTTTTATAATAATTTATTATATTTTCAATAAACATAATACAGTATACAATATAATGTAGACTATGACAGAATGTTTTATATACAGTATAATGTACAATATATTTAGTAAAAATTTAATGTATATTTTAGAAAGTATTTGTATAGTATTATATTAAAAATAGTAATATTAATAATATTTGAAAATAATGCTAATCTCTTATAGAAATATTTATGAAATACAGTTTTGAAGTCAAATTAAAGTTATTTTCAAATATCAAATAACTAATTTATTTAAACTCCATTTATAACAATACTTTAGTAAAATACAGTATTGATAATACAAAATTTATTATAAATTAATTTAAAATCATTTTTGTAATTTTTTCAATTAAAGCTTTAATAATGTTTTCTTAATTTATAATTATTTTTATTAATTTAGTCAATTCAATTATATATATAATAATAAAAATATTATTACAAAGAATAAAATATTATTTTGTATAATAATTAGGGTTCAATCAAATTCTCTCTCATTTTATTATCCAAAAGTTCCTTTTGTTCTCTATTCCCTGGAAATTCCCAGAGAATTTATTTCCTTGTACTACCACCTACTGAACCCTAAACAACACATTTTACTTTATTATTATGTTTAAAAAACAGATATTGTATTAAACTGTATATTGAGTGGTATTGATAAATAGGATCAATAAGTTTTTAAATTGAAATTTATTCTTTAATATTTCAATAATTTATTTTGTGTAAAATATTTGAGTTTTGGTACTATTTATTGTAATAATATAAAATATATTTTCGTTTTCTAACGATGAAGGGAGGGAAAATAAAATATTCTCCATATTTGTCAGTAAAATAGGAGGGAATTTTCCTGGAAATTTTATTAGGGAACTTCCCTCTCTGGAAAAGTTGCTCGAACTTTAATAACAATAATAATATACATGTATTAATGTTATACAGTATTTTGTCTATTGAATTATCGATTATAATATGAAAAACAATAAAAATAATATTTCTAATTTTTACTTATTTATTATTTAAGTTATTATAAGTAATGCTATTATTAAAATAAAAGACTTTTAATGTGATATCATGTTTGCATAAATTTGTTAATTAATTAAAATATATGACAATATAAAGATTTTTATATAATATTAACATTTGTGTTCATCAACTGAGAAAACATAAGAAATACATTAAATAATAGATAAAATAAATGTTATTTTCACTGTTAATTAACGGCTAATATAAAGCATAGCTTTTTACATGAATACTACCTAAAGCTAATGTAATGAATGTGAGTCTAGTCTTTGTTAAACATTGAAAACAATTAATTTATTTGATATTATGTTTAGTATTGTATTCTTAAAGTAAAAAACAGCTTCACATGAGTTGACAAAACAGATGATTTTGAGCATTACTTGAGTCCAGTCTTAGACAATAAAACATTTACATCACTTTTTCTGACGTCTATCATATATAGTGTCACAAAAATTTGTTACGAGACTAACGATTATAAACTAATGCCAAAACAATACTATTTTTATTAACTAACAAAATATTTCAAGCATTTATTAATAAAATAAAAAAAAACATATAATCAATATTATGTTAAAATTAAATATTTATTTTTAATCAAAGAATCAATGTTGACTTAGATATTTATTTTAACATTATTAACAAAATTAACAAATGAAATAATTTTTATAATGACATAAATTTTATTATTGAATGATATTAAAGAAATACATCTATTTTATGTGTCAAGTAAATAGTAGTAGTAGTAGTAGTAATAATAATAATAATAATAATAATAATAATAAATAAATCAATATATGAAAGAAATGCTAAAATATTTATTGTATTGAATACAATACAACATATTATTATTATTGATAATAAATAATCGCAGAATATTATTGCGAAAACTCTTACAAAATATTAAACTAATTGTATTTCTAATTGTATTAAATGCAATATAAAAAAAATATATAAAATATTAATCTATAAATATTAAAAATGATGAATTTTTATCATTTTATATATAAATTATATAGAAATGCATTTTATAAAAATTTATTAAACTTAAATTAAAATAATTTGCTGTGTATTAATACTAATATTATATTAATAAATATAAAAAAATTATATAAATAAATTAAAATCAATGATTCTCTTAGTGTACATACTTATACAGTTTACATGCAGATTTTAAAGTTAAAATTGACAATTAAGTACAAATCATATGAATAAATAATTTCTAACAGTGCTTAAAATATTTATAAACTTAAAAAAATGTTATTAACATATTTTATTTTTAATTTAAATTGATAGAAACAAATACTAAAACTTAATATAATGTAATTATTATGAAGTGGTCTTTAATAATTTTTTTGTAAATGATCAAATGTATTAATTAAATCACACTAAAGTTATATTTTGTTTTAAAAATTTGATATTTATTTAAACAAAATATAATGTAATTTTAGATGACATGAGAAAAGTTGCATAACTTTATTAACCTAAGTCTTAAACACACCTAAATAAACGTCACTCTTAATAATATTATAGATAACTAATAATTAGTTAGAGAGAGAGAGAGAGAGAGAGAGAGAGAGAGAGAGAGAGAGAGAGAGAGAGAGAGTTAATGCAAACTAAAAGCATTTAGTAAAATAACAATTTAATATTGTATTGAAAGCATCAGATTTTTTATGTGACATTTTAGTGCCAAAACATGAGACCATAAGAGATGCAAACATCAAAATCTGAAGGGAAGTAACGGATAGACCAACACTGATAATCAAATGTGATTACATGTATTCATAGTCAACAAAATAACGCATACTTTGATTTGTGGTTAAACTATATAAACGTTAATCAATGAAAAGCACTAATATTCAAAGTAAATATATATTTAATAGTTTTTTGTTGTTGTTGTTGTTGTTGATTGAATTGGTAATAAGGTATATATATATATATATATATATATATATATATATATATATATATATATATATATATATATATATATATATATATATATATATATATATATTGCTTGACAAACACTTTACAACACAATACTAACCAGTGATTGCATTTTAAGACTTGATTGACGTCATTTTGATAGACAAAATTGAGTCCAAAGACTAACTTATGAAAAGTTTGATATGTTTTTAAAAACTTAACCAAACTATTGATATCATTGATTAGAAATGTGTCGTTCATTTATTATTGTGTTCAGACATTCATTGTCTAAATCTCAACTGACTATCGCTTTCATTGATCCCAATTCTTGAGCAGTCATTCTTCCATAAGAAAGGAAATCCTATATATTGACTATAAGTATATTACTATTGCAATAAAGGCATTGAATTATCATTTATTCAATACATTTACAATATATGCCATTTTATTTTACTAAATGATAATACAGTACATATCAAAACCTGTTGTATTGATTTACAGTATATACAATAATTATATAATATTCAATAGCTTTATTATCTATTACTATACAGTATAAATAATATTGCATTTATATTGTATCACTTGTATAAAAGTTGATTTAAATAAAATTTATTAATAATAAAAAGTTAATTTTTATATTTATTATATAATATTAATTTAAAAATAATTTTATGTCATTACAAATTATAAAATTTATTATTGTTATTATATATAATATTAGATAAACTATAATATATTTTTGATTACCTTTATTTAAAACTTATAGTATAAACACATGTCAATAAAATGTAATTTAATTTTTTAAAGCAAGTATTCTATTGTTTATAAATTTTATATAAAGTATGAAATTTTATTAATTTTGATCATTAACTTAGATACATGTTTTTAATGTTTAATTTATTATGCAAATCTTTTATTATATAATTTTTATTTAATATAAATTATGTGTATATTATACACTTAACATATGTTAGTTAGTTGTTAACATAAAAGGGTACATAAATAGCAATGTTTAGGTCGTTGTATTGCACATTGTGTTTGCCATTAGAGACACGATTGTTGTCGACTTTTGTAAAAAATGTCATAAAATATATACAGATTTATATATTATTGTGTTATAGTATGCGATATAAATTCTTGCGATTGAAGCCCAGTCAGTATGTTATAAGTGAAACACATTTACTATAATACATAGCATATCATTGAAAATAACAGTTATAACAAAATCAATGTTTGGTATTATCTTATGGATCCAAATGGTATAGTCTTTACAGTGTTTGTCAATAATGGTATTTGAAAGGGTGTACTCCTGTTCTTCATTGTGTCAATCATTATATAACTCCGCAATTGATCCCTTCATATGCGAGTGCGTCGGCAAAATAGGACATCAAATTAATACCAAACTCTTGTACTGCAGTACTGATAATATAAATATATTGATAAAATGCCTTATAATTTCCAC